CGTACTGTCATGATTGCTGCGCTTGATTTATGACCGCGGGCCCTTCTTTCGAATATGGAACCTCCTTTGTCGCTGCCCAAGTTTTCTCTTCATGTACACAGCGTACTGTTAAGCATTATTCCACAAGATTATTAAATTATATAAAAGCTCCCTAATCCCCTTCCCAAGCCCATCCCTCCCGTTTCTTCTCATTCATCTGTAATCTCCCTATTACAAAACTCTTTTCAACAAGTTCCATCCTGGCCAGTTCCTGTGCCAATTTTACACATTCGTCCATTTCTGTTGTGGTTTGTTGGATAGCGTCCCGGAGGGCTGCTAAGCGATTGGAGAGCATGGCAATCTATGAGAGTAGTAGGTTGAATACCTGGATTACGTAGAGGACTATTTTGCAAAAAAGATATGAACCTGCTCAATATGCCCATTTTCATCCTGAAGAACATGCCGCATCTCCTCGGTAGTATCCTTCAATACATTTCGCAGTTCCTCTGCAGTGGTTGATTTTAGCAATAGCAACAAATGCAAAGGATTTGACATAATGCACATACCAGCATCAGAAATCATAACCCCCTTCATTGGAAGCCAATCAACACTCCTTCTTAATCCATTCATGAAAGTATCGTAACCTTTTGAAAAGGCTTCCAAAGCTTGTGCAGCTTCTGTAATAGCTTTTTCCTAGATATTTTAAAAAACAAGTTAACCATGGAACTCTTATACTGTAAATTAGCGAAGAAACTGCACACCTGCTCCCTCAAAGGTCCAATAACTTTCACGAGCTCTTCCATCTGTCGCACCGTCTCCTCTTCACCATGTACTTCCTCCCGTAACTCTGTTACACGCTGCCAAAAGGTATAAATCTCCGCCTAATGGTCCGATATAGATATCAGTATATTGCATGGCAAACATCACAAGATGAATCATACCTCAGCCTGTCGCTTCTTCTCCTCAAATGCCTTTTGGGCATTCGCTCGTAAAAACGTCCACTGTAACAAGCGGTTTTCAAGTGCCAGTATGGTATCCTCGATTGGTGTCGATGAATTTGTTCTGGATGGATTCGACTGGGTTAGAGACGACTGTTTACGTGCTGACGGAGGCGCAAGGGAAGGTACGGGCGATGCTGGCTGATATTGAAGGTCAATACAAAGCATTCAGACTAGGAAAAGGATAATAGAGTATTACCAATGGGACAGCAGCCGCTTTTGCCAGCATTTGTGATGAAGATTTTGAGGGCCGGGTTTCTGCCATGGTACGCCGCAAAGAGGACCGAGGTGCGTCCAACTCTAAATACCATGTTCAGAATCAATACCCAGAGGCACCCGTCAACGTTCTGTATGCAATCTCACCTGACGCACGAAGCCCTCCTTTGACTACGCTCTTCGGTCCCATGCTCTTCCGTTTCAATTCCACACCTGGCGTCGCCATCACATTCCTCTCCCGCAACAGATTTTGTTCCCCCAAGACTTTTCTCACATTCGGGCGTTCAGGTCGACTCTCCACAACACTCTTTGTCAACGTCGATCGGACTGTCACAGGTTTGGAAACTGGTCTATGTACAGGTTGTGGTGCGGGTTTGCTCACTGCGGATGTTGTGGATGCCATATATCGTGATGCAACATATCTGACTGTCCATGGAATCAATAACCTATTTTCAGCATCAAATCAGTCAACAAGACCCCCAAAAAACACAAACCTTTCCTTTTCCGCCCTTCGCCACGTACAGAGTCCGCAACTGACGACACAGGCGAAACATCCACTTGAAGATCAACGCTGGCTGGCGAATCTCTCACTATCGCACGTGGCGTCGTATTTCGACTTGATCTACTAGGTGAACTTGCATGAGGACTGCCACCTCGAGGTGAACCAGGTCGAGGTGAACTATCGACTTTTGCCGCGAAACTTTGGGTTGAACTCATATATCTCGGTGTTCCGGATGGTGAAGACATGCGGGATCGTTGTAATCGCAGGGTTGGGGAGGGAGTATCGGGACTTGAGGAAGTGTGAGGCGAGGATGGGGATGGGTGGGAGGAAGGTGGGGTTTCGGTGGATCGTGGTTTCGGCTGTTTGGGTCTTTAGCAATCAATAGCAGAAAGTCAGTACGAAAAGATATCTAGAACAAATGGTCACTTCTTTATCAAGCACTTTCTTTTCATACTTTTGTATCACTCCTTTAGAGACCTTTCCTCCGGCGCTTCCTAGACCTGACGCAACACGTAGGTGTGGTTGCATAGGCCCTGCACGCCGGCGTGGGTCCATATTGGGCAGGATGGCTCTATTTGTTCGTCAATTTGGAATATTAGAAAGTAACTACATCGATATCTCTTGCAGCTATGGTACTATCGCGCGACATGGAACAAAATCCTGTCCTTGTCGTGCGGGATTGGTCAAGACGTGCTTCGAAAGCTCCTTCATCACGTCCGACAGGAGCGGACACAGCACGTGATCATCATCAAGATAAACAAACGTCAGGCCACAATACCAAATCCATTAGAAACTTTCCCAACTCAATAAAGCCAGAACATACAGATATAAAAAAACGAAACAAAGAAATATCTATCCATCTATACTGTAAAGCAAACTTCCAATCTCGGTCCTTCGTCTCTCCAAAATGTGCTTCTCATCCACTTCGTCCAAAATGGGGATGGGATCAGGAGAGTCAGACAAATCGGAATAAGCGTCCTCATCACCAGAGCCCTCAAAACGAACACTTCCAGTAGATCCGTATCGGTCTTCAGCGTGTAAGCCATTCACCGAACCGTTTAGAGACCGGTGAGATCCTTGGGGGTCGCATGTGCCATCCACACGGATATGGGGGCAAGGTGCGTGTTGAGGGACACCATAAGCTGGGTAGTAAGGCCCTACCTGAGGTCCTGATGGCGCACGGTCCCGCTGATGGATATCACGAATCATAAATTCAGTCAGGTCGTCGCCGTGGTCATCAACACCAGGATCTTTGAGAATCTCTGTGAACCATTCTGCAGTCATACGAGTCGCCTGCTTGGCTTCAGGGAGGAGAGAAAGCATTTGGAACATGGCATGCGAAACACCTTCCAGAATCTTGACTCGGACCATAGTGTCCGGATCACGGGAGAATATGTGCGTGCGAACTCGTTCTGGGGCAGCTCCGTTTCCTTTAGCAGTTCCGTTGGCGGTACCATTCATATGGGTGCCGTTCGCTTGTGCAAGCTTTTGTTTCTGCTTCTTGTCTGCAAGAGCTTCAACCCCGCCGCCATGTTCGACCTTGCGCATCATGCGCTCCCACTCTTTCCGTGCCTTTTGCTTGTTTTCGCGCAGACGGCCAGCAAATACTACGGTATCATCGACGAACGGATCTTTCTCGCCGCAGAGAAGATACGTTTTTGGGAAACGAGCCAACAGGTCGTCCGGTGCCATGACGGGACTCAGATAGTAGTCCGAGGCAAGATCAACTGGAACGGGCGATGTCCCTAGATAGAGAAGCGCCATGGCACGCATCACTGGAACCAAGAACAAATTAGGCGCGATGCGGCATACCAGAATCACATGTAAAGACATACTCTCTGGCGTGATGATCCGATCGGTAAAGTAGGACATGCGAGACGTCATGGACAACGAACTGGGAATTGATGGACCCGGAGGGTGCGAAGGCCGTGGCTTAAAGATGTGGTACCAAGATTTACTCCTGTCCACCTCGTCCTTCAAAACATCAATCTTCCGCGGAGCTTCCTGCGGCGTGAGGGGAGAGTTCTTTTTGATGTTGTGCTTTGATTCTGAAAGAGATTTGAGAGATAAATTCTTGTGGGATTCGGCGCGCATGAGTTTGAGTTGCTCCGATGGCATCCTGACGAGGAACGACACAATGAGCGAACAGGTACCTTACAAGAGCCAAAGAAACAGCAATTCCCACGTACCAGCAAGACATATCAAATGAAAGACACGGGTAAATAAGCACAAGGCCATTTGGTGGGGGAATGTGCTTTTCATAGGTTTCCAAGCAACGCATAACCACCCCTACAACCAAGTTCCCACCACTGAGTTCCATGTGGGAGGTTATTAGCGAAAAGGTCACGGCCTTGTTCAAGGGGACGACTACCAGACACTTACGCAGAATCTCCAACCATCACAATCTTGATGGGCGCCTTCTTCAATTGATGTCCCTGTGCATCCGATTCATACCACCCTTCGAATCCAATCGCTCCACCGTTGGACTCTACGATGCTCCTGTAAGCATCAAAGCATTCCTCCAATGCGAAAGGGTAAGGAAACTCGGGTGCTTTGCCATACTCTATGGCAACGATGGGAACTTTGGAAATGACTGCCCATTGCGACACATAGTCCTCGTGACACTTTGGCGGCATGGCCACAAAACCTCCACCAGGAAGGAGCAAGATGAGTTCTCGGGACCGTCGCAGCTCATCCCGCGTGCCGGTAAAGTACAGGCGAGCTTTTATGGGGCCCAATTCTCGATCGGGAAATGAGCTGACTGACGGCGGGTCTGGACGTTCAATGATAATATCTTCTCGGATCGCCACATAGGGACGGTCTGCAGCCGTCGCAAGGCGAAGGTAGGGGTTCATACTCTTTTCCCAGGAAACCCGCATCATCTCGATCGTGGGATGAGCCCTAAATTTGCGCACCTGCGAGACAAGCCCGTAAGCGTCGCGTCATAATTACCGACAAAGTATTTCCATACCTTTTCGTCGGCAGTGTCAGGGAACACCAAGTAAAAGGCGGCAAATAGGACCGACAGGATGTCCCTCAAGAACTTTGGGCGCACATTCATCGCGGTCAGGAAACCGGCGTCAAGACTCGTCAAGACATATGAAGCTCTATAAAAGTTGCGGGTATACTAGCAGAACGAACAAGAAGATTAATTCAAGATAATTTCACAGACTAGGTACAGGGGAACGCACCATTCTTGCCAGAGGTTCAGGTGCTGTCCAAAGCAACAACCGTTAGTAACTAACACCAACTTGGGAATCTTTCAACAAAGCGTACATACCATTCAAACCCAAAGTCAAGAAAAAGTTTTTCAAAATCCAAGCGATAGACAAGGTCCCAAAAACGATTTTCCACGGAGGAAGGGACGCTGGCAGACCACAATGAACATGTCAATACTTTGAACATCCAACAACAGTTGGACGACAAACCCAACCCACCAAACTTTTCATCCAGGTATCTCAAAGCCATCATGTTGGGTCCTGCCTTTGGCGACTTTATGATGCGATACCTAAACATTCCACAAATGTCAGCCCCAAGACACACAAGGCTGACTCCACATCTCCCCCGCTACTCACGCAATGAAGGCAAACACCAATACTTGTATCCGCTTCAGTCCCGCAGAGGGACGACCCAAGGCGTGATCCAGCATGATGGTCTATGCAAAAAAAAACAAAAAGGTCTAAAATGCTAATGTCCCTCCTCGTCGTCGTTCGTTCGTCGTCGTCGTCGTTTCGTCGGGCTTGCCCTTAAAATCTACAGATGGATTACCACGTGTCTGGTGCATCGTCACATGGGCTGTCATTTAAGGAAACTTTTTGTGTGACCATCGACATGTGAAAATTTGTCACAAGACCTCGTGACTCTCCTTTAATGCATTCGAATGGAAATGGAACGAACCATTTGATCTATCTAATTCAATATTGGCAAAAGATGAACAACGCAGGTGCTTGAACATGTTAATTGTATTTTTCATTCCCTCCTAGCCTATAAAATATAATAAGAATCCTATGCGAGGAATTATGTCCGATCCGCTATGTACAATAGTGGGAACCAAACAACTTTCCCTAAAAATCTTCCATACACACTGCCTTTAGTCACTCTTTCTATTTACGCAATCGATTCCGTTCGACGAGGAGAAGTGGGTCGTCCGTGAATACCATTGGCTGGTACGATTTCAATGGCGAGATCTGACGCATTGGCGGCATTCAGCGCCGTTGTCGAACTATCGGGCAGTGCGACCCGAATTTCAGACATTTGCGCTAATGGGAATTGCTGCGGAACACCATTGCCGTTGCCATGTGTCCTTTTGTCAACATGGTCTTGCGCTTCTTGGGAACCGTGTCCGAAACCGGCAATGGGAGGAACGGTTTCCGGTCGATGGTAGTTGTCTGCATTACGATTCTGTCAGCTCTTGTCCTTTCCAGGTCACCAAATGCATGGATACATACATGCATATTCTCCAATCTGGGCCAAATCCAGTCCCAAACTCTCGTGACGCTCCTTTACGCGCAAGTGAAGTCCAGGCGTCTTGTCCAAGAGGTAGAAAACAATATATGTGAGACAGAATGACCACGCGGCACTACATGTAGTGTTAGCACAGGCGAGTGTCGGGTTGGTCAAGAAATGCAACGACATACACTGTGATGGTCGCATATAGGTGAATCCAAAGTTGCTTAAAGTTGCCATTCATCCATCCACCATTAATCCCCTGAGTGTCCAGCTCAATAATGGACCGTTCGGCAAAAATGGCCGTAAGGAGATTGCCAATCTGAGGATAAGAGATGGATGAGTCAGACAGCGCAATGGTCGGGTCTGTGCGTTTTCCAGGTACATACCACGCCGCCAACGCCGTGAACCGCAAACACGTCCAGTGTGTCATCAATTTTCCCTTTGGTTATATCGGCGACAAACCGACATACAGTTCCGGCAATCACTCCAATGACCACGCCGGCCCATGGCTCAACAAACCCAGCTGCTGGTGTGATCGCCACAAGACCAGCTACGGCTCCGACACAGAAACCGACCGCTGAATATTTATGGCCATTGTATAGGTAGTCCCAAAACATCCACACCAGACCTGCTGCGGAAGCCGCTAGGTTGGTGACTAGGATCGCCATTCCTGCGCGCCTGGTGGCTGTAAGCGCACTTCCCCCGTTGAACCCAAGCCAGCCAAACCACAACAATGCGGTCCCGAGGATGACATATCTACGCATCCGTGGCCCAATGAGCACAAATGATGGAACTTGAGTAACTAAACAGAACCTACCCAACATTGTGGGGTTTCTCATCGGCGATCCTCGTTCGTCGTGGTCCCATATAAATAGCAAAGGCGAGACCAGCAAACCCAGATACGACTTCAACTGGACATCCTCCAGCAAAGTCTAGGTATCCCCGGGCTCGAAGCCATCCGTTTGGTGCCCAGACCCAGTATGCCACAAAATCTGCTCAAGCAACTTTAGTTTTTGGACATGAGCAAAGGCCCAACAAGGAAACAAACGCACCGTAGACGACAGTTGTCCATATGAGAATGAACAGCATACTCGGCAATATTCTTGTACGATCTGCAGCCGAACCAAAGGGCAATGCCGCCGTAAGTGCAGCAAACATGGCTTGGAACATGGCAAACACATCAGTCGACAAGACTGTGCCGGGGTAAAGCTCTTCGCCGCCATTCTTCAAACCGGCATAGTGGCCATTGCCAATGAACGGTCCGCCGGAAGGTGAAAAGGAGATGGAGAAGCCCCTGGTATTAAGATCCGTGAGTCTCCCAGTGTTGCACTCCCTAGTGTTGGGCTCCCTGTGTTGAGCAGACCCAATGTGCGGTAAGGAAAACTCACCATAGGAACCATTGGATCGAGACGATCGCCAGCGACAGCATGCAAAGGTGCAAAAAGACGAGAGCATTCTTGTGATGACTCAAGCCAGAGTAAAAGTAACCCAACCCAGGAATCTAATACACATGCACACACACGAAACGTGCTAGTGCGTAAGCACACTTGCGAGATAAACAAAAACCAAACAACGTCATATCTCTCACCCACCATGATAAGCACCAAGGCTGAGCATAGCATGACAAAGACGTTGGCCGCCCCGTCGGCCGTAGCCGGCGCTTGTCTCGGTGACAATGTGTTGGAACTCATTCTTGTTGGTGGGTGGGAGGGGGGGTATCGACCTAGTGCGTTCGCCAAAACACACTCTAGAAGAATCCTTCGTTTTCCTTTAACGTCCCCCACCAAAGGATCTACTCCAACAAAAAGATCAAAAGATGCGATAATCTAAACCTCCCCTTCCTCGTCAAAACAACAAAAACTCACACGACAAGCCCAAAAAACAAAACTAAAGTGGAAGATAAGATATCACGCTTATCAAATCATACTAAGCAATCTGTTATCTCCGAAAGTGGCCGCTTGTGGGGATCTGTGGGTTAGAAAGGGGGTTTCGGAGGGGTCATAGTCACCTGACTTGTCATAGCAACAGAGGCACAGCAACCTTCTGCGCCACGCATATCATGATTGGTCGATGATGCTGTGCCACAATGGTTGTGTTTGAATTTGTTTTTCCTCTCGTGAAATGTCAACTCCGCTCCCCTCCTCCATTTCATTTGCAACATCGCACGAACGAGAAATGGCCGCCGAATCTACTCCCACCACCAACGGTCCTGCCACCACCGTTCCTGCCAAGCGGCCCTTCCCCGACTTTTCAGAGGCTCCAGCTGCCAATGCAAACGAATCCACAGAACAACGCGCCAAGCGGTTGGCAGCTCTCTTATCCACTCCTGTCAAGGATGGTCTTACGGCCGAAGAGCTCATGAACCCCCAATTGTCGGGTGGTCTTACTTACAATGACTTTCTCATTCTCCCCGGCTATGTGGACTTTCCTGCCAGCATTTGCTCACTCGAAAGCAGAATCACAAAGAGATTCACCCTCAAAACTCCATTCCTCTCCAGTCCCATGGACACTGTCACCGAAACCCAGATGGCCATTCACATGGCCTTGAACGGAGGGTTGGGTGTCATTCACCACAACTGTCCCGTGGAGGAACAAGCCGACATGGTCCGAAAGGTCAAGAAATTCGAAAATGGTTTCATCACGGATCCAAAATGTCTGGGCCCCGAACACACTGTCCAGGACGTTTTCAACATTAAGCAGCAGTATGGATTCTGCGGCATTCCCATCACCGAGAATGGAAAGCTCCACTCTAAACTCCTTGGAATCGTCACATCCCGCGACATTGATTTCCTCCAAACTTTGGAAGACCGCCAACGCCTTCTTAAAGATGTGATGACCACCGACCTCGTGACAGCACCACAGGGTGTCTCCCTCTTTGAAGCCAACACAATTCTCAAAGCTTCGAAAAAGGGCAAGCTCCCTATCGTTGACGGTCAAGGTCGTCTCACCGCGCTTTTGGCCCGCTCCGATTTGGTCAAAGCAAGAGACTATCCCTGGGCGTCCAAGATGCCATCTAGCAAGCAGCTCCTCGTTGCTGCGGCCATCAGTACTCACGACGAAGACCGTGTCAGATTGCAAGCTCTTGTGGATGCTGGTTTGGATATTGTCGTGTTGGACTCTTCCCAAGGAAACTCTAGCTTCCAGATCGAAATGATAAAGTACATCAAGCAAACCCACCCTCACATTGATGTCATTGCCGGAAACGTCGTAACACAGGAACAAGCAAGGCGGTTGATCGAGGCTGGTGCTGATGCATTGCGGGTTGGAATGGGTAGTGGAAGTATTTGCATTACTCAAGAAGGTATGTGTTGCCAGTTGGCCAGCCGGTATACGACTGTTAATGCTCACCTGACTTGGATTGACAGTCATGGCGTGCGGTCGTCCTCAAGGAACAGCCGTGTTCCGGGTATCCCAATTCGCCCGCCAATTCGGCGTACCTGTCATTGCCGATGGAGGTATCGGCAATGTTGGTCATATCGTCAAAGCCCTTGCCCTCGGCGCCTCGGCTGTCATGATGGGCTCTCTCCTTGCAGGCACATCTGAATCACCTGGTGAATACTACTACCACGAAGGCCAACGTCTGAAAAAGTACCGTGGAATGGGATCAATTGATGCCATGGAAAAGGGTGATGCGGCTGGAAAACGTTATTTCTCAGAGGCGGACAAAATCAAGGTGGCTCAGGGTGTTGCGGGCGCAGTCGTAGACAAGGGATCTGTAAAAAAGTTCTTGGGCTACCTTGCCACCGGGGTTCAGCACTCGCTGCAAGACATTGGAACAAGAACTTTGGTGGATTTGAGGGACGCAGTTGTCAATGGTGAGGTGCGATTTGAGAAGCGTACTGCAAGTGCGCAGTTGGAGGGGGGTGTACATGGATTGCACTCTTATGAGAAGCGTTTGTTCTCGTAAATTGCGGATTTTACTTTTGGGGGATAGTAGATAGTTTCGATAGCTTGATCACTTAGGTAGAGCATTTTTTTCATTTTTTTTTCGATGATGTGCCGGCTTGATTAGAAGGAGCCGCTCTTGTATACATTTTTTCAAAACTGTAATCTCTTGTGTTCAGAATTTTGATGCATCCAAAGTGGGTTATAACGCCCCGATTCCTTGTAGACAATCTATAAACATAGCCAAAGAAACATACACATGTATCCACGTCTCAATGTTCACGATATTACTTCTTTTTAACAACCTGCGCTTGTATACATTGTCAGCTATCTTTACAGCAGAAAAAACAACCGACTCAATTCTTGCCTGTATCACATCCTCATCCTCTACTACGTGGTTTAACCCTACTCGCTGTGGGTTGTGTTTTGTGGAAGTCCCCCACACCAAAGCATACTCAAAGTCACGTCAGCACACAACCTCCTCTAATAATAACAACACCAAAACTCACGTTGAACTCGTCTACCAAACTCTTGTGAATATTCCGACAAACGCCTTCAACTGTAGTTCCTCTCTTTAAAATCAATCCGCCATCAAAATCAGGAAACTCCCCTCTCTTCTTTGTGTAAACTCGGATAAGATCCAAATGATGCCATATTTGGTCGATAAGATACTCGAGATTTAGATCGGATTCGCAGGAAACAACGACAGTGTTGGGTTCGCGGGCTAGAGAGTCTACTTCTTCGATAGATATCTAGTAAAACGTGTGAGATATCCGAGAGGACAAGTAGGAAAGACGACGGCGATCCGCTCACCTCGTCGATTTTGTTGTAACAATAGAGACAGGAAATGTATTTACGGTTGCCAAGGACGACATCGATGAATTGATCCACGGTGGCGTCTTCACGAATTAGCACTTCAGCGTTATGAATCTTCTCAAGAGAGCGTGGGCGAGTAAGCCAGATGTTCACTGATCACTGAGAGGCAGGCGAGCAACAATACCTTGTAATCATGTAAAATCTAGTCAGAGTATAAGCAATTCAACAGTCAGCTCTATTTTCAAAGTTCCCAATCGCCACATTCATCATACCTGGTATACCATCCTCTCATTCAAATGTGTTAACTTGCAAGTACTGTTAAAAGAGATACCACCGCCCTTCTTGACTTTGAAATAAATATTTGGCCTGTGCGTATTGATTCTGATACCGACAGCTTCAAGTTCGGCTTCGAGAAGCTCTCTTTGGCGGGGGCCCTTCGTTGCGTCCAGCATCATCAAAATCAGGTCGGCGGTTTTGGCAACAGCAATGACTGACAATGGAACGTGAATAATATTATCCGGATCATGGAGTAAACATCTTCTCCGTCGTACCTTGTCTTCCACGACCCTTCCCCTGTGCAGCGCCTTCGATAATACCGGGAAGATCCAACAACTGGATCTGTGCACCATTGTAATGAATCTTCCCTGGACTGCAATTCATAGTCCATCATTAGCTGTCATGTGATCCAGCCCCTCAGTCCACCGACATCTCACATACATGCAAGTCAATGTTGTGAACTCGTACGATGCTGCCTCGGATTTTGTCTCGGTCGTTTTAGATAATAGGGTAGATTTTCCCACGGATGGAAATCTGAATCACAGCATCAGCAGAATTCGTGAGAGGAGAACCCCCCAAATATCTCACAAAGTGTCGTACCCAATCATTGCCACTCTCGCATCCCCACTTCGGACCACATCGAAACCTGCACCCTTCGGTCCGCTCTTTCCAGTCGGCTCAAGGAGCATCACCCGATACCGGGCGAGCTTTGCCTTGAGCAGACCGAGATGGTACTCGGTCGCCTTGTTCTTTTGCGTTCGCGCAATCTGTGAGTGGAGATTGGGTTCTGTTAATGGTAGTTCGCAAGCAAACATGTCCAAATGCCCTCACTTCACGCTCAATATCCGCTGCAAAAAAAGGGCTTATTTCAGTTTCGTGAGGAGCAGCTGGAGCTAACAAAGGCGGTTTCTTACCCCGCACTTACCAATCTTTTCTGTAATTCCCATTTTTGCGATCACCAACAACCATGCGTTTTGGCCGAACTGGTTTTGATGAGCACCCACGTGAAATGTATGTACAATCCAACCGTCATTCGAATGATGTTTAACCTGTCAACCACATCGCCAATTCATTTGGCTCTCCTGGTTAAAATACTTTCTGAGATTGGGCACGCTGTCACGAAAGGATACTTGAGCAAGAGTTAATGGTGTGGCCCATTATGATGATAGTATAAGCGGTGTGGCATTCATCGGCATATAAATGCGCTGTTAAAACACTTGGTTTTGTGAGCGAAGCAGCAAGAACTTCACGCTCATTTTGGCACAGGCTACAGTCACCAGCTCAGCTTTTTGAAATAAACTTTCTTTTCCAACTTCCAGGTGCGATTATCTTTTCATTCGGACTGTTTCGAGTCATTGAACCCTTGGTCCAATATGTTCTCCCAGCAATGCATCTGGGAAACAAAAAGAAAGCCAGATGATTTTGAATAGATAGTAAGCAACATGCGAAACACGACCAAGGAAGCCATGTCGAGCATCATAAAGTGCAATTTTTTCAATCCATTCCCACATAAACACAATTTAATACATTGGAGATACAATATCATCCTTCTATATCAAATCCACCAGATGTGGGCGACCCCATCTTGCTCTGGTGTCCTGGACTACCAAATGCAGCCCCAACAGGGCTTCTTCCTTCTCCTCTGTCCTTTCTAGGTGCTTTATATGTAAACCCTGCAAAGGCCAATCTTTTTCTCATATCCAACATGTCCTCAGTCTCATCCGCAGCTCCCTTGCTTTTCCCTCCCCAGGCTTCTTTGATCACATCTTCCTCGTTCACTTCATCAAAATAGGATGTGTCCACTTCGCTTTTTAGATCTGGACGGAATGGCGCTGGACGGCTTCCCAATTCATCCCATTCAATATCACGGAACCAAGGGTGTTTTTTTATTGCTGCCGCATCTCCTTCACCAGACATTTGCGACAGCGGGGAGGTTACAGATGCAGCGGACGCACGGGGTGTTGTGTTGGATGACCTGCGGGTAGCCGACATTGGTCCGCTACCTAATCTACTCTCCTTGTCACAAATCAGCTTCATGATCAGATCTTGTGCTTCTCTGGAGACTTTTGGCTCAGCAGGAAACCGCAAGGTTTGTCGCCAGTTGACAATTTTGAGTTTAGTCTGTTGCCGGGTTTTACTGCAAAATGGCGGGAAGCCGTAGAGCATTTCGAAAATAATTACGCCTAGAGACCACCAGTCGCACGCTTTGTCGTACCCAGTCCCGAGAAGAATTTCTGGAGCCATGTAGTTGTTCGTTCCAACCACCGAAAATGCTTGCTGCTTTCGATTTGCATCCCTCCAGCGCAGAATCTTGGTATGCGGCGGTGGAGCGAAGATATCAGCTTCGGATTCACCAAGTAAACTGGTCTCAGTCGACATTGAAGACAGCCCTGTCAAGGAGGATGGAGATGTGCTGGCACTGGGTTCACCGTCCCCGTAGGCACGCTGCATCGTGATTCTTCGCTGCTCTTCATAGTATGCAGAGTCGTGGGCCCAGTGAAAGTCTGTAGCTAGCCCAAAATCAGTGACTTTGATATGGCCGTCTGCATCAAAGAGAAAATTGTCGGGTTTGATGTCCCGATGGATTACTCTAAATTGATAATATATATGAGTGATCAGATCCTGACTTTTGGCATTCTGTCAATCGTACCCGAGTTTATGCACTTCTTCGATAGCCAAAATCATTTCTGCTGCGTAATGTTTGGCAAAGTCCTCCTCAAAAATATCCAACTTTATCAACAAGCTCAAAAGATCCCCGCCGGGCATAAAGTCCATCACAAAGTACAAGAATTCGTTATCCTGAAATGTATATACCAGCCTCACGACCCAATTGGCACACTCAGCAGCCTCTGATAAAAGGTCCCGTTCAGCACGAACATGACTTTCTTGATTCCGCTTTATCGCTTCCGATTTCTTGAGTATCTTCATGGCAAATATATCACCAGTGCTCTTCTGTCGGACAAGCCGGACAACCCCAAAAGCTCCATGCCCAATTGTCTTTATGGACTCAAAATCAGCTATGGAAAGCTTTTCCCGCATACGACGCATGCGCTCCGATTCACGGTGAAGCCATTCTTGACGAACAACGCGTTTCTCAGACTCGGTCATTGTCATGTTTGATAACTCTGATTCAAGCTGAAGACGCCTTTTTGCTCTTGCGGTAGGGCCAGATTTGTACAGGCGGTCAAAATACTGCTCAAAATAAATCTTGGCAGCGACCGAGCGCTCTACAGTGGCACGAGACACGCTAGTCTTGCTTCCGCCAGCCGTTGACGGCCGAGAAGAATTCTCGGTAATAGATGTAAAGGATTGAACACTGTTGCTTTGTACAACGGGAGCTTCCGGTGCCCTGTCGCCGACTGTTGGTGGTGCTGAAACAGAGTTCCTGGCATCACCCTGTACGGGTCCTTTCTTTTGCCATGGCTGTAAGAGTGCCTTGAAAGACCGTACGCCTTCTGCTGGTTGCCCTGAAGGACCTCCACTGCCTGAAGCCAAGGTGCCTCCGCTGGATGTCACATAGTTTTGGTACTTTGACTGGTCATCAACTCTCGGTGAGATGTTCCGTTCCAAGGTATTTAATCTTTGTAAAACGGTTTCCGCTTGATCAGGAGTTGCAGCATGTAAGCGATGACTGACTTGTAAGAATAAGGGAGAGGAATGAGCCAAGCGTAAGAAACGAAACAACCATTTTCATGCCCTCGGTTCTGTTGTACTGTCACGGCGTTACCCAAAGGGTTCAACGCTCCTCTGGACATTCACGGCCAGAGCAAACAGACATTATAAACCAAAGAGATTGAAGGATACGCACTCAAAGTTGTTCGGCGCGGATATCATATCTTTAATTACGCGCCGTTTCGCATCTTTCTTGCTTGCTTTTTGAGGCAGTCCAGAACGTTAATACAAGCCCACTCATCAAAATCGTCGATAGAGAATGTAAACCCACATTGTGCAGACGGTTCGGCCATGGTTAAGTAGGTTTGCACTCCTGCGCTAGGAATGAGTTGTCGTCCAGTTCGTTTGTAGCGCGCGTTTGCTCTGTGCGAGTCGGGTGGTGAGGGCTCGATTACGTAAGAGTTGTTTGTCAAGGATCGCAGTTTCCAGAAGGACGACGATGTCCGCTACTTGTTCACCATTAAAGAAAGCTTTCTTGCCGGATGTCCAAAACCCCTCTTTGCTACTGTCAGGTTCCTTTTAGGACCATATCATTCATCATCGCAACTTTCTCTGGTTATATTAAAGGACCGTGCGTGTCTGGTTGAGGGTATCTCATGCTGTTTGCCCATTTCGGGCCACATGTACGAGGGATGTTTCTTGACACAGCCTGGGCTTGATATCTATCTTTTCAAAGCACTATTCTAAAGTTATTTGGCCCGCCGGGTTTGCACGCGTCTCGGTTTTCTGAACGGTTACTGCTTCGTCTATAAAAACCCAGTTCTTCTCCATCTTCCCTCATTTTCTGCTCTGGTCAACGTCAAATAAACTGCCCTCCAATTTAGCTTCCGTCTTTGCACACTATCAACAAATATCATCATGCATTTGACCAGCGTCTCTCTATTGCTAGCAGCAGCTATGGCAGCAGTGAAAGCTCTCCCTGCTCCTCAAGGGGGTATCCCTCAAGGTGACTTTAGCGTTCGCCCTACGCCCGCCTTTGCAACGATTCCCGCGCAACTCAGTGAAATCGCTACGCTGGTTGTCGAAACCGAAACGGCCACCGCAACCGAAACTGCGACCGAAACCGCAGCTGCGACCGAGACTGCGACCGAAACGTTGGAAACACTCGAAACTTCAGTCGCTACAACCACCACCGTTGCTGTAACAGAAACCGCTACGGCAATCGTTCCTGCAACCCTCGGCCCCATCACGCTGGGCGTTACAACCGATGCAGCCACGGCAACCGCCTCGGCTCCTGGTCCCGTTGTCCCGAGCCCCGTTCTTCCTCCCATTTGTCGGCGGGCAGGCTGTAATGGTGAACTCTGCGTGGTCAACTCTCGCGATGCTGTCCTCAGCCCTTGCGTGTGGAAGCCCGAGTTTGCTTGCTACAACTCTGCTACCTGTGGCTACAACGCTACAGCTCGTGCTTGCGGATGGCAGAACACCGTCTCGCTCAGGACTTGCATTAGCGCTGCACGACAAAGTGCCCAGATCTAGTGCCCCCAATTTCAATGCAGTGTTGGGAGAATTTGTACAATGAATGTCTGTAAATCTGATATATGTAATAAATGTTAAGTTTTCACCGTTTAACCGGAGTACTGTGGTAACAATAATGAGCCCTGACAATGCGCAACCTGTGGTTCAATGACCTTTGGTTAGGATTGGCCAGATGAGGACGGGATCTGGGTAGATTTTCAAAGTGCATCATTGATGTGCATGCATTGCAGCATGATCCATTTCTTTGCTTTGCGGACCTGTGAGACACTTGTCTCGTTGAATTTCAAAAAGGTTTCCGCTGTGTTGAACTCTCGCCGCACGTTGGAGGACGTTACGGGCAATGGTGAGATGCCAATCTTCCCAATGCATATATGGAATCGCAGGGTTTACCCCACTCCCGCGGTCTTTCCCCCGCTATTACTCAAGTACGCTATCCTAACGACACTGTTCTGTTTGTATGTATCATGTGGACAACGTTTTCACTCTGCGCATATTTGTGCCAACTTTGGCATAAAATAATCAAAATATGTAGAATCTATATAATGTTACTATGTATTTAATGTCTCTTAGAGTCTATTCCTTAGTGAGATGGGCAACTGGTTCGTCTCCTTCCACCGTGGTCCCACCATCACCCCAGTCACAATTAGAGCCTGCGACATCGGCAGTACTGTGCCCAGTTCTCACCGATCCTCGGTCATCCCACGCCTGCACTCTTGCAGTCGACTCTTGTATATCTCTCAGAAACGCTTCTGCAACCATACGGGCATCTTCATAAGAAATGGCAGACCCCTTATTGCTGCTTACGCTTGGGGAACGGGTAAAGGGTGAAGCTGCGTGTGGTCTGGATGAAGAGGATTTTTTTGACATTCGACTTCCTGACCTTCTGAGAGCCGGTGCTGGTGTTGTTCGAGACAAACTAGACGGTGTGTATTCTAGGTTGGATCTAGGAACGGTAGCTGCAGATTCCAGAAAGGACAGAACCGTGTTAGAAGGGTTGGTAATGTCTGGTGTTCCCGTACTTTCAGAGACTTGTAGTTCCGCACAAATATCAGATTGAAATAATACCTGGATCGCTCTCTGGAAAACTTGTCAACCCCATGAGAGATGAAACCGTTTGAAAGCGACTCGCTAATTCAGCTCGAGCAGCTTCATCGCCTTGTCTTGCTTGTCGCGCTAAACTCTTTACAGAAGATCTGCCTAGACTCGCCCTTTCACTGGCGACATTCCTCACGGTAGAGGCACGAGACTCTCTGCGTGCCATGTTCGGGGGTCCATGAGGCAGAGGAGTTAAATAGTCTATTGGAGGTGGTGGGAAGAGATGATCGCTCCGCGGCTTCCCGTAGAGCCCGCTCATGGGCGTGCTGTCCTGCTGGAGCATATCGCGATGCGCCCACCAGGCAGCCTGTTTGGCTCTCTCGCGTTTGATGTAGATCCAAGCACTCACGATGATAATAGTAATTAGCAATGCGGCCGCTATTTTACGCTCTTAGTATGGTAGTAGTCTGCAATACTTTGAGCTATTTCTTTTACCTGCCGTCACTCCTGCTACAATGATGACTATGTTTGAATCGCCATTGTCCTGTGAGCTCGCTGGAGCACTGACTGGTGCAGCTGGCGGCGTCGTACTTGCCATACTGGCAGTTGCGGTTTGAGTTGTACTAAATCTTGTGCTCATCGTAGTTAAAAGTACAGTGCTAGGGTCAAAGTGGGAGGAGACCTAGGCAGTGTAAAGAATATGTGGAACCAGGTTTGATCGACCTGCAATCGTCAACACACGACCGTGAACAGCGAGATACTGCGTTCCACAGCACCCAGAATATTCAGCTGGTAAGCAAACGGCTGCCTCTCCAGTATTACAGACAGCAATTGAGAGTGCAGCCGCTGATGATAAAAGGGTCAATTTTGAGGGAAATCTGAACCGTGCTTCTGTCAAAATGATCAGCAAATCAAAGGTCCGACTGGTATGTTCCGGGAAGCCAAGGCCATATTGGTCAAATATCAATACAGGCGGTAATTGCTGGGTTACCGATAGATTTTGGAGTCCGACAGATGAGATCATGGCTTTTTGGCAGAGCAAGACATTGGACGTTCAGTATCAAGAACTTGCGAGGGGACGCACATGGTCGGCGGCTCAGAAAATTGCGCATACATAGGCGCACGTTTGCAGCGGCTCGGCGCCATGAAGTTTGGCAGCGGTGGGCGGATTTTGACAGCTGCCTTGCGGAGAGCAGAGCTGCTGTGCCACATGCGCGTTGTCCAGCGTTTGGTCATCAACAACGGAATTGAGAGATTCGATTCTCCGCAAGAAACCGGACAAGGTTATTCATGAAAGTACTATGGTGGGGTATATCGTAGCATATATTAATGGTGCACTGTCGCCGATCTTTGCAAGCCCCAGCCCTTTCCTTCCCTCCCGCGCCCACTAACGTTGGAAATGCAGACTGTTAAGCGAGTACAAACAGCAGACTCCGACTAGACATCATTCCGCATTCCATTACCCACGTTACAGGAACGTAATACGATATGACGCCCAGCCCCTTGTAATACTTGCACTCAGACAACGCATTATCAAAACCCACCCGCCTTCTTTGCAACCCCAAGCCCTCTCCTCCCGCTTGCCCTCTCACCCTCACCCACAGCCCACTTGACTTGCGCGACTGGGTCGGAGGCTTGACTCTCATTGGACCTTCGCATCTCGTTCGATAACTTGGTTGAATAATGGTGTAGAGTGTCCTTGACTCTCGTTGGACACAATACCTTGTAAGTAGCCGCCATCGACAATATCATTGGACTCGTCAGCAAGACGAGTGGCAGGACGCAGAGTCTGCCTCCCACACCAGCCGCTGTGGTGGCAAATCATAACAAAGTATTTGCTAGCAAAGAATTCTAGACAGTTTGCGGTTGAGGGACGGTTTGTGAGCCCCGGCGGCGAGGATACCCGGATGCCTTCACGGAATGTAGTGCCGCTGCCGGTCAATCCCACGCACTTTCAACTACCCGCGTCTTTCCAGCTTTCCACGCATAAAATGATGATGAAGTTTGCTCTGCCCGTCGGATCTCGTCCGCTAACTTGGCCGAATAATGGTGTAGTGTGTCCTTGACTCTCGTTGAACACAAAAGCTTGTACGTAGCCGCCGTCGACAATATCATTGGACTGGTCAGCAAGACGAGTGGTAGGACGCAGAGTCCGACTCCCACACCAGCCGCTGTGGTGAGGGCCGGATGGGAGTGGACAAATGCAGCCATTGGTCTAGTGGCGCCCACAGCCCGTACCAGGAGGGGGTGTGGGCTAGGCATCTCGCCTCCCTTCGCAGATGGTTCCGCTGCTGGAGCCACGGCGGCAACGACTTCGGTGTTTTGATCGCAGTTACGACAGGCTGTGACGAAATCGCTGTGATCTTTTTTGATTTTGGATCTTCTTCTGCCTCGGTAATTGGATCAGGCTTGATGACCGTGGACACCTCGTTGCTTTGATCGAGAACGACGGCGAACTCTTGTGTCCCACACCCCACCCACACCTGGCCGACAACCGGCACCTTGACTCTCACCAACCTCACCCTCCGCTACCCAAACCAACCCCCCGTCCTCCACATCCCATCTTGGATCGGTTGCCGGCTGTTCCACCGGCTTTCATATGGTTTGTCAACCGATGCCTTTGTTGGCCGCTTCTCATACGGTTTTCCTGCAAATGCGTTCCGAGATTGAGCGACCTTTAACCTCTTCATCATCATTTTGTGCGTTGAAAGCTGGAATGATGCTGGTAGCTGAAAGTGCGTCGGATTGACCGGCAGCTCATCTTCTGAAGCGACTGGATCGATCACCAGTTGCTCTCTCTTTTTTTTTCTTGGTTCTCTTCTGCAAGTAGTTTGCCATGGCCTCTTCCACCAACTTTCTCGTGTAGCTCGTAACTGGGGAGGGATTTGATGCGGGCGTCATGGTGAAAACCGTGCGTTGAGCTGTTGAGTGGTCGCGTAGGTAGACTTGATCATCGGCGGTGACCACGTCTGTCTCGTCATTCGCGGGCGCAGACTGTGGGGTGAACGCGAAGGGCTCGACCGTGGACAGGGAATGAGTTGGGGGTGCCGCATTGGCTTTCGACTTTGGTTTCCTCATCGATTTCTTTGGCATGTCTGAAGAGACGGGAGGTAACAGATGCAGCTGTGCAGGTTGAAGAGAGTAGGAAGATTGACAAATGTAGAAATGTCTCATGGTGGGAATCGAGTTGAACGATCAAGAGTAAGAGTTGATGAACGGCGGGAGCGGTTGGGTGGTCGCTTTTTTATGCTTTTCACCAGAGGAATCTGGCCCTGGTGTATTTCTTGACACGCCAGCTGGGCCAGATTTTTCAACATCTTTTTGCAACTGGCACAAGCTGGGCATAATCAGCTACGTGTCTGACGCACTAGCGGGCCACATTTTAGTTTCGCTAGGCGAAGGGCAATGATGCAAGTGGCACGAGCGGGCCAACGATGAACCAATCTATCAGCAGCTGGGCCATTGTCGTGGACTAAAGAAATCATCCTCCTTGGAACACGTTCAACGTTATACGAGTGTCGGTGTGCGATGGGACGATAGACGATGCCCACCTCCCCTCATCATCCAAGGGCAACATGCAGATTGGTGGTTCTTTGGGCCGCATCATATCAAAGTTTGCTTTTATAGTTTATTTTGCAGGCGATCTGAAATCGCATGTCCGTGTTTTCATCGAACAACCCAGAGCATAGTATATTCCATAATGTCAATCGTGGACATGAGATGAAAACGAGAATTCCATGTGCTTGTGGACGAGCGCAAGCGGCGGAGTAGCGAGTGTGCATTGTACGCGCGGCTACACACTTGCTCATTCGAAAAGTGGAAGAATGGAAGAATTTAGACCTTTAGCAACGCAGTCCCCTTTGGTACCACCCACGGTCGTCCTCCCCTACGGGTTATAGTAAATTGCCAAACATCACACAGATTGGAGAAGTCTCCGTGCAGCAGATCTTTGGGCCCTTGACTTGTGGACGATGGGGACCCTCAACCAAAACTTTAATAATCCTGCGGACGACATGTGTAGCTGGCAAAACCTAAAGCCAAAACAAGTCTACAATTGCCAATGATCTACGGGTAAACCATCTTTTCAGAATACATTTCGTTGTTGCCGCGAACCAAGTTGAGCTCATCGACTGCTGCTCTCCCCCCTGCGCAATCCTTTCCTTTGCTTGCTTTTCAAATCTCTCCAAAGGCTGAATGGATTCATGCCTCGCAATGGAACGCTCATGCATCGCCATGCAATCGCTATGCCATTTCAACAAGGTTTTAAACTCAATATCTCCATAAAACATCCCCAACCGTCAGAAACCTACATCCACAAAATAAACAAACAAAAACAGTAAATAAAAACCAACCTCCGTTTGACACAAACTCGCCGCTGGTCAAATTTTGAACGATTACCTGATCATACTGTGCCACTTTGGGGTGGCACAGTGCACAGCGGGGACCTCTTGCTCTCGATGAGCGTGTTTTTTATAGGTTTTTTACCTTGCAAATCTCTTGAGCATCACGGAAATCTCTCCAGAAGAACTACAAGATTTGAGCTGGTTGGGTGTCATCCTCTGGAGATGGGTGGACCCCGCTTATCCGTTCAGCTGGAGCGAGGGCGAACCCCGCACTTTGCAGGAGAGATTATGAAAGGTGCGTGCATGTCCTCCAGATATTGAACGGAGAGTTTAGCCAACTGACACGATTGACAGGCCGGGTGATTCTCGACTGGCAGAAAGGAGGTCCTGTCAAGTATGTGCGTCTACGGTGTGTGGGCGCCGTTCAATTGACTGGAAAGGCAAAGCCTGATCTGTAAGTTTTGAAGCGGAAACGAATGGGAAGCACGTTGGTGCGGGAGGGTAGCAGATGTGAGACAACGTCGGACTTTGCCTGTGGGTGGTGGAGGGCGACTGCCACTGCAGATACAGTCACGCTCAAAATAGCGATCTGCAATCTGCGGTCTCTCCAAAACGTATCACAAGCAAGCGTACTGATATCTCACCCCCTTTCAGTGCGGAGATTATACGAACCCTTGACGCAGCGGAGCGAACACGCCTGCTCATGTACTACGAGAAGATTATATGGGGAAAGCGCGCCAATACAAACACGCTTGGGGAGAACATTTTTGACGTGGCAACGATGCCATCGGGAAAGCAGATCTTTCCTTTTGAGTTTCCGCTCGTGCGGAAAGATCCTGGTATGGAGTTGGTGCTGCCTTCCTCGTTTCAGGTATGAATGTGCACTGTGAAAGTGTTGCTCTCTTGGGTTCATTTTGGATGATGGCCTGATTTTTTCGACTTTTTATTAGAACTGGAAGATTGCAATTGTATATTTTGTACATGTGGAAATAGTCCGGCCATGGCCTCGCAAAGATTACTCTTCCTTTTATCCGTTTCACGTTGCTTGCCTCAACGATACGAATGATCCTCTATACCATCAACCGCAGGCGATCACGCGGGGGATTGACGTGGGCTTACTAGGCCTTTTTCTCAAGGGGACAATAGAGGCCCGCGTCAGCATCCCTCGAAAGGCCTATTGCAAAGGTATAAATGGGCACGAAGGACGATATCAGCGAACTTGACTATCATTTGCTGACCTCCTTATGCACTTGCAGGCGACACAATTCCCATCCGTTTGGAAATTAATCACATGGGCAACGTCAAGCACGTAACGGGCGTCCACATCTCGCTTGTCAGATATATTCGATGGAGATATCCTACGCGAGGCATGGGCTATGCCGTCGATCCATTTATCCCTCATTCAACATTTTCCCCCGCAAAAGTAGCGAGAATTCGACATGTATACGAGCCTCTTGATATAGCGCCCGGTGACGTGGACGTTGACCTTACGGTGGACTACTTCATTGACCCGATACGACGAGAGAGAGGGACCAAGAAAAAGGCTACCCTCAATCCTGACACGCCACTTGCGTTGCATTACTCGGATGACTTTCCTTGGAGTAGTTTGGGGCGGGACGATGACGTAGTAAGGGTGTCCTATGAGCTACAGGTCCAATTGAGAATAGGACGCAGTGATGCTCGAAGTATGAATAAGAGTGTCGATGATGATACTGCATCTCTCGAACATCTTCCAAATGGAAAGTCGGACGAGATGGGGTCTAGCGACGAAGAGAAGCGGAAAGTAGACCATGTTGTCAAGTCTCTAGCAGACGGGATGTTGAGCGGTGGACGTAAATCCTTGGAGTTTAGTTTCCCCATCGTAATAGGAACAATCCCTCTCAGGGAAACTTTGGCGGAGCCTCCTCGACGACCATCGACGAGAAGCACCGTACGCACAAATCGGAGCAGGTCTACATCTGTGCCCAGACGACGGCGAAGAAACACCATTTCTGGAGGGTCTGATCGCATGTCTCTATCAAGTCGGCCTAGTACACAGAATTCATCAACGTCCACTGAAAGTCGCCCGCGAGCATCCTCGGAAATAAAGGGACAACTCTCGATAAAGACTCAACGACAGAATACCTCATCCCCACTCCCGTCACGCCACCCGTCAAGTGCCTCCGCTTCAAGCTCTGCCCTCCATCTTCTTCCTCCCCGTCCCATTCCACGATCTTTTGCACCGACCTCCCCATCTCTAGACAATATCATGAGCGCTTCAACCGACACTTCCAACGTCTCTAGTCCTAGTATTTGCGCGCACTGCTCGTCGCACATGCGAACGACCTCAAATGGTTCCATCCGCAGTTGTAGCGGGGAGAGTACGTCACCAAGTACGCCCTCTCCTTCCGCCCCCCCGGCTCACTTGGTGCTCACACCTCCACCCGATAAGAATGCATATGCTCTCGCAGCGGAACAATCGAGCGTGCGATCTACGGGTTCTACTTATCAGAATCCTACTGCGTCAAGTTCCGCAGTTCATCGTGATGCTTCCACAAACGGGACAAGAGGAGTTGATGCAATAGACGAACCATGGCTTCCTGTAGAGCCACCACCCCCTTATTCGGAATACTCATAATTTTTTTCTTTTGTTCGTCACCCCGCACATGCTTGCCAAAATCTATGCGGATTCATGTTACATTCTTACAATTCCCCAGAAGGTTTATATAAATTCATGTAATACATTTTGATTGTTTGACAAAGATGTACACAAGTGGCGTGAGCTGATCATTCTAATTTCGCATCCAATATTAACACAGTAAATGTATATACATAAAAATATCTTTTAAGCAACAACAAACGACCCATTCTCAAAGCGCACTGCGTTGGTCACGGGTATACCCCATTGGACAGCTCTCTGAGTACGATCCAGTCCGGCCAATGCATACAAAGCTTCCACTATCCCACCTACACCTTCCCCAGCTACCAGCCCCGACGCGACGGCGTAGCAATATAGCTCATGCGATGTCGGGGATCGTCTCTTCCAGAAAAAAGTGATCAGAGCTCCTGTAAACATCGCGAGACCAATGTATGGTTGCGGGTTTACAAGGGCGATTCCGAATGCTATTCACAGCCAATGGAACCATCATTAAATGGTGGTCAGGTTGCATAAATGAAACCTTTCAAACCTTACCACTTAAACTCGGCAAAAATTGTCTAAAATTTGGTCTGACCAGATTATACTTTACAATTGTAAACACGATGCAGATAATCAACATCGCTAGACTCATCCATGCTGCCGATGCAGGGACCGTCTTGTCGATCCCTGACGTAAGAGCAACGGAAACTGCGGTCCAGGATGCAACAGCAGGTGCTTCAAATTCGCATGTTTGCCCAGGAACAGGCATCCGAAGAATGCAAGGATACGATGTTCCGAATAAGATGAAAAGCCCGACGGAGAGGAACACCGCTGCCAAACTTGCAAGGGCTTGCGCAAGGAATTGGGCTCGTGGTGGTGATCGGAGGAGATGTGCGGTCTTTAAATCCTCTACCATGTCGACCTGGTCAAAGGGGAGAAAATTTAACCATGACTGATTTTCAAAAACGACCGAGTCCATTTTTCGACTAACCGTTTGGGAGGCACACGCAGCAGCAACATTCCCAGCAATCAAATTGGTCTTCAAAGCCTGGCGCATATCGGAATGACGAAAAGCCGCAAAAATGAATTGGGTCGTTTTTCCAATCGCTCCTGTCGGGTTGATATCTGTCTCTCCTGCAGCTTGTAAGCCTACAAACGCCAGTAAGAAGCCGAGTATAATGGCAATAAGGCCTTCATAAACTGCGAGACCAAACTGCCAGGTCAAAATCCTAAAGACACAGAAATCAGCCAGTGGTTTGACATGCCCCTTGTGTGTGCCCCTAACACGTACGCTGTGGTGAAAACTGTGGATACTAATAACCCTGTTCCCCACCATAAAGCTGGGACACGCTCATGGGGCAGCGTCGGATCTTCCTCCTCCGAATGTTCATCCGCGGGATCAGCATGCACCATTCCTTCTCCAAACACCTGCTCCCGCTTTTCGTCGGTCGAAACTTTCGCAGGTGCGACTTCTTCGCTGTTCACTCTGGTCATTGGATAGGATGACCCAGTTGATCCTTTCCTGGTTATCTTGGCCGCTGCTTTTATCCCGCCCTTGGTTTCCTGAAATAATCCTGTAAACCCCCGCGCGAGCGACTTCCATCGCACACCAAGCTCTGCAAAGCTTGATGCGATCATCAACACCACCCCCGGCCAAAGAAGCCAGTATTGAGCCGTCACTTGACGGTTAAACTCTTCTATGGATGTGGTACTGTTGAATTCAGTGTAGTGTGGGAAACCAAACGCGTTCGTTACGGTCCCGGTTGCAAGAAGGGTGGGGCCTAAATCACCAGCAATAAATGTTTAAGTCTAGGAATTGGGGTGCACGAACAACGCATCATCACGGATGTGCGACGCACCGATAATAGCCCATGCTGTAACACTTCCCGCAAAGAACGATGTCGCAGTATTCATTCCCACTAGCATCCCCGCGCCTAGAAACGCCAGCCGAAACTCCAGCCTCCACCGCCACAGCGCGTCAGCAGCCATCAATGGGATCGACCGGGCGGCTTTCCCAATAAAGTATAGAGGATGCCACTCTAGTAGAACGGGTATCCACCAAGTAATGCATTTTACAGCAAAGGCCAGAACAAAGGATGTAACCAAGATCTTTGCCTTCTTGCCGCTATTCAGCTCTCCCTCTACGCTGTCATGAAGGGATTTGATAGTCTCAGCCGACACCGTAGCCGATGGGAAGATCAGTTTCTGCTTCAGAACTGCCAATTGGAATATAATCAGGATCTCCACACACTTGAGCGTTTTAGCGATTGACCGCAACTTACTAAAGTAACGCCGCAGAGGAATAGCAAAAAACAGCCCATAGTATGCGGCTGCTAGTGCAAACAATAGAAGCGGAACCACATCTTTGGCAACCGTGTCGCTCATCAACCCTAATCGATAAAGAGCTGGAATGGCTGTCACAAATCCCACAGACAAGCCTCCCGCGGCTGTCGCGCTACTCTGTACCGTACAGTTCTCCTTTGGTCCAAAGTAACCACCTATTGCCAAAAACCGTAGCTAATGAGATACTATTCATTGGTTTTGTCAATGGGATACTTACCACCGAACCTCGGAGACAAAATCCTTGATAATGGCTTTAATATCGCAAACCTATAAAGTACCGAAGATCATCAATACTACAAAAAGTAGGCAGACGCAGGGGATCTTGTCTCAAAAACCATCAATATATCATACCCAACAATAGATCCAAATAAGGATGCTCCAAAGGTCCACCCCACAGTCAAGCCCAGATACATATTCGAGGCCCCAATTATGGCACCCAATATCGTGCCAACAAAGACCGCGCGGAACGTGAAAGCTTGCTCTTCAACACCATTCGTTCCACGCAATGGCGGGTCAAACCCTCCTGGCCTTAGACCTTCACTGTCAATGGATTTTTTCTCCTCCAAGTCTACATATTGCAGGTCTTCTGATAATCTGCCTTGGTCGAACTGGGATAGACACAATGAGCATTAAAGATCAGTTATAACCTTGGCTCACTAAAAATTCTCTCAACACGACAATTCACCTGTTTATAAGGATGGTAATCTGCAGGTAGAGGCGTCATCGCATAGATCCAAGCAATGCAATCACCATCACGGTCAACGTAGTTTTTGTGCTAAAACGTCAGTCAAGGGCTGAGCAACGACCGCTTGGATGGCTGAGTCATTCCAGTGGCTGTGAAATCAATAGCCAATATCTTCAGTAACAGGCTGAAGCGCCCTGGTGGTTTAACAAGACGAATGATTTCATGCAAAAGATATCCATGGTTGTAATCGCTAATGAGAAAGAACGTCATCACAGCTAAATAAAACAGTCAACACACCCCCCTTCACCCTGAATGCAGCTTCGCCCTAATACTAAAATTCTTGATAAATTGGTGGCTATCCAACAGGATTTATTCGTCCACAATGAGCTTTGTAACTTTTCCGATGGCTATGGTTTTGCCTTCATCACGAAGAGTGAACCGCCCGAGCTGAGGATAATCTGCATAGGTTTCCAAACAGATAGGTTGGGTGGTTTGAACACGTACGATCGCAACATCCCCCTGCTTCAAAAACTGTGGCGGTCGCTTAGTTTTCTTCCCGCTCTTTTTGTCAACAGAATGAAGCAATGCCTGAAGCGGAAATTACTAAGTGAGGTTCCTGGTTCTTTGTCTAAAATATGAACATACCGAGAGGGTAATCTCTTCCACACTCGTATGAGCATGCATGACGGCAGTGTACCCGGCACAAATGATATTTTTGTACTCGATGATAGCCAGTTGGGCGTCAAAGGCAGTGACATGGTGGACGGGGTTTTTGTTGGTACAAAGGACGAAACCGGGCATAATATCCTATCCATATCTTAATTAGCGACCTTTCCATAGAAGAATCTCTGCAAGAGCACTCATTACCTCTTCTTCGACGCCCTTCAATCGTAATCTCACGTTGTCTCCACTTTTCGCCACAGCCAGCTCGTGGTCTTCCTGCATGATGGCAGATACCTCTGCTTTTTGCTATATGACATTTGTTCAGATGTATGAATGCCATTTCATAGACAATTTCCATCGGCTCACCTTGTTTGGCATGATGAACACACTCTGTCCTTTTCGCACTTTGCCGGACTCAATCTTTCCAGTCACAACTGTACCCATGTCCTAAGTAGTTCCGCAGTCAGAGTAAGGACAAGACCACAACAATCCGGAGTTTTATGTACCTTGAATTTGTCGGCGATAGGCATCATAAATGGTCGGTTGAAGCCTCTATCGGGAATTACCATCTCATCGAGAAGATTTATAAGTGAGGGTCCGCTAAGAAATAGAGTACATGCCGGTTAAAAAAAAACAATTGGGGCATTTCTGCATCTGCGTTTTTCGATGTCTGCATACCTGTACCACTCGCATATTTTCTTATCCAAAGGATCTTTCAAGTTGGCACCAGTAAACCCAGATACAGGCATGCAGTCCAGATCTAATCCGAATGAATCAGCGCGCGTGAAGTTATAGTTTGACCGTCAAACTCCAGCCTACCTGTCTTGGGATTGAATCCCACTTGCCTCAGGAAGGGCATAATCTTCCCAATACATTCGTCGTATCTACAAAACATGAATATGAACAAAGCCCTTGACAAAATGAACATGACAAAGTAATTACCGCTCCTTCGACCAGTTCACAGTTGGGTCGTCCATTTTGTTGACCACAACAATGAGGCGCTTGACTCCAGCCGTTTTGGCCAGCATCGCATGCTCCCGGGTCTGGCCCCCACGCTCAAAACCGGTCTCAAATTCTCCCTTCCGGGCGGAAATAACGAGGACGCCAACATCCGCTTGGGATGCTCCTCCGATCATACTTGGAACAAAGTTCTTGTGTCCAGGAGCATCCAAAATGGTGAAGCGTCGCTTTTCTGTCTCAAAATAACCGCGGCCGTATTCGGTAGTTTTGCCCTGTGACAACCAGCTTAGATGGTACTTCGAGGTACACCATCTTACTATTTCGTTTATACCTTGTTACGTTCTTCTTGATTCAAGTCCAAGGCCCACGAGAGGTACCATGATTCACGTCCTAATTCCTTTGCCTCCCTCTCATACTTCTCCATGGTTCGCTTATCTACCATCCCCGTCAAGAACCTACAAATACCCTAGGCGTCAGATATACAATGGAGCAGTGAATGTCACACTCGACACTCACAGTAGGTGTCCACCCATGGTGGACTTTCCAGCATCAACGTGACCAATGAACACGATATTGATGTGTTCTTTGCCCTCGTCAGTCCCATCGTCTTCTTGTTCTGGTTCAGCTTCCACCTCAGGCTCAGGTTCTACTGCCTTTTTCTCTTCCTTCTTTTCCTCCTTTTTCTCAGGAATCTCTTCTTTGGGTTTGGGAGCCTCTTTGACTTCATCCTTTGTCTCTACTTGCTCCTCCTGCTTCAGTGATGGTGCAGGCTTCTCTTGGGCTTCCGCCTGGGCTAGCTTGGCGGGGGTCGTACTCTCTGCACAAAAATATTAGCGACAGGATTAACGAAAAGCAGATCTCGATCATTGTTCACCTTTGGGCTTTTGATTTCCGCCACCGATCGAGATAGATACTGCCTTCGCGGGCGTCGCTTCTAAGATCGGGTGTGTTAAAATTATGCATACATCAGATATGGTCTGATTCCAGATCTATACAAACCCTTTGGTTTTCCACCGATGGAAATCGACACAGCCTTTGCGGGAGCTTGGTTCCGAGCAGGCGCCGCGGTAGGGGCTTGGTACTGTTGTTGAGGTTGATACTGCTGCTGGCGGGTCTGCTGCTGGTAACCTTGATATGCCTGCTGCTGTTGATAACCTTGCTGGTAACCTTGCTGATAACCGTAACCTTGCTGCTGATGCCCATAGCCCTGGTGATAAGGTTGCTGGTAGCCCTGGTTGTAGCTTTGCTGCTGGTGGTAAGCATAGGGTTGTTGTGCATAATTGCCATATCCTTGCTCATATGATTGCTCTTGTCCACCCCAAGTTGGAACAAATTCGGCAGCGCCAAGGTTGAAGTTCTGAAAGTTGTAGGCAGGTCCTCCACCTCCACCGGCGGTATTTGCCGTGGAACGACCTCCACCGACGTTCATTCGGTTAAACTGTTGAGGAAGGCCATCGGCCTGGTCTTCCCATGAGTCCGGAGGGTTCGACATGATGATAGCAGACTATGAAGCGACGCAACGGACTGTTCCCAATACGTCTGCAGGCGTTGTCGACTGGAGGCTTTCCAAGTTTTCTCGACAACTTGTGCGATCAGTGAAGCCCCGTCACCTTCATTGTCGCTCAACGATCCTTGTTGCTATGGCATTGCATGTGACCTTGAGCGTTCATTGCAAAAACAGCTGCTGCCCAATAAGAGCATTAAAATCGCCTTTTACAAGACTTTTCTTTTTTCACCTTCCTTCCGTGCGCAACAAAAAGTCTTGTGCACATTCTTGATATGCCATACGATGCAAATAATTTGACAAGCATCGATCCAATGTATTAAACCAAATCCATTTTCCCAAATACAAGACATCGCAAATGATCGGTAAAGCAGGTTACAATTATCAAACACATTCCAGCGACTGTTATCTAGTAGTCGTTACGACGGCCAGAAGATCGGTCAGAAGGCCTGTCATGACGAGACCGGCCACCACCATTCCTGTCATCACGGTCATCCCGGCGATCCCGGCGGTCCCGGTCGTCCCGACGATCATAGCCACGGTCCGAGCGAGAACCACGGTCATCTCCACGGTCACCGCCGCGGTATCCACGGTCACCACCAAAAGATCTTCCTCCGTAACCAGAGTCACGGTTGCGGTAACCACCACCGCCACCACGGTTCTCGTCACGGGGTGGACGCTCGTTGGCAATATCAACCCTGATAGGTCTATAGAAAGAAAGGCAAATTGTTCAATAACCGTTCCTGATGGGTCAAATCAAGTCGCATTCTGACCTTCCGTCAAGTTCTTGATCTTTCATGGCGGCTACGGCATCTTCTGCGTTCTTGGCATCGGCGAAGGTAACGAAACCGAACCCACGAGAGCGTCCTTGTTTTCGAAATCGAGTCGGCGAAACATAGGAACATAGGGAACGGAATAGGGCGCCAGTGGTAAACAAAAAGGATGACACGTTCCATGCGCTCAACAACAACATGGTTTAAAGGCAACACCACAAGGACGGAGAGTGCGTCATTTGATAATCCATGACCACGATCAAGAGACTCAAAGGTCGGTCTTTCACAAAACGGGTGCATTCACAAATGGCTGCCCTTTCATTACGGTCAGACGGGTGCATTGAAAAATGGCCCTCTTTCACTCTGTCCGATTCCAACTACAGACGCGTAGCTCATACTGTAGGTCTCCTCCGTCCCTCATGGGAAACAAATACACGAAACGGTCTCGGATCTGAACCTGATTCTCTCTCGGTTATCACATAAGCATCGGTCACTTCTCCATATTTTTCAAAGCACGAGCGCAGGGAATCGTTGGTCGTTTCCCAAGCAAGACCACCAACGAAGACTTTGCTGGACATATTTGTTGAAGACGGGAAATGGAAAAAGGGGCAAAGATGAACGAGATGGAAAAAAACACGTCCAAGGCGAGGGGGCGGCCGTCTTTTATAGCCCCTTTTTTACGTCTCTTAGCAACACAAGTTTGCTTACATAACGTTCACCTAAGTTACTTGTTTCTTACTCCGCCCAAGCGGGAAAGGGTCTTTCAACTCGTAAATACACTAAGTAGTCATCTGTGCTCGGAAGTCATTCATATCGCCATCTGCTTCCATCTGGTGAGCATTTGACGGGTGGGCGTAAATTCGTCCTATTTATCATGATGCACCAGAGGGATGCCCATAATCGCGGAATTAGCGTATGATGCAAAAAAAAGTGAGTTAACCAGGACAATCAACCAAACTGGCGGGAAACAAATAGCTGGCTATTGTTTAGGCATGGTCCAAGCACGTGAATAGGTCATATACGGTTAGACCAAGCAGTTGGCCCTTCCACGGGGCATCAAGCACGAACCACTTGCGTGAAAGTCCGGTACGGCCGTCAGTGGCGTTAGCAACAATACTTGGTGAGTTTGCTCCGAGAATTACCTAATCGCTCAAATTCAGGGTCAACGCTGCCTGGGGGGTTCAATTCTGGTCGATTGTTGGGAACCCGATCACAAGACGGGTATCTCAGACTCTCATTGTGAAGGAGAAAGAGCAGGCTTCTAAATATTCTACTATTCTGTGTGGCAAAATTTCTTTCAAACCGCCGTCACATTGCCTTACACATTTGTTTGACAAAAAGTTTACCTGGGTGCTGGCCATTTCTTTTGCGAGTGCGTAACAATGTCCAGCTCGCCAAGAAGCGCCGATTCCACTTCCGGTGCTCCGTCCCAAGGACGGAAGCGATCCGTGTCTATCGGCCAAAAATTCCTATCACGAAATTGGGGACAGAGTGGAGCGGAGATAGGTGAGGGCGAGCCATCTGAGCTCAGCGATACAGGTGGACGAAGGGCATCCATGATTCAAGGTAGAAGGCTATCCGAATACGGCCGCCCAAAGTCGACCGGTTTGTCCACCCCTGTGCCCGCTGAAGCGTCGTCTTTCTCATCGGATACAGAGGAGGACAGCACCGAGCGCCGAGTGCGTATTGCGCGCGTCATGACTAAACAACAGCATCGGACTTCTGCCCATGTTCAACAGTTCTCTAAAATCAACGTGACGGTCACCGGCACGGATGTGACCTTGGAAATGACAGTTGACAGAGATCAAACTGTGGAGCACTTAGCAAAGCAGATTGAGGCGGAGTATGCTTACAAGTTCTTTCTGCATGAAGAAGACCGCTCTGCAAATCAGAAGAAGGGCCGAGATCCATTGGTTATTGGCCAGGTCTACGATGCCGGGATGTTAGCTTTGAAGTTTGAAGACAGGATAGGTGATGTGCTGGGGTATACGGAGACCGTTTCTGTCATCAATGCCTTTGAAGGTACATTGGCTGTTCGTAATATCCGGACTTGTTTTGCATACCTTTAACAAACTGACGTGCTTACTTACCAGGGGAAAGTATCAATCGCAATATGTCGCCCGTGGACGTCGAAGTATCAGATGCAGAATGCTTAGAATTGTCCGGTAGTCGCGCATCGGATGGAAATGGAATTTCTCCGGGAGAGCACCTTCCACCTCTCGTGATCCCGAATCTCGAAGATTCAATCAATGAGGCATCATCAGTGTTGAGTGGACAGGATCCCTCCGCTTCAGATAAGAGTCTCTTAATAACGTCAGCAGCATCCTTGTTGTCGAACGTAACTACCGCGACGGACAAATCCGCAACAAAAGCCCCTCCACGATCCCGCCAATCATCTCTGTATCCTACCACTTCATCGTTAGACGATCGCCTGCAATCGTGTCTTCGAAATAAACTAGCTCTTCGCTATTTTTCCGAATTCTGCGTTGAAGAGTACACCATTGAAAACCTTCTCTTCTGGCTCGACGTTGAAATTTTTCAATCCTGCAAACCGCTTGCAAGGGATACGTATTCCAAGTACATCTACCTGACATATATTGCACCAAATGCCCCGTTACAAGTCAATATATCAGCGGAGATCCGAAAAGATATTCAGTGGCCGATGCCAGAAGGATATGTCGATGAAACGATTTTTGATGAGGCACAAGAGCAAGTGTACGCTATGCTAAAAGGGCACTCTTTTCTGAGATTTGAGAAGAGTGCAAAATACAAGCAATACCAAGAGGCAAAACAGACTGGTACGTAAAAGTTTCTCGTTATGTATTAAGATCTGATGCGTGGTGACATGCAATTGCGATCTGAAAGTTCTGACATCTGCTTGCCCAAAGATCGCACCGAGTTTCTACGAGGTCGCATTACTGGTCCCTTTGCTGCTCATTTTCCGACCAACGCCGAGACGGCTCGTTCCATCATTCCCATTCTCGAATCCAATCCTCTGGTAGAATCCCCTACAATGCTTGGTACCCTCGTAGGTGACAAGAACAATAGGAACTCCAAGATAATGACGATCAAGTTCAAAGAATCGGTTCTTACCAAGACTTTGACACAATACTTTCCTTTGGCTAACCGTATTTTGGAGGGCTACTTCAATGATGCCAATCGAAGTTCATGGGCAGAAAAGCAGCGGAGAATGCATAAGGAAAAGAAATTGGCAAAGTTCTTCGGGGAACGGCCTTCTGTGGAACTCATTCAAAAGCAGATTTTTGCTGCCTCAGATGTATACTTGGCTGGCTTGGAAGATATTTTAGCATTTGGAGACTCTTCGGATGACCTGCTTCTTGTGAGAAAGAGCGATGAACTGGCGAATACCGAGGACCCTACTAGCATGAGCCAAAGACGAAAGAAGAAGGATAAATTAGAGACGTTCTTCGGGGACAAACTGACCAGTCAGCAGAAGCGAACGCAACAAATTGTCGTCCCCGGCCAAACGACTTCTATTTTGGGCTCGGAGCTAGGGGAAACTGGATCATCAGAATCTACCGAATCCGCGAATTCCGACGAGGAAGTTGCACCCGTAGAAACAACCAACGAACTAGACCCTAACGAACGTCGCATCCTACAACGTCGCACGAAAAAGATTGCCAGCATGCTGGGTGAATCATTGGACGAACGAACGATTTCACAGACTGTCACATTCCCGGCCATGCAAGAGAAGTTGTTCTCGAGCCAGAATCTTAGTGGTTTGGCTCTAGGAGGGGATAGCAATATGCCAATGCCTGTAACCGACAGCGATATAAAGGCGAGATTCACCAGCCGTGACTTTGATACTAGGTCGGCGACGAATACCGTTGATAGTTCTATCAGCGAAGAAGCTGACGCTGACTCAAAGTACGCGCATAAGAGGCGTTTAGATAAGATCTCCAGTCTAATGGGACAACGTATCGGGGTTACTGAAATCCAAGAAGCGCAAGCTACCGCCAACTTTAGCCCACAGCCGGTACGACGGCCTCTTACGCAGGAGGAGAAGAAACAATTCCAAAAGAAAGCTAGTAAACTGGAGCGTCTCCTTGGTCAACTTCCACCCACCGAAGCCCTTTTGTCATCTCTCGCTCCGACCGACAAGCCTGAGGTTACTCGTGTTCGTAGAAGTCTGGCAGGCCTATCTTTTATTTTGCGACAAGCAAAAGACGCCGTGGATATTTTGGATGCCTTGACCGCGATCAGCGAGGACAAGGAGATACCACTACCGCCGCCGCCCCAAAGTACTGGCATATCAAAATCTCCTAGCACACAGTCAAACATCTCAGATGTTCCCGCCTTCTTGACGCCGGGCATTTCGATGGATCTGAATAAAGAGTCCAGGCAGAAGCGATTAAACAAACTGCGAAAGTTCTTGTAAGTGGTAGCCACTATCTGTCCTTCAGTAGAAATCAGGGTTTGACTTTGAGCTTTTTTTTGCAGTGGGGACAATATCAGTGTGGAAATTCTTGTCGAATCCCAAATTCTAGGTGACCTGGAACGGTCAATTGAAGAGGAGGTTGTGGATGAAAATGAGCTCGAACGACTCCGCCGACAAGTCAACGACCTCCGCGAGGACCTTCGACGAAGAAGCGACCAGTTCAGGTACGAGTTGGATCAAGATGACGCTGGAGATTCTAGTGAGGCCGCAAATTACCTTGCAGTTCCAAAGCGAAACTCGGTGACACAGCGCGTGCGTGATATGGTGCCCAGAATGTCTGTTGAGCGACAGTCGTCAGCGGATGTAGGGTCAAGCAAAATCCAGGGAGCAGACAAGGAGATGGTGCAGGGAGAACAGAAAGTATAGGATGGTAGTTAAAAGTACAAGTAGGTACTTGGGTGTGGGAGTGGATGCCAGTTGGGTCCTTACCAAGGGACCCTTAGCTTTGAAGTGAGTACTTTTCACGTCAAAATGAAATGTTTTATTATAAGTTGACATACACGGAATATATCGTACGCTATGCACATCCGCATTATGATTTACCGACCTTTGTCCAATGTTACGATAAAGCAGAACAGAATCTGTTCTAGATACACTTACTATAAACACCCGTATAGAAACCCCAGTATAAAAACTTTCGTCATCGTCCAACATAATTCCACTTACTCTCCCATTGAGGAAGTATATGCATCCTTGGTAGTTTTATAGGCACCTTTTGCGGCAGGCTAGTCTTTCGACTCTGCTTCGACGCACCATTTGGAAAACTGGTAGTAGGTCTTCTTGATACGGCGCTGCCTGGGCTATGCGGTGGCTTTGATAACGGAAAAGCCGGCGGACATGCTCTGTTGGCTCTCTCAACTATAGAAAGAAAGTCACGCACAGGAATGGGGGTTGGACGTAAACGGATAGCTTGGACCGCCGCCGTCCCGGGACGAGCAGAGGTAGTCCTGTCGCCATCAAGGGGTTCCCTGCAAAAGAGGTCAGAATGGTTCCTGCGGTATTGCTTGAGATAGCATCATACTCACCATGAGCCACCGCAATCACTCGCAACTCGAATGGACACCATTCCATCATCGTTTGTTGAAGCTTCGGGTGCCTTCTCGGTCATAATAGTGAGTGTTCCATCACTGCCAGCCATCTTTTTGTCGTTGAACGTCACAATCCCCAGGGTCAAACCACTGCCATTTCGTCTGGGTTTTAACTGGGGAAGGATAGCCACTTCTCCTCTTTGAGTATTGCGGTCGATAGTCGGTAATACATCTTTAGCTTCCAGGGTGGCCAGGAGCTCGGTCGTAAGCTGCGGCATGGACGACCACCACTTTTTCCAATGAGCCGGAACCTCGAGGAGCCAAAAGCGACGATATAGAGCTTCTGAAAATTTCAGCAAGTGGCAGCCTTTCTGGAAGGATCCGGCGATGAATCTAAAAATAGCATGCTCGACGTTATGTCATTAAAAATTTCCAAATGCATTTGGAGAAAGGGACTATTACCAACACGCTCGACAGCGAACCCCTCCCCGCAAGACATTGCCAGCACATGTGAGTTATTGTTCTGGGAAACGTATCTCCTTTGTATCTAATCGGCTATTGAAGGATCTACGTAACCTTTCGGCCGACTCGCTTTGCACGGCCTTCAACCCAAGGCGGACTTATCCTGATGACTATGGCTGTGCCACAAGCGCGTTGCTAGTCACATGATACTGCGCCACGTGTGCGATGATTGGCCAGCAGTTCCGACTATGAAATGGAAGGCTTCAACCCCACAAATGGCTTTCGCCCTCCGATCTTTGATTTGGTCACTGGCTAAGCCACTGTCGCTTTTGAAATACGTTTGGGAGCTTTGGAGGTTTTCCATTTCCAATCTTTTTTCATCGCCGTCAATCTCTTGTTTTTTGTTCCAAAGGATATCCTTGCTTTGAGTATTTACAACAGACACACACACATCTCTCTCCTTTTCTTGCATACCAGTATGTACTTTCGCGCACTACAGACAACAGGTTCAAAATGCCTGCGAGTAGGACGCTTGCAGTCGTCAACACCCTCCGCTGTAACCCTTCCCGTCTTCCGTCGCGGATATCACGAAAAAGTCATTGACCACTATGAGCGTCCTCGGAATGTTGGCTCCTTTCCAAAGTCGAACCCCAATGTCGGTACTGGACTGGTGGGAGCTCCTGCTTGTGGGGATGTAATGAAACTACAAATAATGGTGGACGACGCTACGGGGCAGATTCAGGACGTCAAGTTCAAGACATTTGGGTGTGGTTCCGCGATTGCGAGCAGTTCGTTGGCCACAGAAAAGATCAAGGGACTAAAGGTGTGGGACGCTGCCAAAATCAAAAACACTGAAATTGCGAAAGAACTATCGTTGCCACCTGTGAAACTGCATTGCTCAAGTGAGTCGCTCTGGATGGTTGCCTTTGTTGCCTGGTTTGTTGCTGACTTTCCATGTTTTAGTGCTAGCAGAAGACGCAATCAAATCCGCCGTGAAGGACTGGGAGGCTAAGAGGGCAGCACGGGGTCTGAAACCGTTGACAGCTTAGCCTTTTTCATCCTCATGTCATTATTATCGGCGAGGACCATGCCACTTTTTCTTGCACATTGTATAGTTTTGTAGTTTGTAGAATATATCCTCGTTCATGTTGAGCAGATAAATGGCGGGTTTTGGTGAGCTTTAATATATTCAGAAATGTGAATTATGCGTGGATGAACTGTCAGACGTAAAGTACCATACTACATAAATGGCTATGTGGTCTACCTTACACTAGTCTGCTGGTTTAACGTCTATTAAAAGATTTCCTCGACCATCCGAATTCCTTCGGCCTCCAGTGCCGTCAGCAAAGGCTGCACGAGTTCTTGATCCAGAGGGGCCAAAACACCACGGCGAGAAATTTTACCTGGATGACAGTTTTCAGCGATTATGTTTCATGCTTTGGAATGATACAGACTTACCATCAAGGATGAGTTGGGTGGTGATGGCGCACGGTACACCGACAGTCACGGCCATAGCTGTGTCGCCATTGGGCTCACCGAACCACAATCCAGTAGATGTGCGGGTTTGCTATGACCGAATATTAGTCTCACAGAATGGTGAAATAGTAGAAGTCGCATTACCCACCCGAGTTCCGTCCTTCAACTCCACTTCAAACTTGTGCTGAAGCATAACCATGTCACGTTCGCCAGGCAAGAACTGCATCTTCTCCTCCAAGGTCGCGCAGAGTGTATCAAGGAGAGTGCCACGTTGGTGCACATGAGTGTCGGAGAAGAGGCCCAACCTGAAATATCTTGGTTCAAAGATCGTCTCACATAATTCGGCGCACTAACAAGTGGCTTACCATTTCAAGCCGTGAATCACACGGTCGCCTTCTTCGCCTTGCAGATTCGCCTTTGCGCGGACAGTTTTGATGAGATCCCTATGTCACGACGGTGGATAAGCAATCGCGGCACAAACAGCCATGAGTGAGGCAATGCAAATGCTTACGCCTCAGACTCGCTCGCGCTTCCAACGGATTTTGCAAGGACGGCTCTCTAAGAAGCCATATCTTGGGTCAGAGGAATCATCCACCACCGTGGTCAGGACAGTATCCAACATACCCATGTAATGGGCTCAGAGCCCTCCTTCAAGTAGACCTGCTCTTCATCGCTCAAGAATCCAAGCGCGACAAGGACTTTTACAAAAGTAGGGAAGCCCTAAGTTGTCGGACCAATACTCGCTTTAGACACCAATTGGTTGCAAAGACGTCAACTATGACGGTAGAAATTCCTCCACTCACCTGGTACCGCAAGGTCCCACGCAACACCGTTTGACACTCAGGAATGTTGTAGCGCTTGTTGTACGGCGTTGAGTCACGGTTAGGATACCCCTCGAATGCAAAGGCTGGGTAAATGTAGATAGGCTTGGCACTGTCCATCAATTGGGGCCCTGGAATATCAACCACCTAATACAAGAATATAACACTGATCAGATCAAGTCGCGCACTCAATTGGGTTTGACATGGGGTCTCGAACCTTGCCATCCTGCAGATACTTGGCGTTGTTACGAAGCGCCAACAGGACGCCACGGGAACTCCAGCTGAACTTGTATCCAAGAGGGTTGTTGGATGCCTCGGGTGCTGGGAGACCACCACAGTAGGACAGGAAAGAGAGAATCTAAACAGGATATGAAAATATGATGCAATAGAATGGATGCACAAAGAATTTACCTTGCCACCCTCAGCGTGAACCTCGTCGATCGTCTTGATCGCATAGAGGTGATCAATACCTGCCCAAGAGTGATAGTTATTCACCGGGCGAACGCTCGCGCTTGAGAGCAGTCAAGCGGCACCATACCAGGGTCAACACCGATTTCGTTGAAAACAGTTACTCCAGCATCCTTGGCACTGCAAAATCATCTAAGGTGAACCGGCGGCATCGGGTATGCTTATTCGAACAAGAACTCACGCTTGGTCAATGGCCTCCATAGCGGGTGAGACGTAACTCGTTGTGACAACGTGCTTCTTGTGCTTAACGGCAGCATTTATCACGCGAGCATGGTGGGTGTATGGAATCAAGCTGTTCCCACGTTAGTTTTCAAACATGTCCCAGTTTCAACACAATGCTGGGAGTAGTACCTGATAACAAGATCATGCTTGGCAATTTCCGCCTCAAGCGCCGCATCGTTACCGACGTCAAGAGCAATAGGAATAACTCGCGGATGACCGTTCGCGAGCTTCTGGCCACCTTGGATGCGTCGGCTGGCTGAAACAAGGGATATTTGCTTTCAGCTTGTAGATCATTTACATGACGGCTAATTGTGATATTCGGAGCGATGACTAACCAACGGTAATCACGTTTTCTTCCCTGCGAAGGAGATACTTCAAGCAAGGACCAGCAACATAACCGGAACCCAAAAGCAGAATCTTCCTGTGATTAGAAGGAACAGTGTCAGCACACAAACAAGGTTTATACTGCTGCCGTTACTGGAGGGTAGGTCTCGCCTTCCGTTCCCCTTCGCACTTACTTTTGTCCAGTCGCCATTCTTTCAGCTCGCTTGAAATTTAACAAGAGATTGGAAACGATTTCCTTGACGTGGGTCGCAAGCAGAAAACGTTGGGCCTGTGCGATCTCTACCCATCTCCTGGTATGCCGAGAGTTCCACAGGTTTGGTAGGCAGTCACGTGATGAGGACTGGACCAAGCCATGAACCTTTGGCATGTCGGCATGTGATTGATTGCAGATGTAGATTGGTCGACAATCTTTATGCTAGATACCCAATAATCAGAACTGCTGCTTGGTGCCCTTTGGTCGTTGAATCCCTCATTTGTGTCCGGGTCCGGTTCTAATGTTCCATCCATATCAACGAAGTTCTGTTCGACGTTCGCCAATCAGTGCCCTCAACAGTGCAAGCGTTAAAGGAAACTCTGTCGTCGGTGGTCAACCTCCGTCTTCCACCGGAACTTTCCGTCCCGATAATTCATTTTCAGCAAGTCGATCCGGTTATGGCCACACGACACCGCAGACCGATGACATTTTTGGGGAGTTTAGCTCCTATATGAGCCGAAGGGAATTATTGAGGTCGGAAGGACGCAAGGTAAGAAGAGGTGCGACAGGAGCAGGGCTCTGTCTGCTATTATAGATCTACTGCTTTTTAATGATATGATGTTAAATATCACTGAATTAGGAGCAATTTGGGGCAAGCATGGCGTCGCGCGCGTCCTCCCCATTCAAGCGAAGCACCACAAGCACCGGCACCGCAGCATCTCTTGACCTTTACACAGGTAATATCCGTTGCTAAGAGGAGTCGGGATCTGTCTAGTTAAAATAATGCGTATAACATGTCATCTGGTGATTAGATCCCGAATTACTCAAGGCGCGAAAGGAGATAAGGGAATTGAAAGAAACGCGGCGAAAGTTAATTGACGAAAAGGCCAACCTTGAGCGAAAGGTACACGATTTGGAAAATAGCAACAATGAAAAGGAAGCCAAACTTCAAGCGACCGTACTTCGTGTTGATGTATGTGGACTTTGACAATTCTCAGCTATCTCAGAGATTCTGATTTTAACTCCCATATTTGCTGTAGCAACTAGAAGCGGACCGTCAGTTTCTGCTCAATCGAAGCAAAGACCTGGACAATCGATTAGAAGCAGCAGAAGAACATGCGATCACTGCAAAGGTACCATAGATGTCTGCCTGGGTCGAAATTAAAGAGAGTTCTGGTCTAACTCTTGATTTACAGAAAGAAGCCGAGTTATCTCAAAGTGCACTGCGTCGCGAACTTACAGAGTTGCAGGAAAAATTCTCTTTGGCGAGACGGGAAGCCAATGGACAGCTCCGCTTCAAAGAACAAGAAACAGAGTCCCTTGAGATAGAATGTGATACTCTATCCCAGCAATTAGCTGATTGTGAGAAGGAGGTAAGTGCGTCGATTTGGGTTAAGCGGCTGGAAACAATGTGCAAGACCTCATTGTTTGTGCAGCTGAGAAAACAGATTGCAATGGTCAAGTTGGGAAGAGAACAATTAAGCCAAATGGAGCGGAAATACACTGAAGCAGAGAGTCTTATCATGAAACTGAAATCTAATGGGAATGCCCAGGACGAAATGGCGGTTCTGAAAAGAACACTAGATGGTGGGGGTATTTTTGTTTTTTATCGTCCAAATGTCGAAACCTGAAGCTCATATGAAACTAGAACAAATTGCACACGGCAAGTCACTCGAAGGACGACTTCAAGAACTAACGCAACAAAATCGGTATCTTCGTGACATGCAAGAAAACACGGAACGGCTCAAAGATGAGAAACAGGCACTACAAGAACAATTATCACGAATGCATCGATTGCGTGGACGAGTGGATGAACTGGAAGTTGAAATCTCCCAATTGCGAAGCGAAAAGGCTCGCTGGACCAAATTCCTGGACGAAAAAGACGAGACCGGGATTGATTCTCCGTATGCGCTCAGCAGAGCACTAGCGCAACAGCGCTTCGAACTGGCAGTCATAAAAGAAAGATTGGGCGAAGAAGAAGCGAAACGGACAGGACGGGAGAACTATATTTTACGCTTGGAGAATGAGGTTCGCCGAAACCAAATTTGTATTCAATTTCGCAAGGCTAACTTTTTTTGTCAACAGCTTCAGGAATGGATGCAAAAAGCCAAGGAAGCAGAAGATAAACGGCAGGCGGATGCAAAGACATTAAAGCGCGTAGAGCGAGGGCGTGTCTTGGCACAAAAGGAAGTGGAGTTTCTGCGTAGCCAGCTCAAGAGCTACGATGTGGAGGAAGAGCATCTCATGAGTCAGAGTTACGATCAACAAAAGGCGCGGCGCATTTCACAACTTGAAGAAATGGTTGCCGAGTATCGACAGGAAGTGGTCAAGTTGGAAGAAGAACTGCGACAGCCCCAAACTCTTCCAAGCCCAATGTCAAACACACGTGTTGTGGGGATCTATTCGCCCGAGGTGACTCAAAGAATAACAGAGCTAGAATTCACCATTGCGCAACTACGTAAAGAAAATGCCATGCTACAGAAAGAAGCCGAGTCCTTGGATATGCAGGTCGGCGAACTTCAAAGAGCCTTGGGTCGAGGAGAGTACGATCCTGCAACAACCCGAATATTACAACTGGCCGATAATCCTGAAACCCGAGAAGCAGCCATCCGACAAAGTACTCTTGACGCATTAAGAGAGGAAAATCGCAAGTTGATGAGTCGAGTGGTGGAGCTCAATGGCGCTGTTGGAAAAGCGGGATCGAGTCTCGGACCTGGAATGGTCCCATTAGAGAGTGTACGGAGTTTGGAAGTTGAATGTAATCAGCTGAAGCAGGCTGTGGAGGAGAAGGAGAAACGGGTAGCGCGCTTGAAGGAGGTATATCAGGCAAAAGCGCAAGAGTATCGGGAAGCAGTTTATTCCTTGCTGGGTAAGTCACCATATTGAACGTCCCAACCTCGTCTATCCTCACTCAGTGCTCTTCCCAACTCTTTTGTCATTCAGGTTACAAACTCGAAATTGAAATTGATGGTCGAGTTCGCCTTACTTCCATGTACGCTTCCCAAGACCAAGACCCAAGCTTTGTTTTTGCATCTGGTGAGAGCGATCAAGGTACAATGCAATTGGTGGGTGGTGCGGGAGACGCTGAAAAACGGATACGAGCTGCTGCGAGTTACTATGTCGAGCAGAAGGGCAGCGTTCCAGCTCTGCTCGCGGGAGTCACATTGGAGCTGTTTGAAAAGTCTAGGATGCAGGTTCAAGAGGCGGGTGGGTGAATGCGTATGAGGATATGGGACGAATCCGAAAGGATTTTGTACAGATTGCATTTTTCAATTTTTTTTTTTTTGGGGGGGGGGGGGTTGTGTTGGAATTTGTATACATTGTTACTTTGATCATGGGGATATGCAGATGATGAGGATGAGTGAGACTCGAGAGGGTTTGCTCATCAAATAGAAGTAAATAGATGCAAGTACCGGCTGGCTTTGTCGGATAATTTCAATTCTGCTGTGGGAAGAATGGCATGTTCCTCATGTGGCAAACAAAAAAGCTCGCATGTGAGACTGTATGTACAAACTTACAAATCGAAACATTTTATCATTCTCATTATCAATAAACCTTGCGCCATATCATGATAATTGTATCAATTGTCCTAAACATTACTATTTACCGTCCCCTTTTTCTACACCCTAACCTCTTCGTGCATCTCCGTGTATTCATCCGACCCACGCCCTCTCAATAAGGCATGTCGGCGATAACTTCTATATCCGAGTTTAACCAACTCCACCAACACGAACTGGATGACCAAGCACGCCACAATGATCCCCCACCCAATTCCGCCAATATCCTCTAGACCGAGCCAGTCGTTGAAGCCAGGAACGTATGTACCGAGAATTACGCATCCCAAACTGAGGATGTAAGCCCCGACTAACCATTTATTACCCAATATACCCGTGCGGAAGATGGAATGAGAAATACTCCGCGAAAAGAAGGATTGTGTCAATTGCATGATGGTGAGCGTCATGAATGCAAGAGATTGTTGGTATTGTAAGGTTGTTGGGCCATTGATGCCGTGATTACGAGCAATCATGTAGACTCCAAAGGTGATGCTACTGAGCATCAGACCTTGGGCGAGAACGAGGAGAGAAGTAGGGAGAGTTAAGACGCCTTCGTTGAGTGGACGAGGTTTGCGGTCCATGATGTCGACCTCATGAGGTTCAACTTCAAAATTAGGGTTAGTTTAGCACGGCCTGTGATACTACAGTAAAGTAGAAAATAAAGTACCTCCAAGGGACATCGCGGGGGGCACATCGGCAATGATATTGGCCCAGAGAATCATAATGGTGGTGAAGGGGGCAGGAATATTACAAATCGTCGTTCTAAAACACGGAAATATTAGTGACGACACCGTCGTGGGCCAACTTAGTTCCACCTTGACTTACATCAAGAACAAGAAGATTTCGGCCGAGTTACAAGAAAGTAGGTACACCACAAACTTTTGAATATTATCAAAGACTCCACGACCTTCACGTACGGCCTCCACAATCGTCGAGAAATTATCATCTGCCAGAACAATGTCCGCAGCCTGCTTGGTAATTTCTGTTCCGCTAATACCCATAGCAACACCGACGTCGGCTTGTTTGATAGCCGGGGCATCGTTCACACCATCACCAGTCATGGCGACAGAGTACCCTCTGCTTTGCAGGGCTTTGACAATCTTGAGCTTGTTGTCTGGACTCACACGGGCGAATACCACAGGGAATGGACGAAGAGCGGCAAGCTGTTCCTCTGAAAGAAGATCGATTTCGTAACCTTTCATGGCACGGCTTTCGCTAGTTCTGTTGGGGTCCATAATACCAAGTTGTTTGGCGATGGCCGAAGCGGTGGCGACGTGGTCACCGGTGATCATAACGACTTTAATACCCGCCCGTTTACATGTAGCTACGCTCTGCTTGACGCCTTCCTTGGCGGGATCGATCAAACCAATAAGACCAATGAATGTAAGCTTCTGTTCTGCAGCACTCTCCTTCTTCGCGTTGATGATTTCCTCGGCTTCCTGCGCAGTGACGTGACGCATTGCAAGAGCTAACACACGAAGACCACTGGACGCCATAGTGGACGCTTTCTGAGAAACTAATTCGACAAACTGATCGCTGACAGGTTCGGGAGTCACGTTCTGAAGGAACTTAAAAAAGTCGCTCGTGTCGCTTGCAGGGGGTAGGTAATGGGTACTCTTCTGCAGTACACCTTCTGGGGCACCTTTAGTAAAAACAAACGTAGTACCCGCGGTAAACCTATTCGCCATGTCTTCTCCATCCGCCTGCTGATAGATGACGCTCATCAGTTTACGGTCACTGGGAAATAAAGGGTGAGTAAGCCTTCAGAGCAGAATCAGACAAACACTTGGTAGTTACCTGTCAAAAGCATACTCTCCGATCTTCTTAAGTCCGTTATCATGGAACCATTCTCTGGGAAACCCGACCTTCTGTGCCGCAATTATCATCGCCACCTCAGTCGGGTCTCCGATTGGCTTCCATGCACTAGTTTCCTCATCCCACACAATGTTGGAATTGTTACAGAGACTTGCAGCCATAGTACCCGCAAGTAAATGCGTTGGCATGCCTCCCAATGTTTTGGGAACATCCGTGGCATTAGCTCGGCTCTCCGAATCCAGCTTCGTATGCTGAACGGGGTTTACCAAAGCATCCGCCAGAGGGAGGTAGCCACATTTGCGGGCGTTACCCGCATTTGGATCCATGTTCGTTGATTGTGTAAACGTAAACAAGGCATTGTCACTGGTCCATAGCTCGGCCGTACCCATTTTCCCTTCGGTAAGGGTTCCTGTTTTGTCGGAACAAATGACATTCACCGATCCAAGAGTTTCAACTGACGGTAGCTTTCGAACAATGGCGTGACGTCTGGCCATTCGCACGACACCCAGCGCCATGGTGACCGTGACAACAGCTACCAAACCTTCAGGGATGACAGATACGGCCAAACTGACACCAATCTTGACCATCTCCACCGCGTCCCGCTTATACGCAATGCCAATGACGATGATCAACGCACAGAGAAAGATGGATAGACCGACAAGCCATTTTCCGAGCCTTGCGAGCTTGATTTGCAGAGATGTTTTCCGCTTGGGCGCCGCGGTGATTGCCGTACTAATCTTTCCAATTTCAGTGTTGTTACCGGTACGCACGACAATACCTTTCCCACGACCGCGACCAACGACAGTCGTCATGAAAGCGTTGCCCTTACACTCTCCAAGGGGTAACCTACGGGTCCGTTTGCGGATGGTGCGTACTCCCTTAGGGATGGCGAGTGCCTCACCGGTGAGGATAACTTCCACAATTTCCAGCTGTGCCACCTCGCAGAGACGAAGATCAGCCGGGACTGCATCTCCTTCCTCCAAAACGACAATGTCGCCCGGAACCAAGACAACGGAGTCGACAACTTCTTGTTTACCATCGCGAACGACAGTCGCTTTGGGAACGCTTAGGGACAGCAGGGCCTCAAGAGCCTTGTTGGCCTTGTACTCTTGTGTAAATCCAATTGTCACGTTCATGAAAACGACAACCAGTAGGACAATTCCAGCCTTATAATCCTGAGTGGCGAACTGAGCGACTGCCGCAGCTATAAGAATCAGCACCATGAAATCTGTGAATTGAGTCCATAACATGTAGAGAGCTGACTCCTTTGGTGGGGAAGGAAGCTGATTTGGTCCGTAGTGGTCAACCAATTGAGGAATGCGCGAGGAGGGCAATCCATTATTCAGGTCCGACCCGAACATTTGCGCCAAAGCTTCTGTATTCTTATCGAAATATAATGCTATAGTGCGAGCAATCTTTTTTAATGACCCATAAACGGATCATCTTGCAGAACTACAGGGGCCAACATACCTTGCGGAGGGTAGACATCCTGAGCAGGAGGCATAGCTGGCCTCTCAAACTTCTCCTTGTACTCTTTCATAAGCTTTTCCACATCATCGTGTTCATCTTCCTTGACGAGTTCCTTCCAATCATGTTGCGGGAAGTGACGAAGCAACAAGGCCAAAACTCCGGCTGCATCCTCCCGCTCTTCCGCAGTGGAAAATGGTTGGCAACGACGATGAAATTTTAAGCAGTGACGAAGATCTGTAGCAGATTTCTTGGCAACCGCTTCACGGAACTCTTCAACCTCTTCCAAGAACTCTCCAAACAGCACAAATGCTATATCGGCTTCTGGAGTGGGACGACGTCTAATGAGATTTCCCTCATTGTGGCCCATGTTTTGCAAGAGTCCTTCCAAGAGACGCTCCATGAGGGCTCCGTCGAGGTGCGGCATCTTGCCGCCCTTGATGCGGTACTCCATGACATACTTGAGCCCTTGGAGCACATCGTCGAGAGCGATGTCGGCATTGTCAACGGCATCGACAAGATCTAGAACGTGGATGTCAAGTTGGTGTTCGATACTAGCTGTCGATTGGAGGAAAATGGTCGCATTGGTTGAGTTTGCTGCTCTCCGAGACTTGAATAACAGCACTATACGGGCTTACCACGACCGTCTAATTTGACAGATACAGAGCGTAGTTCTGCCTCAGAGCCATCCAAATGAGTTGCCATTCAACGGAGAGTGGGAAAACCCTATATAAAAGAGGCAAATTGAGGATCCCATCCATTGTTCGAAACCAAGTTTTATCATCTTACTGTATAAAGGGTCCTTTTGGAACAAAGAAGATGATGCGAGGACCTAGAAACGATTTCAAACGTTGTGAAATGCCCAATGAAAGAGCGACTGCAAACAGCCCTCAAGGGCTTTATCAGTGACGTTCCCCGCCAAGTGCACAGCCACATTCTACTAAACCTTATTTCAGGTTATAACCACGGTACGCAGTTTACGAGTGCCAAGAAGCCCTAGAGCTTAATCAACGAGAGCGTAGAGTTTTGAACCAGCAGACTTTAGCAGAGTGGTTATCGTTGGCTGAAGAAGTACATAGCTGTCAACGATATGCTGTTAAAGGCTCTGCGACAAAGTGGAAAGAGAAATAGAGCTTTGCGGGTGAAGATCCGAAGAAGGAGATATTGGGGTCGTCAAATCATTGATAACCACCAGTCTGCATCCCGCAAAACATGCCATAAAACATTACATATCCAAATCTACAAGTTCTTTCATTCGTATATGCCTGAATTGCAATATAGTACCTTTGCTTCGGAGAGAAATTGCCGTGTTGATATACCTGGACTTGCTGTCAAAAGTTGGCAAGTATGGACATGAACTTGTCAGCAAGCAAGGTCTGTTGCTTCCTACTTGTCACGCTCCCTTTACTGCCCCATACCAATGCAGGAACGGTTTGCGTATATCGGTGTAGCCTGCATGTATAATTCAATTGACAATCAACTAGCCGGATTTGCTTACGCTATGCTTATGCCAGCCACGGAGTTTTGGACGAGCTGGTCGTTACGACTGGGCGAGTGCTATGTGATGCTTAAGGGTAATAGGTACGGCTATCAAAGACAAAGCAGAATTCGAGAAAGAAAACATGATCCGGTGTACATACCTGTGCAAGCATACTACAGCGAACCCAATAACGTGAGCTCTTCAAAATAGTGAACAATAGGATGCAGGATATAGCACATCATCCAACCCTGAAAAGAACGGGAGTCGGAATATATCCGGGATATCGGCGCGTCGAGTCAAGCGTCGTCCACTCTTTTGCAGTTTTCGTTTTCAGTTGTTGTTTTTTGACCAAGCTTTCAGCAGAGGTGTATTGCGAGCCATGGGTATGAATGTCATTGGAGAATTGTCATAGGCTTCTAAGCAATCAATTCATAAAGAGCAATACACTAATGGTACTGGTTATGTCCACAGGTGAAGGCCGTGCGTTTAATTCTCGTGGGCAAGGCATCTACACCTCAATTCAACAGGGTGTTGCCGTTTTGTTTTTTGTCGTAATGATCTTTTATGCCGGATTCCGTGGACATCGTGTTGTGACGCAGGTTCGTTATCATCACCCATAGTTTCTTGCTGGATCAGACTAACCCTTGAATTATGCAGCTGCCGGCAACCTACCGCACAACGCAGGCACCTAAAAGCATGCCATACGAGTTCATGAACAATATGTTTCCCTCCAAAATCCCGTCGCCGACCTACGAATTCCCAGCATTGACTTTTTGTCCCCCCGAAAACAGGCCAGGCGTGGAAGTCAAGTTTATCAGCTGCTACAGTTCCAACAACGTTGATGATGTGAAAAAGCCGCCTTGCGAGGCTTCGTACAACCGAGCATTGCAATTTGAGGGGCAGACACTCAACTGCATCACAGTCAATGACCCTGCAGATCCAAACAAAGTTGTCGTTGCATCGAGCACTGACCATGTCCTGGAAATTAGCATGCGCATTGTGGGTACTGCAGAAGGCAGCCCGGAGGGACTCCTGGTGACAGCCCACCCGCAGATTGGCAGGGACAAGAAACTGGAAGGTGTGGGATATGACAATTTTTTCGCAGCATCAGCATATACATCGACGGAAATTGTCGGTCGAAAGCTTTACACTATCGATATGAAAAAGAATGTTCAGGTGGACTATGAAATCAAGGCTTCCTCTATCCGTCTGAAAATGGACCCAGCTTTGTATGCAAATGCCAGCGATTCAACGGGAGGTCTGTCTCCGGTGAAAATTGAGTTTAGATACCCAAAATTGGAGGTAACATATGAAAAGAGCTTCCTTGTGTTGGACATGGTAAGCTTTGATTTTCGTCCGCAAGTATCTTTTATTGCGATACATCCTGATGTTTTCTCTGCTTTACACCCTGCCACCAAAGAACAATTGGCTCGGCGAAGTCGGCGGTGTAGCTTGCCTTCTCTTCTTCCTGCACCGAGCCTTTATGGCTGCTGTTGAATTCTTTCTCAAACGATCGGATAGTTTTGCGTACACCGATTTGGGCAAAATTAGAGAGGAAGGTTTTGCACATTATTGAAAAAGCACATGGCTAGAAGATATTAGGTAGTCCAAGTCCGCTTCATTGTTATGCTGGAAAAGAGAAGTCGTATAGGGTATGGTATGTTTGGCAGCTTTTGCCCTCCAAATATACATCGTCCAGTGGGCATTATTGGTACATGTGCAGGAATACTTGAGACCACAGGTCATTTTGACTGTTTTTGACTTCATGGTAGGATGCTCTAAGTAAAATGCTACAAGTGCACATTTCAGATGTACCCCTTTTTTTTCGAACAAAGCTATGAATTACAGCTGGGAACATATTGCTAGATCTGTCTACTAACTGTTACTGGCTTCACGCTGACCACAGGTCAGAAAACTATCTATGATACATTAACTACAGTTCATGACTAATTCTGTGCGACAAGTCGGTACTAATTGGCGTGTTGGAAACCGTTAAGAAACAAATGGGTTCCCGTCTTGCACATCGACGATCGGCGCCGTCTCTCTCTCACCCATGTCGCTAGTCAAGGGTGAAACTGGCACTGTCCATCAATGTTCTTTGACGTTAGACACGTTTGATAGTACCCTCTTCCGATGGTCGACTCACCATTGGTCGATCTGCGCCGTTTGCGGCCTGATGAATCTCCACTGGCTTGAGTCTTGTCAACATTGCTGACTTGTCTTTTTGAGCTGGAGCTCTTTGCAGACGTTACTTTGACCGACGATTTTGCGCTGCTATTTGCTGAACGAGTAACTCGTGTACTACCAGGGTCTGAGGCTGGGAAAGTAATATTAGAGCGACGTGTCCCTCACAGCTAGAGAATGAAAGCAAAAAACGACGGCTTACCGCGTGATCTTCTGCGTTTCGCCGAACCGTGTGTAGCGGGCGGTATGTTCTCCTCCTGTTGCTCCTCTTGCCCATATCCCTCTTCTTCTTGGCACGCGCCATGTAAGTCATCAAAATCGCTTTCATCACTACATCCTTCGATGTGTGCATCATCATCCCCGTTGTCACGATACTTGAGGGCATTGAATTTTTGCTGCTGAGCACTGTCGCCCTTCTTGCCAGTGCGGGGCGTCGGCAATTCATATCCCTCTTCATCGCTCTCGATAGATGCCACCAACTCGTCCAAAAGTTTTCGGGCAGACCGCGCTGGTGTTTGCTGTTGTCTTGTGATAACATGTCTTTTAGAAGGGAGACCAAAAGTCGAACCTCTGAGGATTACAGCTTACAAGAATTTTTGACGTTCAAGCACTTTGATGGTGGCCATACCGTCCGGTCCAATGATATCAGCCCACACCTTCCAGTCGATGAGACTCACTTGTGCAGTGTTGAGATACAAAGCATGTTCATCGGAGATTGTTTCGTATCCAAGCGCACCCCTAACCATGCCTTTAAATTCTTCTTCCGAAACACACCACTTGTTGCGTCCTACAAGGTGTCGGTAAAATTTGTAGGCTCTGTCCAAAGGGCCCATGCTACAGTTTAATGTTCAGGATTGGGTTAGGTGGGTATTGGTGATTTGGAATGGCTCCTGCGTACACAGAATCTGACTGACGGTCTCCAGGAGATTCTCGCTCCGCTCACCTTTTCCCAATAAATGTATGCCTTGCACCAAAGACGCGTTGATAGATGGGTTGATTGTCGATGCGGGTGGCCAAAACAAATGGAAGTGTGCGAGATCGGACGACCTTGGAGTTTAAGTCATGATAGTAATGTCGATACGTGATGGTGTAGTGAATTTGTTCCAGGTTTCCAGAAATGACAATCTGCTCCGTAAAGGGGCCATGGGTAGGCGTTCTCGAGCCCTTGGTTGGGGAGGTTGTCCCAAACATGACGATGAATCTAGAGACCGCAGTTACAGTGCAATCTGAACGATTGGTCCAGTTGCGTCAACAATGCTCCTGTGCACTCCTGTCCGCTCCAGAGAGTGGGGTTTTAGGAAGGAGACCCAATCAACGTCGGGGAGTATTCCAAGCAAGTTACAAAAAGAGGAGTGGAAAAGGTTCACCAAACGGCCGTCGAGCAACTCTGGACGTGGTCCGAAACTCAAGTGGATCGAATGTCGAACCACGACAACGAGTTTCGGACAAACGCGTTCGGACAGACAGGGACATTAAAAAAAAGGATACAGGACACATGCGGATGAAGTTCAGGAATGGTTTTCAAAGGGCCATTAATGTACAAGTGACAGAAGAAAAGATCATGTAACAGAAAAGTTGCAAAAGGGGACGGCAGGTAAGGTAAACTATAAGTCCTGCCAGTTGAAAATCCCTACTCAACCCCGGTCTCCGAACGACCCACCCTTCGTCTTGTTTCGTCCCCTGCTTCCACACCCACTACGACGGCTTCATTTTGTGATGCCAAGTCTTCATCTAACAGGCTATCCCGGCTTCCGTTGAAATCTGGGTTCATTACATCCCCACCTGTATTTATCTCGTCCACCCCGTGGCCCCTCGCGAGAAGCCACACTCCGGTAATGATGCCTATGACACCTATTGCAATGCACACCAGATCGGGCCCCTTATAATCGTCAAATTGATCCAGATACACAAGAGTGTTGAATAAGGATAATACCGTATAAAAGGTGTAAAATATTGGTATGATCATTGTCGGGAGAGAATAGTGCATTCCCCGGTTTAACGAGTACAGCTACGATTGATGGAATTCAGCTCATGGTTGAATCGCACGCAACATGACCAGATTGGCTCTTACCTGTAGAAAAACCGTGAAACACAAGACAGCGAGAAGACAAAAGGAGAAAGCACCGCGAAATTGGTTATCGGTTTGAAAAATCGAGACAATCAGCAGCTCCACACTGGAGGAAAACAAACAAAACAATTAGAACTAAGCTGGTACACCACGCCACGAAGCTGCACACTCACCCGCTTTTAGTTAATAGCAACGTCTCGCTTGCGACCGTTCCGCCCAACATGCCGTACAGAGCACCCAACCAGTCACCCTTGACCTTTGCAATGTCGCTCTGACTGTGACTTCTGTAGAGTAGGGGCGTTGTTTCTGATGCTGACCGTCGTCGAATGGCAACAAAAAATTTCAAAGCTCCAAGTCCATATTCCAGATATTTTATCAACAGGAACGTAATGAGGACCAGTACTCCTTGAATAGTAAAGTAAACAATGAAAGTTGGCCGGCGAAACAGGCGGATGAGATCGTCAATAGTTTGTCCTGATGAAAATTGAGGGCTTAGTCGCAAGCCACTAGCCCAGCGAACCATGTGAGGACTCACGTTCTTCCGGTACCCCAGACCCAAAAGTGCTTACTATTGCACATCCGACAACGACCAACAACGTTCCTAGCCAGTCCGACGCAGTGATACGAGTGCCAAGGAAAACTCGTGAGAATATCACATTAAATATGAGGCTGGCTGAACCGAGCGGCGCAAGTATAACGGGGGACCTGAATTCAAAGTATTGGTTCTTGAAAACAAAAAGGAGTGACCAACGGGAGACGACAACACTTACACAAAGCCTAGTGCGACCACAGAGCCAAACAATTGGCAGATGAGATACATGCTAAATCCTGCGTCAACACAAGGCGGACGATATTAAAAACTACCATTGTGGCTCTTGTGCGAATATGAATATTGCAACTTACCCATATACCATTGCCATTTGTTCAAGAATTCTCGCCATGTATCCGTGTTGTATCTGCTCAGTTTCCAGGAGGACTTTGATGTTTTGTACGAATCCAAACTAAACCAACTCTTGAAGCTTCGAGAGCTCGTTGAGCTCGGGTCCCGCTCTCTCACCGTGCTGGACTGCTCGTACTCTGCTACGGACTCTGGCTTTCTTCCTCTCGACCTCTGATCGCAGACAAACGATGCCCCTTCGGGTTCAGACGGAGCCAGACTGGTATCATGGTTGTGTGAAGTGATTGAGCCATATTTGTCTCCATTACGTTGTTCCGCAATGTACCCAGGAGGGTCAACCGGGACGTCCTCGTCTGACTCATCCAAGGCAAGGTTCCTCTCTCGTTGTGCTTTCAGGGCAGACGCTTGCAGGTTGACACCCAGAGACGAAAGACATGAGGATATGAGGGACACGGAAGCGCCTATTATAAAGTTTGCCAGAACATCCCGGGTGTGGTAGTCTCGTTGGTGGTGGTCACTGCCATCTTGGTCTTGCATGGCTTGCAAGTCAAAACTCTTTGAACGAAAGGTCAATTGAATTTCTGCTATGAGGTCCGACTGCCTTTCGTCATTGCTTTATGGCTTGGTATAAAATACTTGTTTCACCTTAAAATAGCCACGGAACGCTGTCCCTCGTGCTTTGGGATTTGGATTTACCCCGCCCTCGGCCACTTTATAACGCCTCGCCTTGTCATCGCCATTTAACGATTTTATTTTTTTATTATGCATCGATACTTGTGTGCACTGTCTGCATGTGCTTTATGTAGTGTTGGTGTTGGCATGCGATTGTATGCACGTTTTGTAACTCTCATTTGGCTTCAAACCCCAGGGGGGCGCCGGTCGGACAGGTCGGAAATGTATGGCATTAACATTCTTTACCTGACCTCGTTGTTATTGGGGTTGCCCACCAGTGATTCTGAGACCGCGACTTGCTAAGCTGTCAAAACGCTCGTTCGAAAGGGCAGAAATCAGCCTTGGAGGCGCATGAGCGAGTGGGCGATCATTGAAGACAGTGCCTTTTCTGAACCACAGAAAGGTGTTCGATCCTAACTGCAAAACGTCAGACTATTTGGCAGTTGGCTATCTTTGATGTTATCCACCGAGATCCACCGCTGACGGTACGTATACTGATCTCTCCGTTAGATGTGCAAAATCCATAACTTTATAAGCGGGCGGCCTCCTGCTTCATGGGACGCAAGTGTACATGATGCACCATAAAATATATGCACAATAACAAAAAACATGATCTACATCTATTTATGCAATGAATGGAATGAACACCTTTGTCTTGGACCTGAATTCTTCATAATCTGATCCGAAAAAGCGCAGCAGCGTCAGTTCTTCGTCTGCTATTCTGTCATGGAAGAATCGCCAGAGTGCGGCCGTATAGCCCAATGTACAAATTGGATTTGCGAGGAGAATCTGCATGCATACGCCCCAATAAAAGAAGCCTGTATACGATGGGTGGCGAAAAACGCTATATGAATCCATTTTCAGTCAAAACAAGTCATCCGATGGTTTAAAAAGACCTTACTTACCTGTAAATGCCATTGGTGACAAGGGTATGCGTCGAGTGCTTTTCCTCCGCAACAATGTGAGTGAAATTGGATCCGGCCGTTATCATTGCAGCTGATCGAAGCGTTTGGGATGCGGCAACTCCGTATAATGCTAAGATAAAGACAGTTAGCTGCATGCAACCCATAAAAGAAAGTTTTTGCTCGATACGAACCGAGCCAATTCCACCAATGGAAAATCTTCAGACTCGGGAATATTAGATACCATGCAAGATATTCGACGATGCCGGCGGTCATAGCCAAATGATACTCGCGGCTCTGATTCAGTAGAAACGCTGATGCAGAGTTTGAGTTAGCATTCTGTTCATCAACCGGCCACATTCGAAAAGCGCCATCCTTACACGACATTTTCACATCTGTCCTATACATGGCGGTGCAGATATACTCTAGCGTATGGAATAATGCCAGCATTGCGATGAAAAAGCCGAGACCGGGTATGTTCGGAGAAACTAGTCCCACCGCTACGCCAAATCCGTGGGCACAGCCCAACAAGTACGCGTAAGCAGCAATGTTCTGTGGTGTATGCTCTCCATCAAAGATTGGCAGTCCGAAAGGCCCGAATGCCATTTCAGGCTGGGCCGGTTGGGGCTCGGATCCGGCCGGGGTCTCAGACATGAAGTAAGCCGCTAAGCATAGTGGATTGCACAGAACAACCTGGACAGCCACTCTCCACACGGACAATGCGAGCTCTGCTCGCTTTGCTGCTGATCTGTAAAAGTAACCGTTAGAAACCTAAGTGAACAGTCATGGTACCCGCAAGCTACCTGTTCTCGGGGTTTCCGCTCAATTCCAGTAAGGATATCGTGCGAATATTCTGCGCAAATATTGCAAGGAGCACGCCTGAACATTATATCAGACTGTTGGACATGCGAAGGGCATTCTGAGAGTCGTTATCTCACCAATTGAGGTGACCGTTGGGATGCTTGCGAATCTTCCAAAAAGACTCTGCTCTATTGCGAGTTCTACGGGCCCGAGTAGTAGAAGAGCGTTTTCCCACGCCGATCCAGGCAAGAGAAACGCTATTTGAATAAATCTATTTCAGGTTCCTTTCTCACACGCAAATGCCAAACAAAACCAGCGCAAAGCACAATGCCCGACTCCATGTGCGAGTCGATGTGTGCAATACAATACTTACATCTTAGTCCCTCCTCCTGCTTCATTATTGCTCTGCTGATATACTCCAAGACCATACCCAGCGAAACCAGAGCAAAATACCCGCCCCAAGCACAAGACACGTAGTCCATCCAGCTCAGCCCCATCGCCAATCCTGTACATGCGCCCAGCGTGAAAGCATACAAGGCAACGTTTTGCGGAGAGTGTTCTCCATGGAGAATTGGGAATCCTGACAGGCCCGTCTTCTGTAAATGTGGATAGCGGACGTGGTTAAGCACAAGTTCTGGAGTGTCATCCGCACGGTTCAAGTAAAGAGAGTACGGCTTTCGGAGGAGCGGCACCGTTGTGCATACCAGTGTGGTTAATGGCGACATTTGGAAGGCTTTTAGAGCGGATGAGATTCTTTTGGACAGAGCAGTTTGCCAGTCGAACAGCAGGTGAGCGGAGTTGCTTTCTACTATAGCAACAGTGCGTGTAACATCTGCTACGACATTGATCGTCGGTTGTCGCGCGTTGGTTTTTCGAGCATCGCAAGATGACATCACCGCCAGACGAAACTGAAGCGAAAGCTTATACCTTCCTGAAACCGCATTTCTCCCCAAGTACTCTTGCACCTCCTGGTCGGCCTTTTGTGACCTTGACATACGCGCAATCGCTGGACGGCTTTATTGCCGCACCGGGTCGAAAGCCTCTCCTTCTCTCCTCTCCCTCTGCAATGGTGCTCACTCATGCCCTCCGCGCGACCCATGACGCCATTCTCGTTGGCGTAGATACTGTCATATCTGACAACCCGTCGCTGACCACTCGGTTTGTGGCCAAGGGCCCTGGCGGGACGAAAGCCACCAGCCCGCGTCCGGTTATTTTGGATTCGAAATTGCGTAGCCCACTTGACGCGAAACTGTTTAGCTCAACTAGAGAAGATGCGAAGAAGCCTATTGTTGTTACTACAGACATGTCCAATGTTGCGAGAAAGACAGCGTTGGAAGCGTTAGGTGTCCGCGTCCTGGTTGTTCCGTCAGACCCAAACACCGGCCGTGTTAGTGTTCCTGCAGCACTGGATGCGCTCCATAAAGAGGGTGTAAAGAGTGTGATGGTCGAAGGTGGTGCGACTGTCATAAAATCTCTTCTGACCCGGTCCCAACAAGCCATCGATTTGGTGGTGGTGACTGTTGCACCTGTTTGGGTTGGAACTGGGGTACATGTGATTAGAGGAGATACTTCATTTGAAGGCAGTCCCAATGCTGAGATGACTACATTACCGAAATTGACCAATGTGCGATATGAACAGTTTGGAGTGGATATGGTCCTGGCTGGCGTGATTGAGCAAACAGTTGTTTGATGGGCACAACACATTTTTAAGAATGAGATAAAGCATAGGTTCAAGAGTCCCACTCACGGTACATGTCTCACTAGCCATCTACTCTGGAGACAACCGCGTACGAGCGCTATGGCCGAATGCGTGAAGCACACATGTGCAATCAATCATGATTTCTTGACAAATGAGACAAAAAGCAGATCGCAGGCCACTGTTCAGTAGTGCCATCAATCTCTGCAGAGCAAGAAAGCCCGTAATAAATAGAATAGAATAGATCGATGTTGAGATGCTGATACGTGGAATGATTCCGTACATACGAAATAAACTCTAGGGGCAGCAAGTGTGTTTTTCGTGCTTTATATACAATTATGATGATTGGTCCCCTTCATCCTCCTCATTCGGCAGCTCATATTCAAAAGCAACATCCCATCGCGAACCTGGTGCCCGGGCACTAATGTACTTTATAAACTTCATCAGCCCTTCATCCCTCATGACCAGGGTCAGTACGTTCCAACCAGCTGAAACAGTCAATAATGCACCATCCTCGTCCATTTGGCGATACACCGCCGGATCCTCGTCGCCTTCGTGCGGTGCCATATAGCATTCGTAACCTCCCAATTCATCGCCCTCCCATGCAGCGCCATCCTCCGCCTTTTTTCTAGTAGCAAAACATAGTGTTGCATCTAGTAGCTGAGAAGGACTACTCCAAGCCAAAGTATAATCCAATCCTGGACGGAAACGCCGGGCGATTCCGCGATAGGATTGCGGTATCAGCTGAGTGACCAAGGCAAGCCAGCGCCTGAAGGCTGGACTTGGGAACATCTCCTTTACCAATTCCGCGAATAAAGTCGACGTCGCATCATCAGAACCTTTAGCGGTATGCGCGGCATCCAGCATCGCGTACCGAAACTTATGCGGCGGCCCAGCCACTTTCCATAACCCATGCTCCCCAGTACCATGTTTCGGCAGCTTTGGAGAAAGTAAACCACATTCCTCATCCGCCTTCTCAGTGGCCTGCTTAATCTGCTCCACCAGATCCTTATGAAGAAAGTCGACCAACTGAAGAGAAGAGTCCTCCAAAAATCGCTCTGACACTTGCTCAAGCACCCTTATATCCAAATACCGAGGATTTATCCACCGCCCTAATGTAACAATGTCCTCTTCCGATAGGCCTTCCAATTCCTCTGGATCCACAGTTTCCGAAAACGGGGTGAATGGAGCAGAGGCGCCAGCCTGTAGTTGCTCTAAAGAGGAGGGCGCCTCGCCGTTTTCAGGAGTTTCCAAATATCCCGGCTCCCCTTCCTGTGGAACATGGAACCATCCCGATATGCTCAATCTTGCCTTATCCACTACCACCTCCTCCACGGAGTGAAATGAATGTCCTGGCTGCACTGTAAACATCACAAACTGGTTCCATTTCGGTGGAATAGAGACACTCGGATTGACGGCTGGGGTACCCTTGGTCAGCACCGGATACAGCTCTAGTGCTCCTCCATACGCGGGATCCCAGTATTCGTCTGGATCAGGCAAATAGAGAATGTATGACACTCGTCGGGTACCAATCACGTCGTCATGATTCAACAGATGACACCCATTCAAGTACGTGTTGATGCTCATATCCGTTTTTGAGCCGGAAAGATGCCCGCATCCGGTGACATCGCCGATGAACTTGCGAAACTCAGAGGAATACAGCGCATTGCGTAGTTTGAAAAGGGACGAGAGCTGAGCAAGCTCTTCTTTTGGAAGCCCATCCATGTTGGCCAGGTCACCGGTTTGATGTACCTTGTAAATGTCCGTTTCCTTCTCCGTGAAATGTAATGCGGACATGATTTCATCCCGGACCTTTCTCAGCAGTCCATCTTCGCACAGGTGATCGATAACACAGTGCAAATACGGTTTCGAAGTACGAAACTTGCCCGCTAGATCAGACTGAGTGGAGTCCGCCAGCAAACCTTCCCGAAATACAGACTCCACATCCTCAGTCTCCACGCGCAAGCGTTTTGCTGCCCTCCCATTTTCACCGTTTGTTTCTTTTGGAGATTCTCGTCCCATGGCGAAGGCGAAGAGTTGATCGAAACAAAGCAGGCAAGTTCAAAAACAATTCTAATTTGCATGACTGTGCCATACAATCGATCCACATTATCGGCTCCAACCGCCCTCCGTGCATTGAACACTGCAGACTGTTGTTGAACAACTTGAAATTCAAGACCTTCAAAATAACCTGTAAAATGGCAGATCGTTGTCGGCCATGACCACGAGTCCCCGAGAGGATGTACAGAGTGGGTCATATTTGCCTAGGACGCCTCATGACTCTGCCAGGATAATGGAAGGTGATGCTGTTTCACGGATCTCACAGTGGAATGAACATGCTGTTGCCCAGTGGTTGGAGGCAGCTGGCTTTGGAAGATATGTAACACCTTTCGTCGAAAAGCATGTGACAGGAAACGTCCTGTTGAACATGACGTACGACACGCTTCGCCAATCGGGAGTGACAAATTTGGGGGATCGCGCGAAACTATTACTACTCGTCAATAACCTGAAAGGCAACACTTCGCCAAATCATTCGACATCCAGCAGCGTCTCGGGATTTCCTCCCACTCTGGTAGACGAACAGCTACCTGCTCAAGGTGACATAACTGGTGCCTCTACGCCTGTGTCTAGAAATACGCCGCCCCAGACAGCAGTGTCTCCGACGAGGCCCGTGCGCACCGAATCCTCCAGTACACTACATCCCCAACATACAAGCCCGATATCTACTGGAGGAAATCGCCTTCCAATTCCTCCTCGCACTAAAAGCAAAGAAGCTTTCCCAAGAGGATGGGATGCTAGAATTCACGGATGGGACTCGTCGGTTCGGACCGTTGCTCTGCAAGACGGCGGACAGCCTCGAGACGGATTTCAAGACCGTACATATATTTCGTCTCTTTGTCAAGAAAAGCACATGTCTGCTCGCACTACCATTTACAGTGATCTTGTTCCGACGGTAAATGTATCTTCCTTGCTACCGGATCGCACAGACTCTCTCCTGGACTCGAACGTTAGTGACTCTTCACTTTCAACCCCGTCAGTATCCTGTGCGTATGGGGACGGGTCATCCAACTATATGGGCCGATTAAGCGCGGTACATGTGTCGCCACCGACGGGTGAGGCTGAATTCCAAGACGACTCTAGCTTGATGAGCAGAGCGGCAAACCCCTTAAGACGTCAACCGGCCATACGTGAATCTCGATCAAAATCACCTCCACGAAGCGATGACAGCGATACAAGTAATGGAAAGCGGCGGCCCAACTTAGCCATTCGCACCAATTTAAATCAGTTGGCCCCGCCAAACTCGAAATCAATATCCAGAAGATCCCCAGATGGCTCACTCTCAGTTTCTCCAAGCACTCCTAATATATCTCATACAGCACGGTCTCCACGAGACCGGGAATTAAGTCGAGAAGGAAGTAGTGGAAGCGTGGGCACGGTATCGCCTACCACTGCCATCGTGGATTCTCCAAACACTCACTTTGTGCGGTCTCTCAGAGACTTGAGTTTCTATGAGAAGGTAAATTATCGGTCTTTTTTTTTCTGAGTTTCACTTGATGCACTCTATTGCTTGTCTAACTTTGACTTCTATAGGACAACACGATGGACATAGCCGGGCTACGAGAGGTAAGTTCGCACATTGCATACCAAAATGCGCTAGCTCATATAGTTGACAAATATTTTGACAATAGCGATGTATTCGAGTGACGGGATTAGATGACCAGTCCCATATAATTGACGTCAGAAACCTCGTCGGCGCCCAAGCAATTCGCGACAGAGTCTTTATGAAGTTCAATCTGCGGGATCCAGGGGAGAGAATGAGGTACGGCATATATGGACTGGATTTTTCGGGCCAACTCGACACAGGTATGTAAACCCGTCACCAGATTTGCAGGTGCATGCTCAACTCATCCCCTATATAGAGAATCAATTGGACGATGAAGCTCTTCTGGCAATTTGCAAATCGCCCAATTACCAACTCAAAGCTCATTTGGTCCTCAAACGACTTGACGAAGAGTGTGCTCTCCCATTGCCAGATGAGAAGTTGGTTGACACGCCAGCAACTCCCCATGAAGTTTCGGAAGTAGATGAACCCCTGTCATCGCCAATTGTCCCCAAGCAAAGCACACGACGGGGGCTGCTTAAGCTGTTTAGCAACGCGACAAAACGAGCTGTGGCGCCACCTGAAGACGAGCCCTATGTGGACGTATCGAATATAGCCCCGCACTCTGCTCCGGTGCGACTGGAATCAAACAACGACATTCCACTTCTCGGACCACCAGATCAAGATGGTTTCCCTGAAGGAGAGACTGGGGATTTCCAAAGTATTGATGATCTACCTTATGATGGACCCCTTTCGAGGGTCACAACAAAGAAGCTCGAGCATTTCTTTGGAGAGCGGCCGCCAAGTGAGCTTATTTGTGAAAACCTAGAGGAATTTTTCCCAAGTTTATCGCGATCGCGTCCCATCACTAGTCAAGGTCAAGGGGAGATGACAGGCGGCGATCATGTACCGGAAAGAGAACGTTTATCTTTGAAGAATTTTGTAAAGGAAACTATGAAAAGGAAAAGGGCCAGCCGAAGCGAGACCAGTTTTGGACGGCGACTGAGTAGACCAGCCGCCTTGGTACTCTCCGAACTGTCAGAGCCCGATAAGGTGCCAACACAGGAGCAAGCACAACCCGAGGAAGTGGAGCAAGTTGAAAGTCAGTGGAAGGATCGCATTGCAACCATTGACGAGGATTCTAGTGTGCTGACTGGAAAAGATGCAGACTGGTTGCCTATCTCACGGAATCCAGATGTTGATGATCTTCTCCGAACAGAAGGTGGGAGCGACGGGGAAGCGGATCCCATGGAGCGGCCAATGGCAAGTCGCAAACGTTCGGCCAAGATTTTTGGAGTCCGAAAGGGGGTTTTGGTGGATTATGCTGCGGAGCAACCGCTGTCGCAAGCAGGCTCTATTCCAATGATTGACCGAGTGTGGACCACGTCGCTGAATGATTTGGATAAAAGTCGGCGACGCTCTACTGTGTCTCACACGAGCGTGTTGGGCCGTCGTTCTAAGCAATCACTGGTGGGGAGCCGTAAGAATTTAAGCCGCTCAGATACGGAATTGGACGAGTCTGAGATCTCTACTGGCGATAGGCTACGAAGGGCAGGAACAAAACGCGCTCAAATGAAACGGCTCGCGAGAAGCGATGACTATCTGCATACTTCTGAGAAATGGGCACCTCTGAAATTAACTTGGAGTGACGAAAGTTTCCTGAACCAGCGCAGAGCTGGAACCATTGGAATGAACCTTGGTACGCGCAAGAGCGTAGCGTCTTGGGACAAACGACGCGAACACCGTTCCGAGTCCGAGATTGAGGCAGAGGGCACTACTGAATCTTATAAGCCACTTACATCGAGGAGAACCACTCGCAGGGAATCCAAACTGGCGTCGCAAAATTCTTTGGCTGCAGAGCGCCCAATCGCAGAAGAAGACGAAGAACATGAAGATGACGTAACTGCCAGCACGGATATCGCTCTTCGGGACGAACAGACTACGCAAGAGCCGAAAATCCCTGGGGACGGATCGGCTGCCAATTCTCTGGAGGGTCTCGATAGATCCATGCCTACGCTGTCAAGAGCATTTACGCACGAACCTGACAAGCGGAGCAACGTTGAATGGGCTTGCGGTCCCTTGATAGGCAAAGGCGCATATGGTAAAGTCTTCTACGGGGTTAATGTGAAGACTGGAGAAATTATGGCCGTCAAACAAGTGGAACTCGCTGGGATGCCTAGGAAGCGAAATGCGGAGGACGCGAAAAAGGATTCCAGGCGCAGAATGTTGGACGCACTTCATCGTGAAATTACTCTTTTAAAAGATTTAGATCATGAGAATATCGTGCGGTGAGTAGTGATACGTGGCTATGGACGACAGTGGACTAAATGGTCCCCACTCTGTGGCTTTTATGTGGACTGATTCATACAGATACCTCGGTTATGACGTGGAAGGAACGACGATCAATGTCTTTCTAGAATATGTCTCTGGTGGTTCTATATCATCGTCGATTACCAGCATGGGCCGCTTTGAGGAGCCTTTGGTGCGGAGCTTAACATGCCAAATCCTTTGCGGCCTGGAGTACCTTCATGAACGATCTATCATTCACCGAGATATCAAAGGAGGAAACGTACTGCTCGATGAGAACGGTGTCGCAAAAATATCAGATTTTGGAATTTCAAAGAAAAACGGTACGTTGTAATCAATAATCAGAAAGAGTTTTCAAAGGGAGCTACATCGTTTGGGTGTCGTTTTTTTATCCGCAGAGTACAAGATGGCATATAGGTTCAACTCGCGCATGTCAATGCAAGGCTCTGTGCATTGGATGGCCCCAGAGGTCATCAAAGCTAAGGGTTACTCTGCTAAAGTCGATATTTGGTATGTGACTATCATATGTTTTTTATTCCACATGACCGCACTGACCCTCAGTTGTGCACAGGAGTCTGGGCTGTCTCATACTTGAGATGTTCACCGGATACAACCCCTGGCGGCAGCTGGACGAGCTACAAACGATGTGGCGGTTGGGTCGTGAAAACACACCTCCATTACCTGAGTGGTTGTCACCACAGGCACAAAACTTGCTGGAAAAGTGCTTTACAATGTAAGGAATCAAAGGAACGTTAGCGACCTTTCATGTCTTATTTCTGACTCATGGATGTTCATGGTTCATAGCGATCCTGATCAACGACCGACTGCAACCGATCTTCTATCGCACGAGTTTGCTGATGTGGATCCCGCCACCATTGTTGACTTTCGAGCGTATAAGGAAGCAGCGATCGAGCAAAAGCGTCTGGAAGAGGAGGAGGCCGATGCTCTTTCCGACGATGACGATTGGGACGGGAGCGACGTGAACTGGCTTACAAGCCGAAATTCCTTGTACATTTCGCGGGTACTTACGGCTAGACGGCTTTCCACAATGAAGCGGCGAGCCTCCAAGGGTCTTGCTTCGAAAGACGATAATATCGGCGGTGACGCTAATGTCACCCCTGATAGTGTTGTTAAACAGGATGCTGGAGAGTCGGAGCCACTACCCAATAGTCTGACAGGAACTTCTTTCGGAAGTGCTGATGTCGATGCGGATCTTAACTGTGAGGAGGAGATTTCACATAACAGTAGTGCTTTTCAGCACCGTAATGATGAGAGCCACCGAATGATGTCTCTGAATGAATCAGTAGCTATTTTGCACTGATGGAAATCTGTCGCTCATTTTGCGTTTTAATATCTTTCGTGTATTAGATTTTTGATCTCTTAATGTATTATTTTAAATGTACAGAGCTTGGCCAGAAAGTTGTAATTGGTCGTAAAGTCACTAAACGAAAACAAATGATTGCTCTAATACTCAGTAAATAACGCGAATAGTCTGATGTTTGAAAGACTGTTATGCATGATAAATAACCGCAAGTCCTGCCTATGCTTGTCTATCTAATAGCGATCTAATGTGCTTGTTGATGAATTGGCACTTCAAAGCTTCCGCTGGTAAATTCTTTGCGCCTGACACACGCTTGATGCACTAGAAGACCGGCCTATTTGAGATGCAAGCCAAATTATCACTAAACGTTGCCAAATACCATACCTGTGGTGCTCCACACCAGCAGTCGAAAGGTTGGCTCATATCCCATTCCGTACTGGGCCGACAGTAAATGAGATAACAAAATGATGGTACTATTAGCAGCGAGAACTCACCTTGGGTAGAAAAAGGTCGCTTCATCTCCCGGCTGGAATGGCAAAGGCATTAGCATCCTATATCGTGTACTTGCCCCGCAGCTATATGACTTTTTTACCTGCAAGTCCCGAGCTGCAATCACTTCCAACGTTTCAACGTCAATAATGACAGAGGGATCGCAGGAGTGATTCTTTATTGGAAGGGTATAAAGGTCAATAATGAGCTTATGGTAAGAAGTCCTTAGTGTACAAATACCATAAAGACGAGCTCAGAGTTCAACTCGATGTGCTTATCCGCCGAAATTTGCACAGATGACCACCTTTGGAAAGGGCGAGAAAAGACGATCAGAGAACTAGCATACAGACATAACTGTAAGTTGCCAAAATACCTCTTAAAGGCTTCATAGCACCCTTCAATTTTAGCCATGACTTCCTTTGCCTGGAACGGGCGGAGCACAACCAACTTTGACTTGAAGTCCCCGTCCGCGCCACTGCGAACAATTTCGAACCGGTCCGGGAATTTGAGGCTACATGCGACAGCCAAATGATGAAAGAACACATGAGCGATCGGCATGCATCTGGTTGAGGCTCAAGCCTCAGATGACGCGCGCAACTAAACCCTTGGCTTCTCCGCCGGAGGCTTGCTATATGGCATGGTACATGACTAATGAATATGCACGTCCAGTGTGCCAAAGACACAAGCGGGGTCTAGAGGGACCCGGGCATAAAGGCCAGAAACATATGTGCTCCAGTCCGGCAGACCAAAACTATGCCAACGGTGCCCAGCGTCGCCTATCGTGCCTTCATACGCCAATACGTACCTTTCCACCATGGTGTGCAATGGTTGTCTGCTCTAGCCGTTGTTCGAGGTGATGGAAACAAAAAGTCAGTGCCAAGCACAACCTCCGCCAACCAACGCGATCGGAGTAGGAAATGAACGACCCCACGGAGATCACCCGAGGGAGATGGTTTGGAATGTGACTGTGCCATGCTTTTTTTTCACGTGATCGTACGATCAAAAGCTTCAATTCAGCCGAGATGGTTTCTGAAGCGCTGGTTTGAAGCCGGGCTTCTTCCTAAGGCTCTCCCGCATAGGCCGAGTTGACGCCAAGGGTCTTGCATGTATCGCACATTAGTTTCCTTGAAGGCGATCAACAGTAGTGATCATAATCGCTGTCAATGTGCGGATCAAAGCTGATCTCGTCAGGCGCATACGGTATTAACAGGCTGCCGGTGGATAGATGGCACTCCCTGAGAATAGTGTTGCGTGAAATTTACTCTCCAACTACGAAACAAGTATGCGTATCTCAACATGTTGAACGGTCATGTTAATTACAGCTATCGGGAAGTTTGATCGACGCTTACTAAGGGCTACTAATGTACTTGGTAAGCGAAGCACGTGGATACGATCAAGCAACGGTTCAGCAGCGTTGGCTTGGTCATTCATCTTGAGCAAACCATGTCAACCAACAGAACTTTCTGTCGGATTGCACCCAGGCCTGACTATAACAGCTTATCTTCTTCTTTGAGTTTAAGCCAAAGCGGTCAAGAAACGACACTTTATGTATCATGTGACTGGAATTCTGTTAATAGTGCTTCGCGAAGCACTGCCGTCGCGTTTGAGTTGGGGATTACAGATGGCACGATCGTATGGCAACGAGCAGGTAAATGGCTCTTTAGACACTGCACAGGCCGCAAGCATTTGTTTGGCTAAAGGATTAAATCCGTTTATCAAAGTCACCATGGCGGATCTACGACGATGTCAACCTGAAGATATTTCTGAAGATGACTATCTGATGGCTACCAAAGCAGCTTTCGCAGGGCAGTCTGATCACAAAGGACAAAAAACTGGATGCTCAGTGAATACTGGAGACTTCACTGCTGAGGTTAGCGATAGTTAGGTGTGGTCTAACGTACCGGCCAGGGAGATACCATTGCGTGAGAGCTTACGTTTTCCAATGCCAAAGCTGTCCTGGTTTTTAATATTAGATGGTGGAATCAAGGTATTATACTCTTTTTTTTGCACAAGCACCAAGTGTCACTGACGTAATAGTATCTTGCTCGCAGTTTGCGCTTGGCAGAATATCTCTGCCGTCTGTGTTAAAGGAGGAATGTAACGCAATATGGATAAAATGGATCGATGAATTGATAATCGATCGACAGGAGGCCTCGGTGAGGGCTGTCTCAGCACAAGTAACGACACAGCGCGGTCTGTTAATGGAACCTTACCATCACTATATAGGATCGAATCCAGAAATTGGAGGCAAAAGTTAAAGATCTGCAACAACAGCGAGCAGAGGTGTTGAAGGAGCATGATGTTTGGGTGAAAGAAAAGCGTGAAAAGGTTGAAAAGACAATCTACAAAAAGGTGGCCTCTTTCTCGAACGCCTCCTCCCTGCGACGATGCTTATGACAACACTACCAAGTTCAAGGAGGTGCTGAATGCAAAGAAAGGCAAAATACGGGATCTAATGAAAGCTAATAAAGAACTCGGTAATTATGAACACAGCGTACTTCCGTTTTGCTTAGAGGAGAATAATGAACAGTTCCATGGTGACAGCAATGCGAATCGCAACCTCGGAGGAGGCGCTCAAGGTAGCTGCAAGTCGAGCCATCGACGCATCAAACACCGTAGAGCACGAAGGGGTAGATCGGTATGTCCGGTCCTTCAGGAAGCAACTTACGTTCATCAAATTAAAACGAAGTCCAAAGGGCCTTACACCCCAATCGGTTCAATGAAGCAGGCTCCCATTTGGCGGAATCTGGAGAATCAAGTTCTGATACGAGCGTTGACGCCATTGTGGGTCGGCCAGCGAAAAGGAAGAGAGGAGAGGACGGCAGTCATGACGCAAGGCAACAGCGGACACGCCAATCAACAAGCTCTACCACCGCACCATCTCATGGAGAACAATTAACAGTCACAGCGCAAAAGGGCGAAGCAGATAAAGTAATCTCTGCTATTAGCTTAGATGACTCTGATGATACGGACGAGGGACCACCGGCTTTATTGGGTAATTTGGGTCTCCCAGATTTGAGAGGCAATGTGTATCGGACGACGTCAAGGTAAGATAAGATCCGCCCCTTTGTTACTATGGATAAACCCATTCGAGATTAACCCGCCATAGTAGAAGATTGGCACGTCCTGTGATGCCGTCAGCAGAAGCGGGAAAACCACCCGCAGCGGTCTTTCGGACACCGACTGCCATCGAGGGACGCCAGTCACGAACCGATCGCAGGACGGGATCGCGTGCACCATCCAATCTTTCAGAACAGGATTCGCCCGAATCGCTGCTACGAAAGATTTAAGTGATAGGTCTGCTTAAATTAAAGTCGGGAATTTCATCTTGCACTGCAGCTTTCGTTGGTAAGGTATCATACTCTTCTGAAAATAATAATATGTATATACAATGTTAACCTGTCCTCTTGGCATCAGTCAATGTCCATGGGCCGCACCCCTAGATCCCGGTTGCCGTTGGTAGGCAAGTCGGTTGGAGCAGTGGGGGATGATTCTGCGGCAAGCACTACTGTTACCAAGAGTTTACTTTTCCGCCATGCAGACAACTTGTATACCTGGTGGTGATCCCTCGATAATCTCTTTTTCCTCAGTAACAGACGGTACTCCATTTCCTTGTACAATTTCCATTGGGCTATCACGTATCACGCTAAAATGCAAAGGACTATCGGACGACGTAACCAGTAACACCTTGTAATAAAGAATTTAGTTAGAAGCTCGGAAATAGCCCTGCGCTTGACAATATCTATACTAACCTTCTCCAAAGCTCGAAGATATTTCCACACATTCTTGTGGTGCTCGTTTGGTCGGACAGTCAATTCGCATAATCGCTGCACGGTAAACGGTGCTTCATCAAAAGTATCCAATGCCAGTCCGATACGGGTCTCATAGTCCTTCACAGAATCCCCTTTATCCGCCTCATCTTCTGATTCTCCCTTAAGGTTTCGACGGATCTTCAACTTTATGACTTCTTTCACCAGAGGCCAAGGCTATTATCACATGTGCGTAAATATCAATCACATCAATTATCAGCTCTACAGTGATGCTTACATGCTCTAATTCGCAAGAGTCTGCTATTCTTGTCAACATATGATCGTATTCTATTATTTTTTGCGAGGCCAAGGGAAACGAGTAAGGCATAAACCTTTGAGTAACGGTCAACATGCGCTATTATGCAGCAAGGCCACGTACCAGATTTCCATTCTTTTTCGCCCGCATCTTGCAGTTCGGACAGTGTAGGAGCTTCCGTATCGCTAACCATTCCCGTCATCTGGGCCTGCAAGAGTTGCCGACTTGCGATCTGCGCAGCGTCATGAAGCCACATTTTCCACATTCGACTCGACCGATCCACCTGATCGAGTTCCGGTTCCAACAGCACTGTCCATTGAGCGTCGATCAAGGGTATTGGTTCCCGATCACCGACAAAAGATGAACCAACCTGGGCCAAAGTCACCTACAGACTTTCTCAACAATGTCATTGGACGACCAGTGATTGTTAAATTGAACTCGGGGGTGAATTACAAGGGTGAGTATAGCTAGCATGCACATGTGATGGCCAAGCAACTTACCGATATTCGGGCAGGTACCCTAGCATGTTTGGATGGATACATGGTAAGCGTTCGTGGCTCAAGTCCGCAAAAGCACAACACAGCACCGCTCAGACCCTGCTGCCACTTTCAGAATATTGCGCTTGAAAATACGGAAGAGTACGTACACGGGGTGTTAAAGAACAAGTATGGGGATTGCTTCATTCGAGGGAATAATGGTGAGTATGTCTCACATAGTTTCTGAGTATCTTTGATGCTGAGCCATCTTTATTTGGGTGAGCAGTGCAATATATATGTGCTGCAAAGTGAACGCATCGGGGACGCTCGGTAGACGCAGGAATGATTCTGTGCGAGATGATCTAGCACGCTTTATGTCATTAATACAAGGAGAATTGTACATATTCTTTACGTCCATTCCTTCAAGCCCTGTCTACTTCCCTTCTCCTGACTTTAAAGAATTGTTTTGAAGGCGCTCCACGGCGGCAGCGCCCTCGTCTATACGACGGAATTGCCATGTCCAGCCGGCGTTATAAAGGAAGGGCCTCAAATCATATCGATTGTCGTCTGGCGAGTAAGGTGACATGTGATACGAGGGTGGCAAAATGGTGGTCTTGTGCCGATTGATGGAGTAGTAGAAGAAGAACGATTTCACTTTCTCAGCAATCTGGCCGAAAGGCAATGCTACAATGTTAGAGCGTCGATTTGGCGTCTTGCTCGCAGCCATCTTGAACAATCATACCTCGGTTGGACGAAGACGATCACCCCATTCGTGAAGCAACTTAGAGAACATCCCGAAAGGCCCACATTTAGCCACTTTTCGCAATGTGCCGTACACCGAGAGCTCCTCATAGGTCATCTTCATATCAACCTATGGCAAATTTAGTTCGGCATCTTTAAATGCATGTTGGGGCAAGTGCTATCTTACCTCGTCACCCTGGACGTACTCCTTGGTGATAGGTTCTAATTCAGCAGTCGGCGTAGCCTCTAGAAATCTTTGACGCCATTGAAGTTGTCTGTGAATCAAAGGTACGCAGACGGTTATATACTTACTCTTCAAGGATATCTAGGCCGAGTTCAGTCTTGGCATATCCAAGGAATTTTCTCAAGTCGATTTTACTGATTCCCCCAATAGGATTGATGTCAGCACTTGAACAGTCATACTTGGTGAAGTAGCCTCGGAGTCTTCATTTTCGAAGGTTACTGAAATTGCGCGCCAACAAATACTAGTGATCAGGCTTACGTTTCGTCGACATTGGCACTGCCGAGAACAAGTAGTGACCCAGGTCGGCCCCGTACCCACAGAAGCAGCTGAGCAAACATGTAAGCCAGAACCATTCTTGATCGTGCCTGATGATGTAAATTATTTAGTCCAACCTGCTCTCCGTTTCAAGTGCAGTGTTGCAATCACCTGTATATTTTGTAGAGCTAAATTTTCCGTTTCACTTCCGCCATGTACCTTGAAAATAGGACGTTTTCCAGTCGCTGTCTGGAAAACTGCTAGAAAGCCAGACACAACAGAATCCATGTTGATGTCCAAGTGGTAGCTGCGATAGGAAGTTAGGAAATGCTGCGTTATGACGCTGACTGCACTGTTATACCTTCCCAGCTTGTCGGCAAGATGCTTCGCCCTGACCCGTGTCTCTTTGCTGGAATTTTCGGTTCCCATATAGCAAGTGTGAAAGATGCGCCTAAAGGAACGAGAGACGATGAGATTTCCGTTCCCTAAGCGAGATATCTCCTTTAACGTTTCCTCACCCACTCAGTTCTCTTGGATCCTCGGGAATATAATCTGAGTTGGTTTCACCAACTAGTCTTCTGGCGTCCGCAATAACCTGCTGGTCTGCCATACAGTAATCAGCCAACTAGCTATATGTCTCTTGTCATCAGGAAGCTTACCTCCGTTTTGAGCAGCTTTGCAAACCAGGTCACACATTGAGTAAACAATGACAGCTGTAGAGCAACTGTCCAATCCGCCACTTAGAGGCAAAAAGAATCCCCCAGCCTTCGATCGGCGCAGATAATCCCATAGCCAGCATGCAGGACCGAGCCTTCAGGATAACGTGAGTGGTGTGATGTGATGAATTACATGATGAATTACATTGCATATACCGAATTTCTTCCTGCGGTGTGTGGTACCGCGGCGGGTGTGGTTTACTGGGCGGGCTTCTGATACCGTCTTTGAATATGTCGTGGGTTAAAGCAATATCCGCAAAGACTCGTGGGTATGCTGGGGCCTTCACCGCCTGAGAAGCGCGACTCGGTGCGTCCCCTCGGCGGGAGCGAACTTCTTCGATATCCATTGTTGCCGTGACAAGTTCCTGCAACGGAGAAAGTAAGCCAGTTGCCAGGCCAAGTTCAGGTCTGCTTCATACTTACGACATCCTTAAGAGAAAATTGTGTTCCCTGAGCCACGATCTCACCGTTCATGAGAATCAGCCCGCAGCCATCGTAATAAACGCGCTCTCCGTCACAGCCTTGCTGATTGGCGTAGAGATAGATACCTCCAGACTGTTACCGTCTTCGCATTAGATCATTACCGTGCAAATGCCTGAGATCCACTTCTAGCACCTTTTGCGTAGCTCCTTGAATTAAGTTGATCCGCGTGTGTAACTTCCGAAACTCATGGTGTGAACCACTACTGTTTGTAAAGATTTCGACTCCATCTAATGCTTGATGGGTGTGTGGACTGAAAGGGCGGTTGCTACCTTAGCTCTCCCCGGGCGCAGCATCTTACTCAATATTAAATCAAATACCTGTCTGGTGTGAAGAGTTCTTCACAAAGCTCAGTTCCGAGGACAGTGCTAAACAAGGGAGTATGAAATCACTTGTTTTTGTGTAAGTACGAGCAGGCCAAAGATGGGTACATACTCTCTAGTCGAAATGACAGCATCTCCGAATGGAACAGTAAACTGTACATACCATCAAATCTAGCGCTAGCCGTCGTCGAATATAACTACTAAACGTACCTGGCCAGTGATTTCCTGAATGATACGGGGAAGATGAAAATCCTCCACCGTGCGGTACTTGCTCCATGACGCAAACCAGCGCATTTCTCTGTAGTTTCCGTCATTGGCAAGGAACATCTTGGGCCTGATCAACAAGATCTTCGTGTTGAGGAACACTACCCGGCAGTTGTACTTGACGTCCTTGTGTACCACGGGCCTTTAGAAGGATAATAACATCATAAAAATGGTCAAGAGATCTTCTGCGGTGGTATCAATTGGTGACTATTACGTACATTCCGACATCAATGAGCATGTCTCGGCAGATTTCTGAAGTCAAGAGCTTGGCAAGCACTTCCCATGAGTGCAAGTATGTATCGCCTGTAATTATTTTGTTCAATTTATCCTCCTCGAATTTGGAAGCTGACCGGGCTCAATCTACCTTCATAAAAGTGATCATTGCAGCCGTATCCGCTTACAATACAGGTTAGACGGTTTAATATGGTAATGCCGGGTTCAGCTTTTGACCGAAAAAGAGAGGTGTACAGAATATCTTACGTGATTTCGAGCTCAGGTCCCAAGCGGTAACGGGCACCGGCGTCCTTTGCCAGCTTTATGCTCTCCAGAATGCGCTCGTAGTTGCCCTGAAAGTCGAGGGCCCATTGGTTCTGTTTGACGATATTCAACCTGTCAGTTTCCTCGCGTCGCAACAAGGATGGCAAGCAGCCTTACCAGGACACATGTCGCGAGGGTAACGAAATGTCCCATTGCTCTTATGGCCTATTGCTGATTAAAACCAGATGTGTAGCGAAATCCAGGCCGTTACGTCAAGAAGGTCGCGCTCAATCCCCGATCGACCAGCTTTAGCATGGCTGTGGCAGGGTGTGGCTGGGTACTGGCAGTAGGCTCGCCTTTCGACTTGAGATCAGCTTCCCCACCACTCCCTTCTCCATCTTTTCCCCCAGGCTTGGCCGCATACCCACGGTATATTTTCGTCCTGCGAAGGTCCTGCCGTCCTTGTACACCCGCTTCTTCGTACTTTTGAAGCGCCCTCATTGGTCAGTTCGTTGCTCAAGTAGCATGACATTGGACGTGGGATCTCCTCTGCCTAAACAGGTGGTACATGCCTCTGCGGCCTATCCTGTCAAACTCTTGCCCCCGATTCCTGCAGGACCCAGGTTTTCGGAGGAAGAGCACTTGTTGCTCCTCGAAGGAATAACCCAAGAACTATCGACCCTTCTACGCCTTCCTTTTGCCATTTTCTGGAGCGCGGTTCTTCACCCACAATACCCTGCCTATTCAGTGTCGTGCTTTCTTGACGCTTATTTTCGGTTGCGTCCGAATGACCCAGCGCTGGCGCAAAAGGTCTTTTATCTAATATGTCGTCTAACACTGGCACCAGAAGAAGCGGAAGCAGAGGAACGTCGGGAAGACGAGTTAGGATCAGCCGATGTGTCAGACGATGCAAAGGAGGCTCTCGAGTGGAGCATAGATCTTTGGCCGGACATAGTATACACTAGCGGCCTCATTACATTGCCACGGCTGTTGGAAGTTGCGAGAGAGTTTGGCAATGCGAACACACCGGTACTACGGCATGCTTTCCAAACCGTTTTGCACGTACAGCAGAAGCTATTAAAGGATCTGAATGTAGCGGTGGACATGATTGTAGGATCTGTCCATATATTTCAGAAAAAGTATGGAAAGCTGTCCAAAAATGCTGGGAAGGGCAAGGGAAAGGGAAAAGGCAAGTTTGAGGAAGAAGCGCCACATTATAGAACGGGGGCAAATACGAGCAGTGATGATCCCAGGGTGGATGCGGGAACTGTGAATGGAGACGCCATGCCAATACAGAGTCCCTCAGCATCGATTGAGCAGACGTACGATGCTGATTTCCTGTATGACGCCATCCTAGACTTGCGCGCCTTCGTGTTGACAGGTGGAAGTACGGTCGCAAGGGTGGTTTTGTCGAACAAGGACTTTGTTCCCGCGTTGACCGACATATACCAGGTGGCCAACATCTTTACAGGAGCTGATAATCACAATAGCGACATTACAGACGATGGGAAAGCGTCAGGGAACTGGGATTCAACAGCAATCATGGATGTGGAAGGAGCGCTATCCGATAACGATGTAGCCATTGCCAGCCGTGCACGACGCTTGAAGGGTGCTGTCGTTGTGCTGCTGGAGGCTATAATACAAGTCGAGTTTCTAGAACCGATGAAGCTGGTGCCTACAGAGCCAGTTGACCTCAATCAAATATCCTTAGCAGACGTGCACAAGCGTGCGGAGTCCCTCTGTGATCTCGTTATGCAACTACTGGAATTATCACCTTTTGACGGGCCTGTCACATTCCTGTGCTCGGCCCCGTTATTGGTTGACCTAGAGGTAGACTTTGGTATCTGCGATCGGCTAAAACAAATTCGGGAACGGTATATGAAAGACGAGTCTGACGCGCGATTGGATTACCTTGTCGTTTCCTTGGAACATCTGTTGACCTTCAGTGCCAATGCGGAGGTGAAGCGCGTTATAGCAAATCGGAAACGAAAGCGAGTACAACAGCGCAAGGGCGAGGATAAAGTAGATGAAGCTGTAATTGACGGCGCAAACGATGCAAATTTAGACGTATGTCGTTAGCTACGTCCACCGGTTCACCGGTTTGGGGTTGTTTACAAGGTTCATGGACTTTCCCTTGCGTAGTCAGAAGCAATCAACGAAGACTTTATCAAACGCACGTTGCTTATTTCGCAAATCCAAGATCTGTTTTCGGATCTAGGTGAGGGCTTCATAGAGGTAAGTAAGATCCCTTCCCAAGAACCGTGCTGTTCGACTGATGCAATCGTGTCTTCGTAGGCCTGCTTGATTGCTTTCAATGACGATGTCGAAATGGTCATAATGAAGATACTCGAAAATGATTTGCCTGATTATGTGACCAAACTAGATCGCCAAATGCCGAGGTAATGTGATCCGTCCAGACACAGTCTTGGTAGTGTATCTATAACAGATCTGGACCTTTCAGAACCGCGCCGATTACTGAACCTGTAAGCAGCGAAGCGGTGTCATCCGCCAATGCTTCAACGGAGGAATCTATTCCCAATGAGGAGGTGCCAGAAGAACCTAGTCTTCTCGCCACGCGTCGTAATGCCTTCGACGGTGATGAATTTGATGTCTTCAGCCGTGGGCATGTGGACTCTGAAAAAGTGATCTTTGGAAAAAAGGAGTGGGTACAATACAGTAATCGAGTCGGCTTAAACTAATTCTCGGGCTACAGGAGGACCAACGGAGTACTGAATGACAAGTCGTTTGTGCAGGAACAGCGGGAGGCCATCCTGGCAGCTCAATACGACGATTACGACGACGAGTGAGTTCAACCTGACTGACATGCAATTGGCTAGTGTCATCTAATCACCTGGATTGAAACCAGGTACGACGATACATATGACGCAAGCGAGATCAAACTGGCTGGCACCATCGAGCTTCACCTCGTTGATGAGGAAGAAGGGGTGGTTGAAGACGGAAGGCCACGGCAGGCAGTGCCAGTGGACGAACCATCAGATCCATTTGCAAAGCATGAAGCCGAGCTCGTAGCGATATACCAGAGTGATCGACAATTATTTGATAAATCCCAGCGGAAAAGCCCAAAGAGACTCGAGCTGAGGAAACGAACTGGATATTCGGATGAACAGCTGGAAGGCTGGTTCACCATGTTTGAACGAAATGTATGTAAAGTTCATTCTCCGAAGTCGACAGAACTAGATACTGACTTGAGGATACAGCCACGAAAGAACAGAATTTTAGAAAAATATGCATGGCGGGGTAACAGAGCTGGTGATGTAGAGGAGGCGCGCGGTGCGCCAGATCAGATTCGAAGTCCGCAACATGGAAATGGTTCATCAAACAACATAGATCGAGAGGAACGGGCAGGGCAAGGAGGAACAAGTACTGGAAATCGGGGGAGCGCTGGCGATTCTGTACAGGGAAAACGGGGTGCAGGTGTCGGGCGGGATGGAACAGGGTTTCCCCATGGCGCGCCCTTGGAACGACAACGGGCACGGAAGGAAAAGAACAAAGGGCGTGGGGCTAATCATAGCAGAAAAGACGGCCATGCGAGAAAATTGGGACGCGGCATGGGTGGGCCGTTGTAATTACTGAGAGTTGCAAGCACAAAGGAAGCGGAACGCATCAACGCGCTTGTGTATCCATTTTGTAAAATATAATCGCAATCAGCCTGTCGTTCTACAGTGTCGAGATGGAATTCAATGGAACCATATACTCGCTATCACGACGCCTAGTGCGTTGCCGGCGCGCAGCCATATACCGCCAAAGAAGGTCGCAAAACATTGCGGTAACTAGACCCGTACACATCCCGTAAAGGTTTGCCTAGTAGCACACATATGTATAAAGATCTAGAGTCCAGATAGTTTGAGCCAATTTGCAACCTACCAATATGTCCTTTCCATCAAAGTTCCGATACGGTAGGAGTCCTTGAATGATTTCACTTCCACCGGCCAGAGTCAGCATACAGACTGCTGTCATTCCAGCATTTTTCAAGATTGTTGGAAATTCAAAAATAAAATACACAACAAGGGTCAAGAGTGCAAAACTCGTGAAATGAAGAAGTTTGTCATTATTGCGAAAAACTCTAGGTATGTATGGTGCGACAGACGAAGAAGGATTCTAAGATGCACTCCACATGTTAGGGTTGTAAGATAGAACACACCTGAGAACGAACTGGCAATGCCCTCACCAAGCCCAGAATGGCAAGTACGCCCAAGAGGAAGATGCATAAAATGGCACAACTGAAGCGCATTGAATTGGGCCCTAACGGCCGCTGCTTCCAGACGTGCAACGCCTGCTCTACGGAAGCCAACAAAGAAGGATGGATGCCCGCATACACGCCGCAGCTGGAAAGCCGACAAGACAGGCGAACGGTTTCGTAAGCCATGACGCACGTGATACAGTTGCTTTGGAAGATCCAAGTGGAAATAGGTTGTCGATCTCGGCCATGTTTCCATTACTTGACGCTGCACTGAATTGGTCTTCTACGCCCTCCCCTTCATCCTCGGTTGATCAGTCGGCTGGTCGCTTTGTTCTTATAACCGATGTAGTCCGAGCAGATGGGTCATTCCTCCTGCACCACTTTATTGGCCGACATTTACGCATTGAGGAAGGGCCTGGGTGGAATGTGGTGCTTGTGGGACTAGCACAGGCATTCAATCACTATCTGCTAATTGGCAAGAAGCTGGTATAACGAGAAATCTGTATTGCTTCATGACTCTGAGTTTGACGCCACGAAATAATTGTAGGGTGTGAACCTCACGAGTTACGAGCGGAAGGGTCGTTTTGCCTTTCTGGACGGGCTATCCAATGTACGAGCCGCGTCTGGGCCGTTTGCTAATACAAATGCCAAAGGACCAACTTCCATACAACAATCAGCGAAGCGCTATCCTGATGTGCAAAACTTATTCGCAAACATATTAGCAGCCGTGTCATCAAGAGTTCAAGATGGGTCGAAACCCTGCATAGTTATCGACGATCTGACGATGTTGCTGTATTCTGGGGCACCATTAGTAGACCTTCTGACGTTCATAAGTAGCTTGAACGCATACGTCGGGCAGGTAAGAAAACTGCATTTCCGATCCGTTCGACAGCGGTGACTGCCCGGGGTATGTACCCATTCTCTTTTCTCCATAGCATAACGGATGCTTGGTGGTTCTGGTACACAACGATACATCCAGCGGAGATGTAAGGCAAGCTGCGATGTGCAAGTCGCTCAGCCATCTGGCCGACTATGTCTTGGAGGTACAAGGGTTGGAGAGTGGAGCTACACAAGGGCTTCATGGTCAGGTATGAGCTATGTCAGAGTATATCCCTACCCTTGTAATCGACCTGATGATTTTGCCTCTGTTGGTCAGCTCACATTGGGGCGAGGACCCCCGCTGAACGACACAAGCTTTTCTCCTCACGTGCTGCACTACAGATTGGCAGATGCTGGCGTACAATTCTTCAAGAAAGGATACTCTACCGGTGTTCTGTAAATATCATGCCACTAGTTATTTGCACCCAATCATCCACCATCGGCGGTCATCATAATTTTGTTGAAAACAATCTATTAAGGCTGAGATACGATCGAATCTCGTGACGCCTCGCTGCGTGCGGAAGAATACATGTTTGCTTCTGCATAGCACTCTGTGCAAACACGCACGCCGATATCTAATCGCGAGCATTTCCAACAAATGACCCGACCACATTGCCTGTGTGCAAAGGATGCACTTTCAGTCATGATCACGTTGGATACCGTTTATCACGTGGTTAACGTTACCTGCAATGATGCTTTCGAATCATCATGCTGAATTTTGTTGTTTGACAGATCATGCAAACGGTAGCCTAGGTATGGCGGTAAGGCATTGTGTGCAAAACGTTTGCAATATTGCCTGCACACATACCTCATGATCGGGTATCCATGGCACTGCCACCGACTCCACGCTGCTCACCGTGGACATACTGACTTTGCGATCCACGACAGTTCCCCTCTTGTTGCTTGCAAAGTCAACACCTTGCCAGAGTTTGAAAAGATTCCATTCAGATAGCGACGATTGTGACGCGTTTGAATGCCTTCGTCGTCGTTGTCGCGCCTCCCATGCATGAGTTTCGGCTACTGCCCTTCGTGCAACCGCTATCCATTCGTCTCTCTTGGCGTTTGAGTCAAACCCAACGCGCAATGACTGGGTTGGCGTCTCTATATCCACCAACGCGTAATCTATATTTACCCAGATTTTAGAACAACAGTTTGTTGAAACAATAACGATCGCCTCCTCCTGCTTCCCTACCAGTATCATCAACGGCCATAACCTCCAAATCTGCCAACAACAGAATCGTCTGCCGATCATATGCATTCGCAAGATGATCAGTCGCCACTTGCCCCAGTGGGGTACCGTATATTAGCATATCGCTTAAAAGGAAGAGCTATCGAAATTCATTCACATTAACAGAGGAGTACAGGTCGGAGGCGCAAATTTTATGGAACATACTCTTCGCGGTTCGCTATACCGCTCGTCGCCATCTATCCGAACTTTGTAAACCACATCGTCTCTAAGAAAGATACGTGTGCCTACCAGTGGCTTGAACCAATTCAGCAGTCAGATAAGTTCCTTTGGATATTTCTTTTCAAATTCTCCTCACCTTTCCTAGAAAGAAGAATTCGATTTCGGCGAGCTTATGTATGTTCTCAAATGTCTGAACAGGATTCGGAGGTCGGCGAAACACAGTTCGCACACTATATTCCGTTCTGTCCTCGAACTCATCGTTCAAGGATGGTAGGGACGATAGAGAAGGTCTTGAGCGTGTTGGTCTCCGTACAGCATAGGATTTTGCAGAACGATGAGGAACGGCAGCTAGGCCAAAGCGAGCGGAAAAGGGTGGGGCAAGTGTGATGGAGTCATTGCTTCCTTTTCTTGAAGCAGCTTGAGATTTAGTGGTACTTCGTGGGGCTCGAGAGTGTAAGCTTGAGGTCGAAGGTAGGAGACTGTTATCGGCTTTTTTCGCGGAATGTTCGTCGGCGCTTGCTGTGCCAATACCAGCATTACTTCGCGACCGCTGGTTTTCGTGTAAGATGTCGTGTTGAGGTATGGGGTTCGATATTTGGATTCTCCCTCGTTTGGTTTCTTGTTTGTGCCCAAAAGCTTGATAAAGCAGGTCGTACGCTGTAGTACTTTCCTTTTTCCCGTGGCTTTCCGTGGACGCGAGCATTATCGCAAAGCGTCAAAACTTAGCGTTGGAGAGAGCAGGTGCGGAGTCGGAATAAGCACGACTGAAAGGAATGTCCACCAACCCTCTTGAAATCGGGAAAACCCTCCTGCTGAGAGATTTGTGAACGTTGGAACGTCATGGCTGCTGTTGGTAGGTCACGTGACATAGGTAAGCGATCGGCGTTCAGATCGACCTGCTTTCTGAGCGATCGTTTCGCAGCATCTTTAGCGAGTTGCATGTTCGCAGGACCTTTCACAGTCATTATCGGTAGGTCACGACTGGAATTGCGACCATCTTTTGAATTTTGTTTTTGTGTTATCGTGATTCCCATTCCGAAAACCACGCAGGACACACGGTTCAAGAACCTGTGGCGCTTGTAACGGCTCCAATCGGACACCTCCCCAAGACTTTCCAACTGTTGCATCGCAGATACAGCAGCATATGTCAGCTCTTGGCATCAGCCAGTTCCCCACCGCCCTTTGAATCGTAAAGCTCCCCTTTCGTCAATACCCTCAAACTTTAACAAGTCACACGAGAAAGCCACACAGCCTCTTGACGTAAGCAGATGGACCGCCGCCAAGGATATAACTTCGGTGCCCCAGAATGTCGTCGCCTCACCATCTTTCAACTATCTTTGTTATACTGAATCGGTGATCATGGCTTCTTCTGCAATATCTTTTCCTGGTGCGACATGCACAGTCATCTCCTCAGCTGGCGGTGCCCCCAAGTCACTCGGTACGGGATCTCTGCGCGTAACGCAAGATCTGTCGTTGGCATCCACGGTGCTTTCAACGCAGACCTGGTCATTGACCATTCCACCAACGGCGCCGCTAACAAAACTCTCAAATGGTATATATTTGGTACATCTACCCCCTACCTCCAAGCTGGACACAACTGCAGCCGCTGGTGCTTCTCCCTATGTTTTTCCGAATGACGGAGCAACGCTACGTATTGAACTGGGGCCAAAGTATGACAGTGATTCCGTTGCGCTTCTTGAAGCACTTTTTGCCGACGACAGTCCGGGTCCACAACGGCATCCATCCGAACAGCCTCGAAATAGCCTGGCGTTGGTGGACGAGCATGGCCAGGTGGTAGGCGTGGTTGCAGAAGGCTTGGAAATGGAGGGACAAGGAGATGCTCTACCAGCGTACAACAAGGATGAAGCTGTTGTTATCGAACTCAGCAGCCTTCCTACCGTTCCTCTTCCTGGGGATGAGCAACAAGAGGAGACGCTACCAGTAAGGGTTAAAGTGCTCCGCGATGCATCATCCGGGATGCTATCCACCAGCGAATATATTTCATCCGGTCTTATTCTCACGTCATCTGCCCTTGGTAAAGTGATGAAAAGCGGCGCACAGTCTCTGAAAACCTTGATTCCTGTTGCTGCGGCCCCTTGGGAGCCCGATGCCACCACGAAAAAGAATATTGAAAAGGTTCATAACGCCAGCAAAAGTACGGCAGACTTCACACGTCGTGCGGCCGAGACCGTCGCAACAGTGGCAGTTTCTGCGGGAAAGACAGTGGCCTCCAGTGCCTCAAAGCTGGTACCTGGTTCCAATCACATTGGTGACTCGCGAACAGGATCTGCTTCGTGGGATTTGCTCAGAACGACGGTACATGCCGTTGGAAATGTTCTCGATGCGGGTGTGCATGCGGGAAAGACTCTCTTTGATGATACCGTAGAAGCTGCATCCGGTCTTGTCCAGCATCGATACGGAGGCGAAGCAGGGAATGCCGTGCGGCTGTCTCTGGGGGCAGTGGGAAATGTGGGTCTGGTATATTTTGATGCAAGAGGTATCGGACGGCGAGCTCTCCTAAAGCACGTTGCCAAAGGAGTTGTCATGAACGTTAGGTTGACAGATGGTAGAGTTGTTAGCTTGGGTCAGAATACTAGTGAACCCAGTAGAGTATCTGGGCAGGTTCCCGTTGTTTCGGCTAAGGTGCATCCACAAAATTCTTGTAGCAGCACGAAGAAGTAATTTAAAGGCAATGTCGGTCGGGTAGTAATTACTGCAAAAAGTTTATCAAATTGTACAACACCCAAAGAATATGTAGAGTCAACTATACAAATTTATACCGCTAAATGCCTCCAAACTAACCTCCCATTCCTCTCGATTTTTGATTCTGCAAGAAATTTGCTGTCCTCGGAATGCAGGACGCTATTATTCTGGAATTCTCGAAGTGGGGATTTCAACTGGACGACCCTCCTCCCAATCCTCCTCGTCTGGAACAGGCATCTCTTCCACAGGCGGTCTCTCCTCGAGATCACCTGGGGGCTGATCAGGACGATCAGGTTCTGGACCAGGGCGAGGCAGTGGCGGCTGGTTCCTCGGATTCCTGTCTGGAGGAGGTGGAGGAGGGAGCTCGTCCGGATGAAGTGGATGCGGATATTCTGGTGGAGCGGAAGACACAGGAGGCTTTGGTAGTTCTTCGGGGACGCCCCGAGGAGGTTTTGGAGGACCCGGTATTGGATCTAGCCGAGACGTACGGATAATGAACAGACGCTGTAATAAAGGTGGCACTCAGAGCGACTCGTGAAAACCTACCAGGCACTTTAGCAAACGGCTTTCCTCTTGCAAGGGTTCTATTTCTGCCTGCTACCTGTCTGAGCGAGAGCGCAATTGCAGTAACACGCGACGCCGGACGGTTTTTGAAGGGTAAGTACTCAAGCATGCTGCATGCAACATTCAATGACAAGATCGCTGGAAGACAACTCGTGCCCTTGGACAGGCTTTACGTAATGCCATCACGTGGCCACATCGACTGTAAGTCTCTGGGACCTTGCGTTCGAGAGCAGCAAATCAACCATCGCACCCTTAAAACAAAATGGATGTTGCAGAGAACATTCCACGGAAGCGAGCACGAACGGAAGAGGAAACAGAGGAGCGTCGAGGAACACCTCAAAATGGCGAAACTAGATCCGATTCAAGCGCTGCAAACAAAGACACAACACACGTTCGCACTTCCCAAAACCTTTCCGTATATCCCAATTCTGTTTCCCGACTTGAACCAAGCATATTTGGAAAAAAGCCCGAAGAAGATATTGTTTTGACTGTGTCAAATTTTATCTGGCGAAACATTAGTGGGGGGAAAAGTGGGGCTCACCTCGAGGTATGATCAGGCGTGCTGCATGATACTGGAAGCTGCTGCCTTTCCTTAGTGTATCCCAATCTCTGCAATTGAGACGTTGATTCTTGATGGCGTACTTGCTAGATAGAAGGGAAACTCGGATTGATTATTGATAAGGAAACCGGCGATCGGATACGATTGCCAGTGTCCTCCGAAACCGGTACGCTCTTTCAGATCTTCACAGGCCGCAATTTGCCTCACGCTTTGGCGTTTTTGAATAGTCATCATCAATAATGGACAATTCCGATTTGACTCGAATATGACGATGGTGAGGCGCTGCAAGGCCATGATTTGTCGCGCTGGTTGCTGGCAGCTGAGTCCTAGCATCTGGTTCTCAAGGCTCAGCACGCCCACTTCAACCGTATATTAAACGCCGTGGTGCAAAGACCAGGATCAAGGACTCGCTATGTACATACCAAGGAGGTCGATCATTACTACCAGCAAGGATCACAGAAGATTCGAGTCTCAGCAGATCAGAAAAGTGGTCAGGTAACGCAATGAATTTTCGTGCATGAGTACCATAATGTGCTTAAGCTGGTTCTAACTTTTCAAAACAGGTTAAGGAAGTGCTAACTAAGCAACGAATAGCAGATTTGGAAGTTCATCTCCCCAATTCCCACTTGGACTTCAGAATATCTATCAGTCTTGAAATACCCGCTCAAAGACCTCCAAAAGATTCACACTCAAAATTCAGACGGCAAAAAGATAGGTTGTCATATTCGCATGAGGCCTTTCGAGTTGACCTTACCCAAGTACGGCAATACAATGTAGGTTGACGGACGAGGTTTTATTTCATTATAGCTTGCTGACATTTCGGTATAAAAGGATCGCGATATGGAGATAGATGTATCGCACGAGGTCGAAGTCGAATTCATACGGGCGACAGAGTTGCTGGTGGAAAAAGAGAAACGGCAGAAACAACAGCAAAACAACTTTGCTGACTATGTTGACATTTTTCTCAATAATCTCCGGTACTTGAGCCGGAAAGCTATACCCCATAATGTGGGGTGACTCGTGGGAAAGATAATATATAATTCCTACGTGGAATTTCTATTTACAAGCACAGCTGCGTCAGATTATTTACGGTTGCGCTCCTGCAAGGAATATTCATGAATAAGCTCCTCCACATTCGCTGCACTACTTGCAATATCTCCCACATCTATATGCTCTGTATAATGATGCAGGTTCGCCTATAGGCAGGGTTATCAATAGTGTAGACGAATAAGTGCGCTCTGGCACCCGGGAGCTTACCTTTCGTCTGTATAACTTTTTGAACCGCAGGTGCAGGTCAGAGAAGCTCTGCCGTACACAGCAGTTGTTGGCAAGACTAAGCAAACAATAAGGCTGATGTGCAACCCCATATTACTGCTTGAACAAGCAACATGAATGAGATTTTGGACTTTACCTGTGTGACTGGAGGTACAGAGCAAAGACCAGTTTTCCAGCCCTCCTGATTCCAAGGTACAAATGTCAGATGGGACGCCATTCTGTTGGCAGGCCAAGTACCTAGGTCAGCAACAAGTGACACACAATAAGGATATCACGCACGCTTTACCTTTCTACGTTGCGCCGCAGGTCAGAAATCTCAATATTTCCTCTGGCAATAAGTGCGCAGGCAAGATAACTGATCCTAATGAATATCCAATACATTTCAACTGACTAACGCAAATCAAGAGTGCTTACGTGCTCGCCTTGGGATCTGCTCTGATGAGCTGACTTTCCCTACTGAAAGCATCGATAAACATCTGATCAAGCCTAGTGTGCGGGTTAGGAGCCGCTTTCTATGGATGGTGAACGATGATCCAGGCCATTTAACGCATTACCTTCGCGGTGGCGGTTTCACATTCGCCAAGGTATATAACGGTGTCATGCTTGATATAAGAAACTTGAGCCGCGGGAACGGTACCAAATTTGTCACGATATCATTGATGTCAACGTTCATCGTTCCTTCAAATCGCATCGAACTGATGGAGAGACTTCAGATTGGAATACCTTTATATTGGGCGCAGTCCTACCCACCTTGTCATATTCATCAGTAGATTGGCAGCGATGTTGTTCATCGCATCGAACGGGTGGGACTTTCGGGGGCCCAAGCCGCACATTCCCCCGAATGTACTATTACCGCTATCTGTGATAGCACTTTTCTTTTGTCTATTCGAAGGACCTTGAGTTTGTGCTATCACTCGTTCGTAAATGTCCAATAAAGCTTGATTTTCCATTGGTAAAACGCAGTCAGCTGTGTCAATGAGTTTCGAAAGTGACAGAATACTATGAATTGAATTGTCAGTTTACACTCTGTAAAATGATCTTGAAACCGGAAATAAAAGACATCGATCATCCCCACCTGTTATAAGGTGATGTTACGACGTCGTCGTTCTCACTCGGGCTGACGGTTGCGTAGAATCTATAGACCTCTGGAAATTCATCTTGAAGCATCGCGCATATATATGAACCCAGGCCAGATCCCGTCCCTCCTCCAAGAGATCCGATCATGAAGAAGGACTGTAGGGCATCACAATACTCGGCCTGTCGCCGCACACCTTCCAAAATGGCATCCCGATACTCAGGACCGTACAAGCAGTGTCCCACTGCCCAGTTATTCCCGCTCCCGGAATGGCTGGTTATTTGCTGTTCGTCGTCAAATAGCTCGCTGAGGGGACTTTTGCGGATTTGGTTCACAACTCCCTCTTCCATATCTATGAGAAGTCCTCTGCCTTTCAGACCGGTGATCTTCTTTTGACCATCGCCGACGGGGATGTTGCGAGCTCCGCGCTTCTCATTGACGTTCCGAAAAAAAGTTGCCAGAGCATCATCATACACTCCTTTCCTGTTGTACTTCGCGTGTTCTTGCAGTACCATGTCCCAGAATCGGCTGCCAATTTGGTTCCCGCATTGTCCAACTTGAATAACTATCGAGTTCGGCATTGCCGCTCTCGGTGCGAGAGCTCCTTATCCTTCACTGCGACGCCACTGCATCAGTGAGTGACAATGGGTTCCAAAACAATGTAGATCATCATGGACGCGACAGCCTTTTCTCTGGTCAAGATGTGCCCTACGCTGCGCACACCAACCTCTACTGCTCGCACCTCACACCTACAAAGTTTTCACAGAAACCGGCTCGCTCGCCTTATCAGAATAAGATATATAATTCACCTTACTACATCCATTACACTCTACTTCTAGATCATGTTACAGTATTTGATTTGATTATTATTGAACAGGTTCCAGATAAGAGGCTGGCACCAAACCTTCTAAAGTGCCGTCATTGACAGTTACCCAACCAGAACCATCATCTGAAGAAGGCCAAAAAAAGTTAAAAACATGCCAGCCAGTCTAGGAATTTCTGGAGAACTACCTCCTTCAGTGATCCAGACAACTTGCCCAGCTTTGACCGTCAATTCGTCATCGCCACCTTTCGTATAATCGTAGGCCACAGTCTAAGGAATATTCGATAGAGTGGTCAGTCTCGTGCAGTGATGCGCCAACGGAGTAGTGAAGCATTCTTACAGTCTGTATCCTGGATATCTTCGTTGGTGATGGTGTTCGATTTCTCTCTGAGAGCATACTTTCGGCAGCGAGGGCAGGGCTCGCGAGCTCAATATATGAAGTTGGGACTAGTCCTTTGCGTGATTCCCCGTCAGTTTGATAGCTTACGAGGGTCCAGCCACTCCCGTCGTCTGTTGTTATTAATTTTGCGTTCATCTTCCCAGCAAAAGCAGAAGAGTAGCACTCACCCGGCTCAATTATTCTAACTACCGAGCCCTCCGTCACTGCTATCTCGTCAAACGCTGAAGCAGCTGGAGAGTAATCATAGAGCACATACGCCGAGGCGCCGACAAACCAGTTTGAGCCAGATGCTGCCATTGAGCGACGTCAATATAGAAATCTCTTCATGTGTTACCGTACTGTCAACATACCTGATAATACAGATCCAATTGAGGTAACGGATGTTCTTTGTGACACCATAGATGCTGGTCGTCGAGCGCCTTTGGCTCCCGGACACTCTGGGGGAATCTTAAGTTCGCATTTCAAATGGGCGCTGTATCCACTACATAATATGCCAGTAGGTGAACAGCGACAGTCGATAGACAAATGTCTTCGACGCAAGGACATACCAATCTGATAGGTAGGCCACAGGTCAGTCACAATCCGCAGCGCAATGCGAAGCACGAAGACACAATATGATACCCACCACTGCACGTAAGCCCTGGTTTTGCAACTCCCCAAATTGTTCCATGACAGTAATCGCACGTGGTGGGAATAGAAAAATTCGCACCTTTCAGGTTATGGAAACGAGCATTCGGCGACTCTTCTACTTGGAGGTGGAATACGGGCCATGGACCATGAGATACATTTGCGCCGCAATGAGCGCACAGACGTAGTCTTACCACCGATGCACTGCATTATTGCATCGATCTGGGTTTGATATTTGCATCTTGCTGTTTTCAAGACCATGATGTCGCGAGACTCGTCTAACATGCTCTATCATGTAGGAAATAAGACAATGTAAAGTGTGAGGATATGGATACCACATTCAATTGTACTGACCTCCTTAACATCGTCCGGGTCCCCTTGCTTTCGATCCTTGGTATAAGCGTCAAACAGATTCTTCGTTCCGTCCAACGTCCGGTTTTTAGACTTTATTTCAGTATCTATTTGGTCAACTCGCTTTTGAAGTTTTCGCAACGTATTGCGTAAAAATACGTGAGCATAGTCATCCTGCGCCAGTTCGCCCTATTACAGTAATCAGATCCACTAGAGACATTCAGGGAATCAAATCTGGCCAATACAACATATTTGGAACTTACATTGTCCTTCCAAAGCCCAGAAGGCAGGAAGGGGAAGTCAGGTGCGTTACTCCCTGGCACAGAATCCCAATTTCCTCGAGACTGAACGAAAGTATCTGCATCCCCCTGAGGATCTATACTATCCACAGCTGCGCGTACAATTCCTAATGACCTGATTACTACGTCCATTACAGCTGATCTACTCGTGCGATAATCCTGCCATATAGACTTCAATCCCCAGGTTGTAGATATGTCGAGATCTTTTATGCACTAGGATTATGCTATTAGTCGTTGCGCCAAATTTAGAAGCCGGCACCAGTTGTTCTCACCATTAGCAGTTTTGGAATGTCCTCCTCGTAGTATTTATGCTTACAAGCGTTGGCCGCAGCGAGAGCAAGAACATATAGATTCTGTAAAAAGCTGATGAGTAACGCGCAGAAGTGCGACAAAGTTCAAACCGCAGCCGCCCGTCACCTTCGTGTTATTTAAATCCACAATCTCCTCGTGCCATCGTTTCTTTAACTTTTCGGCTGTTTTATCGTCAGGAGCACGATTATGCTTATTTTTCGCAACTTCCACCGCTTCACTCGCTGCATCATACTTTGCTTTTGCCTTGTCTTTTTCGGTGACAAGTCTATCTCGCTCCGCCAAAAGCCGCATAGAGAATGCTATGTGCTTCTTTCTGGCCTCCTCTTTCTTCGTAGCAAGTGCCTTTAACTTGTCAGCTATGTCTGCGTGGAGCGCGTCATGTAACGTCATATGTGCCTTTGCCAACACTTCCGTTTCGTGTAGGATCTCAGCCCACGCTTTCTGCGTAGTACTGACTACACGCGTGGATACCTCGTCCCGACTCGCCATCTCCTTGTTTTCGTTGCCCGCGGCGAACCTGTCCTTGGTCGGGCTACCTGGGTTACTTGGTATAGCCGTTGAAATCAAGCTTGCACGCTTCTCCCTGTCCCTTTCTAGTTTATCCTTCCGGTGAGCGTACTTTTTCGCTAGGGCCTCAAGTCGCCGAGCAAAATCGGCTTCCAGTTCCGCTCGCTCGCGCATGAATTCCCGGACTTCTGACACAAAATGGATCCCTTCCGACTACAAAGAGCCCTTGTGACTTACAGACACATGATAGCTGATACCATGTATGAAAGGACCTACCACATGTTGGTCAACGGCCTTGATTTCCTAGTCTTATGTCTGAGAAACCATTACACGTGAAAAGAAAGTAAGTAACAACATCCACCGCACCTGTAATTCCGGACCGAATCCCATGGCATCAAGGGACGCACTATAGTCTCCGGCAAAAGAAAGACGAGACAACATGGGCCCCACAAGCGTTCTGGGAATGCGACCTTCAGATGGCAGGAACCTCCCTTTGACAGCCCATCACGTAATTGCACCAAGACTGTGCCATGTCATGAAGCCAAAACGGGCGATATTACGTCCTCCATCTTCCCTTCCTCCAGCTTTCTCGTCGTCCTTCTCAAAGAAATGTCGGCAACCACCAAGGACCTGAACCTTACGGCGTTCTCGCTCATCGCGCAATTTCTACAGCAAAGAAATCTGACAACTACGCTGGAATGTTTAGAGACGGAAGCACACGAAGCGTTCGAAGAGCTCGCTTCTCATAAATACGCAATTGAACACAAACCACTTCTAGCCATCCTCGAGGAATACCAACTACTTTCAGTCCAGGGACAGTTGGAGCAACTGAGCGTTGAGAGGGAAGCAGACGATGAACTTTCTACCCTCGGTGCTGGCCGCTTTCCAGTGGAGCCGAGTCGTGATTTGGAGGGAATCCACTTTGCAAACATCTTGACAGTCATCTCACGCACTCTTCCGTCAGACCTGTTTCCTGCCGCATCCCTTCCAAAAGAGACGGTTATGGCTCTAGTGACAGGATCCACTGACAAAACCGTACGTATCTCGGATGGTGATACAGGAGCTGTGATAAGTGTCTTGGATCATCAAAAAGCGGCAGTGCTCGCTAGCGACTTCTACCCCCTCAATCCGGCATATCTGCTGACTGCTGGTATGGATGGGGCACATCATATTGTAGATATCCGGACGGGCCAATCAGTGCAATCTTGGAAAGATCACTCTAAATACGTGGTGCGAGCTCAATTTTCCCGATGTGATGGGGGTAAATGGTTGGTGACGGCGTCCTACGATCGTACTGTCAACCTTTACCGCAGAACAAGCAACGACGATGAGACACCGCGGTACGAGAAGTTGCATTCTATTGCGTTTCGTGGCGCGGTCGAGTCCATATGCTTTCTACCTCCGCCGGTGACTGCGGGTGAACCTGCCACCCCGACTTTGGTCGTGGGTTCGCGAGACGACAACTATCTACACTACATCGACTTGGACCCTTCTCGCGCATTTCCCGACAGACAACACAACATGAATGCGAATGGCGACGACTGGATCTCGTTTACGCCCATGGACATTGCTCCATCTCCTTCGGGGCGTCATATTGCCGTTTACACCGACTCAAAGGCAGGGAGACTGATTATTTTCCGAAGTCGATCAACTGTACAGGCACGCAACCTTTGGGGCACCGTAGCAGATGGCTTCTCACAACCTCGTTGTTGCTGGGATAGCTCTGGCCGGTATCTCTTTGCCACTAGCGATGACCGGAAAATCTGTGTATTTGATGTTGTGTCCGGTCAAATCATGAGAAAGCTCGAAGGCCATACAGACGTGATTAGAGGCATTTCATTTGATGCCGATGCAGAGCGGCTAATATCATGTTCTTTTGATAAAACGGTGCGGGTTTGGGATACGAGATTGGGGGAAAGGGTAGCGTAACGACATAGCTAAAGAGATAGCCTATCTGTCTGCATTACAATCTAGACGACTAGGGTGATGTGGCGGCGCAGTCTTTTTTTGCGGTGCCAGAGAGCTTTCGGCACGCTCTTCCCTAAAGCCCGCATGTCTCACATTGATGGATAACCATCAGATGGGATTGTAAAATGACGTTTGAGATGTAATCATTGTCGCCTCTTCTTGGCGGCCGCCCGGGCAGCTTCATCCTCATCTTCGTACACTTGCTCAGCATATATTGCTTTCGGTTGATTCTTTTGGTAAGCAGGGGCAATCCAATATGGATTTTCTGGAATGCAGACAGACAATCGTATGACGAGGAATTCGCGCGAAGCTAAATACCATTAGGGAGATACTTACCCTCTGCGTCCTTCGCGTGCTTCAGAATGGCTTCACGGGGATCCTCGTCACGCGATGTGTCCTTAATAATGCCTTTAAGGATGTGCTGCGTCAGGTTAGTTCCCAGCTTCCCGCCACGACCTGGTCCAGATAAAGGCATATCTAGAAGCAGCGGTACAAGTGTGAATGTGTTGTCTTTAAACGTGTTTCTTGTCCACGACGGTCCTGTACCTGGTTTACGTGTTGCGACGGAGTCGGAGCGAAGCTTTTCTCTTCTCCGTTTGGTGCTCTTGGGTTGATCATCGCGAAACATTGGTAATGCGTGTGGTGTAAGAATCGGCCTTCAAGTCACAATGTTAGTCTGACCTGGCCATGTATCCACTGCAGTCCAATGAACGGCTATACCTGCTGGTGTCATCGCTATGGGCATTGACACAAAATCGTCAGTATGATGATAATGCACGGCCACTTTGCAGCAGACCCGTTTAATTTCACACACCTGTACAAGTCAATATCATCCGCGGCTCTTTGCTTGGGTCGTTTGGAGAGCGCCACTTTGACCCCAGACAAACTTACAAGTGGATCATACAGGACTTGGACGCTCCCATCCCCGACTCCCGTCAAAATCTGGTTTATGCGCCCATGCCATTGCACTCGCACCACCGAACTTCGCGCGATGTCTATCTCTTGAACTTTGGTCAAGGTGTCCCGCTCAAATATGCAGAGTTTTCCCGCTCCTTCATCTTTTTTCACGGATGTCCCCGTTAAGATGTATCGATCATTCGGTGAGAATACCACATTAGTCTCTTCAAAGAAGTTGACGAGCCCAGTGACTGATGCAACTGCGGTGGTAAATTTTCGGATATCCCAGAGTTTCAAAGTGTCATCCATCGCCCTGGTCGCGAGAAGGTTGTTCGTGAGAGAGAAACAAACTGAAGTCATGGCAGCACCAGACATATGTGCCCCTTCGATGGTCTGGAATGTGTCATCCATCATAAGTCATCATCAGCTGAGCATACTTGTACCTCTTTAACGTACATGGGTGGGTTTTAAGAATGGTCCGTTTGTGTTCCATAACCTCAATGCACCATCGGAAGCCCCTGTAAATAGAATTAGAATCACAAAACGAAGTATGAAGCAAGGAGCACCAACCTCCGGCGATGAGCTTGGCATCTGGAGAGTAGGCCGCAGACGATATCGCTGTCTTGCCCCCGGGAAGCTTGGATTTCACGGAAATTACCTGCTTCTGGGCTCTTTTGGTTGCCACATCCCATATTCTGTTAATGGCGCGTATCATGCAATGTCAGTCGAAGGTGTAGGGTAGCACGCGTGATTCATGAACAGACCTTATGGTACTGTCCAGTGAAGACGTTAAAAATGTGGCCTTATCGTGAGGATGCCACCGACATCCAGTCAACGCGGCAACATGACCTCTGCAGCAAAAAGGCGTCAAAAAACGTATTTTCACATCATGGCCGTTGTCCTAAACCTACTTTGTGTGTCTCATGTCCCGAATGTACGGATCGCCCTTAACGTATTCTTCGCTAATAATTGTCCGAAGTTAGATTTAATCCAACCCGTCCTTTCCAATGTGCTACATACAGTTCTATGCCATCCCGATCGTATAGCTTTGCTTGAGCTGAAGTTGATGCAACCAATATCTGATCACCAGTAGTGCTAAATTGAACGTCGCGAATCTGTGAGTGAGCAAATAAATGAGCTTGGGTTCGCGATAGGTTGCCTTGTAACGCGCCGTGTGCTCACCGGGTTACCGCTGGCGGCTTCAAAGGAACGGAACGGCCGTAACGATGCATCCATGCCGTGAAAGTCCCACAATTTCACGAAACAATCTCGCCCTCCCGTCACAAATCGAGCACCAGATGGGTCTACAGAGAGCGCACATACTGTCTGATTGCACATGGGTCATTAAATTGCTTGTGAGTCGGCATCAAAAGGAACAAGTGACGAACCCTTTCATGGTCCTTCAACCCTGCCTGATGCGACAAAGGTAGAGTATCCGCATCGTGCGCAGCGATATCGGAATCGCTCTCATGGTCTTCGTCTTCGTCCTCGTCGTCGTTCGCAGCGTCGTCATGATTCATTCCCGATTTTTCCTCGCTATTTGCTCCATCACCAGCTGAGGACTCCTGCCGGTCTATTGATTGATTTATGTTGGGCTTTAATTGCTTGGGCGTGTCCTTGGTCGTCCCACCAGGTGCGCTCGTCGCTTCAGACTCGGTTTTCCTCCTGGTTTCCTCAAAGGCCACTTTGGCATGAATACTCCTGTCCTTGGGCTTTGCTCCAAACCCCACGGGAAGCCCCATGGCTTCCATCATCCTAAGCTCCTCTTCTGACGCCATCTAGGGCAAATGAGTAGGTGTTTGTGAGATCTACTTGAATGCAATTATCGAGATCTGTAGGAGGAGTTTGTTGGCTTAGGCAATGGTTTGATGGTTCCAATCTCATTGGTGTCGACACGTTCTTTTCGAGGCCAGTTTTCCCGTTCTTCTTCGACAAGGCAACTTGGAGTTGCTTCGTTCTCACCTTGACGCCTCATAGCAAGGATTTTCCGTAACACAGCAGGAGGACTCGGTTATCCCAATGTGCGTCGCTCATGCCGGTTTCAGTCATGCGGGCGACGGTTCACCGCCTTTCTTGGATGTCATATCACCCTACCTACCCGAGTCGGTCCTCTCCCTTCTGCTTGACAAGCATTCTATAGCTTTTGCCATGGCACTCTTGGCGTCTACCGGAACGTTTATTGGAGGACTCGTTGTTATCTTTCTAGCTCGAATAAGTGGAGCGGACCTTTCAGCCCCTTCCACGGCGCGTCTAATGGGAATCCTAGAGGCGCTAAGCGCCGGTGTCATGATGTATATAACATGTTTCGATTTGATACCTGAAGCAATTGAGAATATCGGATCTAGGGAATGTATGGCGTGGTTCTTTGGGGGAGTGGTGGCCTTTGGAGTACTGGAAGAGTGTATTAGCTTTTTTGATCAGGATCATGATCATGATCATGATGGGCACTGTGCGTCGACAAAGGAGAATGGTAAACCGAGTAAGGGCGCGGAAGTATCGAAAGGAAGAGCCATTTCGAAAAAGAGACCTTCAGACGGTTCATCATCAACTTCGACGACAAGTGAAAAGGAAAAGCGAGAGCTTGTGCGTACATCTCTTATCACATTCCTAGCACTCTCGCTGCATAACCTACCGGAGGGCCTGGGTGTGTATCTCTCAGCTCTGACAGATCTGCGGCTAGGTTCTCAACTAGCGATGGCCATCCTACTGCATAATATACCAGAGGGGATGGCGGTTGCAATTCCTTTGTATGCCGCGACCGGGAAAGCGTGGAGCGCATTGTGGTGGACGCTGTTGAACGGTCTGGCAGAACCCATTGGAGTAGTGGTGGGAGGCGTGCTTCTCCACTCGTATTTGTCGGCTGAGCTCTTGAGCCGTTGTCTTGCCGCAGTGGGAGGCATCATGGCATGCATATCGATCCATGAACTTCAGCCTACCGCGATCAAATATGCGGGGAAAGGCATCGCTACGGTGTCATTTTTCGCCGGCATGTTTGTCTGCTTTGCAGCGCTGGAAGCTGTAAACGAATGGTTTGGCGGACATGATCATACCCCGCAAATTGGAGGCAATGGTCATTCACATTAATATTTAGTCTTTAATAGAATGTCATCTAGGACGCCTACTATCCTTTAAATATACTCCGCGCATTATACAGTCTCGAGTTCAAGTGTGACTCTTGGCAGAAGGATTCCGACCTTTTCTCTCAACCAGTCCACTTGCATACCGGGTACTGGTACCCACAGCTTTTGCAGCGTGTTTATTGTGGCTAAGGCTTCCAATGTGCTGTATTCCACTTTACCAGTCCGGATCGCCAGAAGGCATTCAAACCTTTTCAATTGCTCCGCCACGTAGCGTGCTCGTTGATACCGGCGTGGAAGACGCAGTTCCCGTAAACCCTTTTCATTGACTCCCTTACACGCTTCTTCTGCTATACATTGAAGTAGCAGGTGAATCCCGGCCACAGAGAAGTCATGCCCAGGTAAGCACTGAAGAGTCAACGATCGCAACTCTTTCAGGGCACCAATATTGGGTAAATTACAAAAGCTCGGTTCTTGAATTGTCTGGTTGTTCATATCAGTCCGAGAGGTGAAGTTTATGCAGAGCTCTTTCAAGCCAGGAAGAAGCTCCGACAATTCCTCAAAGTTGATGCCGCCCCTCACATATCCTATTGCCAAATGCCGTACATTCCGCTGTTTACCGAGAAGCCTCGAAAATGCCTTCCAAGAGAAATTTCCACCTGGACCATACCCGGCTAAGCTCAAATGAGTCAGAGATCCTTCCTGCCAATGACTTGCCAAGTGCTTCAAAGCAGCACTAGAGAGACCGTGAAAAACATCATCGGATGGCCGACCCCCGATATGGACGCGGCGAAGGTGTTTAAACCGACGAGCCAACGTGCGAATGAGGCGGTCATCGCCTGACGTTGCCCAATCCATTTCCAAAACAAAGGTATGCACACGCTCCGGCCTGGGGATCTTTTCTAGAATGTGAAGCAAGGTGCCGATACTGATTGAGCATCCCCAAGACGCCAGATCCAGCCAAACCGTTCTGATCCGAGCACATCTGGCCATATCAGCCGCCATGTTTTTGAAGAAACGATCTGCGTAATCGACCGGTGGTTGCAGTGGCATGTCGAGTAGCCGATGCCTTTTGACGTACAGTTCATATCAAATCAAGTCAATGGGGATTTATGCAAGATGCGAAAGCGTACCAAGCCAAATCCGTCCAGAATGGATGTAGGTACGAAGCACGACGCCATTGGCGTGAGATGTCGCCTGCGTCCAGGATGGCCGCTCGTCGGTGATAGCGCCCCGGGACATGGTTGACGACAATAACTGGGTGGTAACGTCCCGGCGCACGACGAACCGATTTCCAGTTATGCGTTAGATGGGAGTGGCCAGGGACAGTTCTCCAAAGCTCGCAAGAGCCAGTACAAGTCCCTTCATTCCACGGCGTTGACGAAGCTATTTCTTCTGAGATAACGTAGTATGGCTGCAAGAACAGTAGGATCTGGAGAATAATTTCGTCCGGAAGGGATGGGACCGGCATATTGTGCAAATGCGCGTACAAGACACTTCATATAATCATATGCGTAGTGTGCATACGGATGATAGGCGTCCCTATCGGCCTGGGTTCTGCAAAGTCTGACGACTGCACATAAATCTCTTGAATTGGCCAACGAAAGTCGACGAGATCGTTCAAAAACAAACGTAATCGAATTCGAATGAATATAAACATTAGAATGTGGCTTGGATCCGTGACTACGCGAGCCTCCGCTCTCAACTTCCGTAAAGATCGTGACCAAAGAAATGGCCTGGACGAATCTCGTTCTGACAACAATACTGGGTCTCTTACTGGCCCTTCACGCTGCGGCAGCACCAGAGGAATCCTACGACGAGAAGCTTAAGCTTACGCAGTTCAAGGACGGAAAGGTGCTGGCAGAATTTTACTTTACACGGTTCATTAGTCCCTCCGCTGTCAAAAAGGCAAAAGGTGGTCTACAGCTATTCGACGTTTGCCGCATGTCCTGCACAGAGAAAGTTTACTATTTGATCTACAGATAACCACTATACACTTCTGCCTCGGTCGATTGGGGAAATAATACAGTCTTTTGGCGTGAAGGAGCTCCATCTGACTTTCACGCAGGGAACTTGGAATCATGAAAAATGGGGTTACTCCCCACTCAGCGCACCAGGCGGTGTACAATTATGGAGCTGGTTTGAAACAGCCAAGTATGCTAATCCGCTGAACTCCCAGACAAATTGCCCTACGTCTAAGGCGACTTTCCCCTGTAGTGTTGACAGCCAGTGGAAGGGTTTGACCCATGCGTTGGCGGGACTTTTCTGTGCCTCCCTTAATTTTATAGATCAGTCTGCGACGGCTGAGCCTTTGCTGTCATTTCGAACAAACGGAACCGTGACTAGCGCAAGCGAACTTACTGGTAAGCATACATTGCTCTTCACCTTGTGCGCACAGGCTGACCTGCTTCCAGAATCAAACTCGCCGCAATTACGCTATGGGTCATTACCGCGAGAGGCTGTTTGCACAGAGAATCTGACACCATGGGTCAAGTTATTGCCCTGTCAAACCAAGGCAAGTCCTTCTTTCGGATATCACACTTTGGCCGCGTCATTGACAATCGATGCTCAATATATAGGCAGGAATAGCCAGCTTATTTAACGCCTATAGACTCTTTGACGGCAATTTTCATTCAATGGGAACCCATCTCCGGCCCATTTGCACCGTACGTATTTGGACGCTACCTTCGTGCACTGCACCATTCTAAGCGTCGTGCCTGACATAGGACGCTATGTGCGAGCAACGGGGCATAGAATTTGTCCAGACCCTCGCCGTCGTCCTAGATCCAATGCGTTTGGACAACCGAAAGGGTAACACAATTTTAAATGATCCGTGGTCAACGAGTGCATGCTAAATTAGAGTGCGTCAACAGACTGGTCGCTACAAACAATTTTTGAACGCAAGCTAGATTCAGCGTGCCCAGTAGCAGAAAATACTCAAATTGTGGTCACAGTGCCGGAAACAAGTGGATTTACTTTTAGACCATCTCCACCTGATGTCAAACAGGACGGGAAGGGTCATACTATCGCGACCTATCCTATTCACCGAGGTTAGTCCGTAGGCTGTGAATTTAGCGGACATCAATGGTGCTCAAGCCTCACCGGAAAATGTTTCCTGCGTCTTAGAAACACCTAAAAATATGGACGTCGGCATTACCTGGTCAAATCCGACGGTAAATCATAGTAGGTTATCAAAGTCACTTACATTGTATTGAGCTGGCCAGGATGAGACTCAATTCGGTGACAGCCATCGACAGAACGCATTCCTACATAAGAGCCAATCGATACCTGACCGGATATGGCGGGGAACGCGGTGGTCTTTCCGTTGATCTCTACAATTATCGATCATCAGCAATACCTGTCACCTATTTTGAGTCCATTCCTTGGATTCTCAAGCTTTACCTTCACACTTTAAAGGTAGAAACAAGTGTCAACAAAAGTACAGGTAGGGACGGAAAGTAAAATGGACTATCTTGTACATTTGGGGTTAATTATTTTCTCGCCTTATCCAGCCGTCGTTGGAGATATTTTTTTTCAGCCAGCGATTGATCGGGGTCGTCCATCCGTTTTGGAGATGCAGCTGACATTGCCACCCAATAGTACTACCACGATATCAATCGAATTCGACAAGGCTTTTGTAAAATACACTGAACATCCTCCTGACGCGAATCGTGGTTTCGACATTGGGTAAGCTCATATCACTTATCTGGTATTACCGAGGATTTGGCAATTTCTTATTGAATTCGTAGGGCCGCTGTGATATCTCTGCGAGCTGATGAGGGTGAACAAAATACGCGGATATACACCGAGACACTGCTGATTAGCCTTCCAACCCCGGATTTCAGCATGCCCTACAACGTCATCACATTGACATGCACATTGATAGCGCTATTCTTCGGGAGCATGTTTAACCTCCTCACACGGCGATTTGAGCCGTTAACAATAAAGAGATGAGCTATCAAAAGGGACTTCGTTCTGACGACTACCCTGAAATGGCTTAATTTCATCGGCGGCTAGCGCGAGATGCATTAGTCAGTTATATATATATATATATATATTACTCCAGAGTGAACGCCAGCTGCACACCACGGATTTGTACGTAGATACTGTCTACAGATTAGTCATCAAAAAATACTCTGGCTGCAGCAAATTACGTTAAAGGTTGCGCTCTATTGAGGTTGGTGCATTTGAGCTGGACGCATGTGCGAATGGAACGTCCTTCTCTAACCTCCCATGGAGATGCCTAACGACCCTCACGCCCCCTTTTCGGTATCATCTTGCTCCATTCTATCCTCAGGACCCTCCTGGTCGTTTTCTTCTGCGTTCTCGTCACTATCTGGCTCATAGTCTTCACTCTCCTGCTCGCCGTTATTCTCCTCGTCCATACTGTCCACACCCTCTTCTGACTTGGCGTCGCCCCCGTCTCCCTGCTCTTCCTCATCTGCACTGGTATAACCTGGTTCTGCACTTTCACGTACAGGAAAACCGCGGTGGACATGGGGCGGCTCATCATCTTCGTCCACATTCACCGTCGCAACCCACGGAGAATTTAACATTTGAGCAGCGGTAGCTCTGTAAAAACCCAATGATGAGAGATCTATCCGCAAATATCTCTGCGCTCCATTCAGATGATACCTTCGTTCGGGAAGT